ATGTTGCACACGGCCAAGAATGCATCCTGGAAACTAACGTCCCTAGTGGCATCAACCTGGACGTGATCGGGGGCCTGGACTCCAATGGAAATCATGGTGATAAAGGTCGCCGCGATGATACTAATGCAAGCTGGAAGGGTTGTCAGTAATCGTCCACAGGAAGCCCGGGGGAGTAGAAGTACTGACACACGATGGACATATAGTACACCTTGTTCATAGTACGGGGAAGGGCGCCGATGAAGCTGACTACCATTCCGATGACAGCGAAAACAATGGTGCAAGTTCCGTGACCGGTGATGGTATTGAATAGCACCGAAAAGGTAAGGATATGACTGGCCATCAGGAAGATCAAGAGGAGCAGTTGGCCAATGCCCATCAGCTCCCGTCCAAAGCGACCCATAATAAGCTCTCCGGCGTCACCCATGCTGTGCGTTTGAGGGAAACGAAGCTTAAACTGTCCGATAACATAACCTGTGTACCATGAAATGCCGGACATTCCGACAAGAATAATCACTCCCCTGAGTCGTACGTCAGTCGTTCTGTTGCTAGTTGAGTTACGGTGAGAGGTGACACCTACGGAACAAGTCCTAGTGTTGCCATTGCGGACGGAAGAGATAGAATGCCTAGGGACATATTCTCTGCAATCATCACTACATGAACGGGTTAGATAGCACGTTCGGAAGTATGGTTCAGGAACTGAGCGTAGGACTGCTTACACATTCCACATTGCCTGTAATCACATTATCCACATTAGCCACCGCATTGGATTCACAAGACCGTTGAAGCACAACGGCAGTCGTATTGCATGAGCATTGGAAGCTTACCACCAACCCATAACACGATACTTGACTTCTCCTTCTTCCTCGCTTCCAAATGGGTCGTTTGCTGGGGCATCCTCAGTATATTCCTTCTTCTCCACGTCGACATATTGGTCATCATAGTTGGGGCCATTCTGAATGGCAGGCGACTCGGTGTGTAGGGTCATCTTGTCGATGGGGATGGATGAGTCGCAAAAAGGATCATAAGAAGAAAGAACAGAAAAACAACGGCGCGACGCAGTATTTTAGGGCCAGCTAGTGCCACTGGGGAGGCGGCTGGAGTCGGATATAACTAACAAATAGACTAAAACTCCCCAACCGAGCGGTTGCGTTCCGTTCATATTTTTTTTTTTCTTTTTCATTTTCTTTTCGATATTCTCCATAATTAGGGTTTTAGGTTTTAACTTTTGCCTCTTCTCCATCGAGAATTTTCTGCGCAAGCGCTGATTGGCTGCATGCGCTGAGTCAGCACTGGCGGCGCCCTTAAAACTCTTATTCTCACGCCCCGAAAGGCTCAATTTTTGCCCTAAATCATAGTCGATGATCTCACAGTGCAGATCCCGCGCTTCTTTTTGCCGCATTCCAGCTTCCCCTGGCGTGCTTCTGTCATGGGAATGTGAAGGGAGTATTGTTCACGGCCGCATAAAATGGACGAATACGGAAGGAGGGCTAGAATAATTACAGAACAACGTTCGGCGAGGCTGTGTGCCACGCTGTCTAGAGACAGTCCCACGGCCGAATGTGGAACACCCGCCGAGACGCAGCACAATTCGAGACTCGCATTGGCTCACTGGAGTATCTTCCCTGCAGAAAAGTGGTACCGATGGGCCGTGACAGAACACCTCCTGTTCGGCACTGCTGATAACAGCGGCGTCCGGCGGAGAATCTCCTCCACATCGGGAGGCCAATGATGGATTTTCATAACGTACGGATAATATCACTCGGTTTCCCGACGATAGGAGGAAAGAGACCATTTCTCCACGTCTGTACGTCACCGGTTGCCTCTCTCCGGTTAGTGAGTTTAGAAGCGTGGAGTGAGACACCCTCCGCATGGCCACCTGGATTCGGTCTGGGGAAGGGACTTCCTCTCGTCTACTCCGTACTATTATGTAATTGATATATTATGTAACTAATTGGACACCCCTCGGATGATGCTTGGCTACCTGGAGTTGGCCGGGGTAGCAAGAAAGGATCAAAGATCGTTCGAGTGTAGTCTGGTGTATTTGTGTCGGTGGCGAGGCTGCTGCCCCGATGGCAGCACGGCGTGCCGGATCCGGGCTGGCCGAGATGGTACGTCACCCGAGGGTCGCATTGATATCAAGGGGAAAGCAGGAACAACACAATGCGAATCAAATATCGTTTGTATTACTTGTTGCGGGTTATTTCTGCGCAAGGGGTGGAGGCGAGTGGCATACCACCTTAGGGCTTGTGGTTTGATACCCTGCTTTCTCCCCGCATCACTACTCCGGATTTGCTATTTTTCGACTCAGGTCGGCCACTGTTTCAGTGGGGGCTGGACTCCGGGGGAAGAGGCGATGGAAACCTGGGAAGAATCACTCTCCTGGGGAAGGTCTCGGCGGCGCGCGGTTAGTGGCTGCTCTGTGCCAATAACGACGCCGTGTCGCTGAATATGATGGGAGATTCTCCAGTCGGTTCCTTAGGTTGCTGCTGCTCACATGCGCTATCTAATTTCTACCCGGTCGGGTCCACCGGTATGCTGCCGGTCCCCGGCCCGGTGCGCTTCGGTGTAGACTCGTGAAGCCGGTGGAGACCTTGATAGTTAATCCTAGAAGTCTTCCAGAACCTCTTCGTGCTGCTCGGATGCCGTCTTCCGTCATGAAGGACACACTATGATGCTCGGATGCCCTGAACAAGAACAACCCTCCCTATAGATGTTGCAATTAATCGAACTTCATCCGTGAGCAAGGTATCCTACTCATTAAGACTAGGGACTACCGGCATCCCGACCCAACCTTGCTCCACATCCTTAATAATCTAGATCTGGATACAAACTTGATATCTGTATCTAGGGCGGAGCCTAAACGAACTATCGGGCTTCTGCTCCACCGAGATAGGGAGATAGGCCCTGTTACTCTAATAGAATTATAATACTCTTTGTTTTCGCTTATTTTAAGGTGCTATATCTTATCATTGTCACAACCACGTTGCTCTACAAGCCCCGTTGCCGCGCTTAGCATGGTTCGAAACACGATCAAACCTATCGGTGCAGATCTTGGTGGCTTCCATGCATTATCTCTTTTAGATTACCGGACTGGGAATAGCCCTGACCGAAGATCTTCCGTACTCCGAGAGCGATGAGGCGTGGTTGCCAAGAGTCCGTGAATTCGTTGAGTCTTTGACCCTTTGGGGAAACGCCGAGGATTCAATATAACGGGGTCAATCGATCCGAACCACTGGTAATTGTACACGATATGTGTAGCCTATTTTCATCAAGAAAACGTTTGGTTCCTCCCTTCGGCAACACCGTGAACCACCAGTTACCGTAGAACCTTGGCGGCCAAGACAACGTCGCCACCTTCGGCCGTACGCTCATCTCGCTTGTGGGAATCATGATGATAGTTATGGTGGATGCCAGAGGATTGGAAAATTATGGTTAGCCGTCACACGCTAAGACCCATGCTCATAGACTTCATAATTCATGCTCCATCAGGGTGCGTTGGACCTCAAATGACGGAGTACTCCAACTATAATGTAAACGATCTCCGGTCGCGTGTATGCCGGCGGCTTGGCTCATTACTTTATATTGGTTTACTTGAGAGAACAGCGTCATCGACCCCGGCTCTGAAGTAATAGAAATGAAAATTGTAGAGTGATACCTTCGCGCCCCGATTTATTTAACATTCCGCCGTTTCGCCCGCACCAGTGGAAAATGCGTTGGCATATTCGTTGTCTCGTATATACGTTTTCTCGCCCGGACACTGTTTCCCCGCCTGTCTCTCTGAGAGTGGTCTTTGAGATTCGTCGTCTTCATGACAGAAGGGCGTACTGCTATCTTATAGCGTGCATTGTCTTCTTGTCCGCTATGCTATGTTGTATGCTGCAATCTGCTAACTCAAGGATACCCGATGTTACAAGTTGAGGTTTAATTGGACCAATTACTTTATCTTCGCTAATGATAATGATCTCCGGGCAACTTACTTCAGTCGATATAATATACACCCGTTAAGTTTACAGATTAGCAGCTATAAAACTTTGCATAAAACCCAGATGATATGCATCTAGGTTAGATTCAGCCACCCGCCAGCCACTGTTGATGCTATTCGTTGCCCTAGCCGTGCGCTAAGATTGGCAACACCAAGACATGAACCTCACTATACTTTAGATCAAGTCTTCTAGTTGGAAGTCTTACTGTGCAGACCGGGAAACTCACACCGAAGATGAGCTGCGGATTCTGGAGCAACAAGAACGATTTGCCTTATCATGGGCGTTCCGTGTGATTTACTCCGCCAAGAGTGCGTGCCGATCGCAAAAACAGCTGTCTTGGATCCCTATATTGATCGACGCCGCGAATAAGATACGCGCGTGATGCATCTCTCGACTAGGCTTTGACGACCATACCGTGTCGATATGTTCATTCGTTCTGAGCTCGTGGCGTACACCTGCCGACCTGAAGAAGCCGAGACGTTCCCTTCGCCACTCCGAAGAAGCTACCTTGGCTCGATTTGGAAGGACGCCACTCTCTTTCCACGGTCGCATATGCTTGGGGGCACATGGAGAAGCCTCTAAGATTGAAGCAATGCACTTCAGTGGATGGTCTATGACATTCAGGGAAAAAGTCCGATGTCTAACGAAATCGCGATGTCTTGCTGCTACAAGAAGCCTGCCATGGCTCAAAAGCGCCACATCTTCCATTGTCAGGCTTGATAAGTCTACAGCGTTAGGTGGCACTTTCGTTTTGAGTTCTTGACAAGGAGCCAAGGGTTGATAGGAAATCCAGTCATTCCAGAGGAAAAAGGCGTCGAGGGCGGTTTGGAGAAAACAGACTGAAACAGTTGTTCTGTGACCGACATATTGAGTGCAATATAATCACCATAGTCAATGGCCTTGACTTCGAACCGATTCTCGCCTGTGCAGAACATATCATCTATCCATGCATGCACTAGGCCCGTGGCTCTAGAAGCACGTGGTTGGACTCAGTTTTGGAAATCTGTGCCCTACGACTATACCCTCACTGAACTTCGCGTTGCAAAAAGGGATGGACGCCGGGGATTTTGTAATACGAAACAAAAAACTGCCAATAGTCAATTCTGAATGAGATGCGGAGATAAGTATCTCGATGGCTGATGGTCGTGAGTACTCGAGCTTCCAGGTTAGAGTTGGAGCAGGTCGCCCTCCAATCACTGAGACTTTGGTTTACCATAAGACAATAATCAAATCCGACTTGAATATGTCTTGAGAAATGGCTAATACGAGGCAATCAGTTGGAAACCTAAGTCTAACATTCACTAGCTTAATCATGCTATGTGGATATCAGACCTCCTCTGTGGCATAACGGTCTCCGTACTCCTTCACAACCCACTCGCAGAAGGCCTCCCACTTTTCATTCCACTGCTGCAAACGCTTGGCCTTAATGCCATCTCCATTCTCACCGAAATCAATATCACGAACCCATTCGACCTCGTTCTGATCTTCGAAGTTGCTCCACCGGATGCTGTTCTGCGCCAGTGCTCCCTGTTATTTGTTAGCCCCGTTTTACTGATATGAAACGCCACAGGCAAAAGCTTACCAGGCCAGCAAGACCGACGTTATCGAAGGCTTGGATTGTCTGGTAGAAGTCGTAGCTTAGACCAGCTGCGTTCTGGCCGAGGATCGCCGGGTCGTCGTTGCTGATAGCCGTCGGAATACCGTGGGCAATCATGGCCGGAAGGGGATGGTGGAGGATATCGGTGGCGAGACGCAGGACTTCGTTGGAAATGGGGCAGACTTCCACCATGATGCCGTTCTCGATCACCTCATCAATCAGCCTCGGGTGCTTGTACAGGGAGAAACCGTGTCCAATACGGCGTGTGCCGAAGAGGACCGCGTCGAACAAGTTGTTGTCGGTCGAGTTTCCATCGCCGAGAGTTTCGCCGGCGTGGAAGAAGAAAGGAATAGTAAGATTCGACTCCTCGGCCTGTTGCTGGAACCAGATCAACTCGGGTGCCATGTCGGCGAGAGGACGGCCCAAGTCTTCTTGAGCGACCACATCGTAGCCCGAAAAGAGCTGAGGGTGTCTAATACCAATCTGTTAGCTAACAAAAACTTCCTCATGATCGCGATGGACAGTTAGGAGTCTCACCTGCGCTTCCGCTCAAGAGCAATTCCCATGCCTATGCAAACTCGTTAGATACAGAAAGCAATGGTCGCGGCAAAGATTCTTCTTACTCTTTGTCAGCGAAGCACGGTTCTTGCCTCTGCTGTCCGACCAGATGACTCTCGCTCCCCAGAACTCGGCGCCCTCCGGGGTTTTCTGAAATTTCTCCAGCTCCTCCAACAGGACGTCCCACCAGATATCCAGATCCGGATCAGGGTCCTCCTGACCCTCATGGACAAGCTTGCCGCTCGAACCACCAGCACGGATTTCCACCCAGTTGATGTGGTCCTCGGCCAGGCGCGAAAAGAGCTTCTGGTAGAACTTGCGGACAACGGGCTCGTACGACAGCATGGTGTTGGCGGGACCGAAGGCTGTCTGGAAGACACGCCAGATCTCATCGACTCCCAATTCGTGACGCAGAGACTGCTCAGGAGATACGGTCACCTTGGTGTTGACGAAGTCGATGAAACCCTGTTGACCACCCGGGAAAGTGCTGGCAGCCACAGTCACGGGAACTGGCGTGTTAGGGACATAATCCTTTGAATAGATTGACGATCCATTGGTCGCAATGGTATGGTTGACATGAGCAAACTCGATGGAGGCATTCTTGCGGTTGTCGTCGGTGGATAAGTCCTGGGAGGCGGAGAAGACCATACCCTCGGTGTGAAGAATGGTATCCAGAAGAGTCTCAAAGGGAAGCATGGCGGCCAAATGCGCATGTAAAAGAGAACCCTTAGGCATGTGCCTGACCACGTCCCAGAGTTTGGTTCCATTGATCAATGGGCGGGCTTTCGAGAACACCTCACCGGCGAACCTCTCGTCGGTATCATTCTTCTCTGGGGTTCCAGGCACTCTCCAGTACTCGTCAATTTCCTCCTGGCGAATCGCTGCTACAATGGCGTCCGCTCTCTGGGCTACAGAAGAGAGGTTTTGACGGAAAAAGTGGTCTACGCCATGTTAGTGCTTTCACCGTAGTTCCGCCAATATTCCCCGGGAACAGACCTTGTCGCTGTCTCTTCTCGAACGCGATCAACGCTGATCGGGCGCGCAGATGCTTTTGCACAGCAAGGCTGTTGACATCAGGCACACCAGTCTGCGCAGAGACCAAAGAGCAGAGGAGGGTCACTGTCGCGACGAGGAACTTCATGATGGGCGAGTGCCACTGGCGTGGTGGAAGCGGCCGTGGAGTTACACACGGAAGGCTAGCATGATGGCGTCTTTCAAGCTATATATACGTGGTCCCGCAGACCTAATCCGAGTCATTCGATTTAGACCAGTCGGAGGAGGCCCTTGAGATGGGGAATTTTGATCTACAATCTTGCTGCCGTTCTAACGATAGTCAAGCCATTCTCAGCTGCGGCTGATCATCAAAGGTACGGGGAAAGTAAGGAATGCAGCTACACAGGCACCAATTACATTGCAGGCCCAATCGTCAAGCCCGGATCCCACGGAATCCTTATTTTCTGATATCTAACAGATTGCTATTACGAGAAGCATTGACCAGATCACACGGTGGAGACGGATGTTTTTCATTCGTATTGGGGGCAGTTGGATAGCGCCTCCCCAATCGCGGTAAGTCCGTCGATAGTTCGAACTGATTGCATAATATTAGTTGGTTTATTGATAGGCCAAGAGGATTATCGCTGCAGCTTGGCCCAATCTGCGCCATTCAGGTTACATTTGCCCAAGCTTGATATTAATCCCGCTACCCTAATTCTCTTGGCAATGCGAAATTTTCACTGGAAATTCCGTGCTGACTCAAACAATCCTGCTGCATGTCTCACCCTTTGAGGCCGTTAATTTGCTGGCCAAAGCTCGTGTGGGTCCTTCCTGCCACTCAATTTATTGAATCCTCTGCAATCCTTCTGCCCAGAATACACTTCACGGAGTACTCCGTCAAGTATATGAGGAGTAATTGAACTAACTGATAAAGCACCATCCCTTCACCAAGTGAACAGTGCAGTCTGACCTGAAGCCTGAGCAACATGGATGCATAGAGACTTGGCCACAACCATCTGTGAGGGTTGGCACAGTCCCGTGCCCAGCCCTGGTATGGGTATGTAAGGGACAAGGCTAGCTCAGCACCTCAAGAGAGAAACGGGGGAAAACAAGGACTAATTCTGCATAGCAATCACATTTCTCCGGGAATTACCGAAATTGTCTAACGAAGAAACGGTAACAAGGTGAGCTGAGTGACACTCAAGTTGATGCAGGAGGCTGCCTGTGCTTTACTATGCTCAGCCGCAGGATTAAGTAACTTGGATCACGCGAGTGGGGCGATCGATGAGCTGGCTGTATGCAGAGTCGTAGAACATTGGTAGTCGAGCCAGGGCTATGTTCATTGTCCAGTGCCGGTTGAAACATCTTCAGCTTGCGAAAAGTCGTGAGGTTCAGAGCAAGCCGTGTCCTATCGTGCGAATTTGGTATTCTGACTAAATTTACTGTCTAATAAGCAAGTTTTGCGTTTGGGGTACGTATTTCGCCCTCAAACAAGACACCTAAGAACAGCACCCATGACCCAATAGTTCTGCTCAGCGATATAACACATCATCAAGATGTGGACATCCTCACTCACGGTGGTGGTTCGACCTGAGCGTCAGTCGAACTAGTTCTCGCGATCTTCGAGCCTGTTAGTCGTATCAGAACTACTGCTAGCCCTGGTTGGGCTCGATTCAACCCGACCAATACTGTTAGAATTAGTCTGCTCCAGGGGTATTAAGTCGGTTCTCAAAGATCCCTGTGTCTTTCTATTATAGATAGCTTCCCTTAAATTACAGATCCTTGCTGGATTTTATTTTCACCTCATTTTAACAACATCAAATTGTATTGTAGAAGAACTGGCTATACTAGAAATTGAATATGGGTAAACCAGAATTCTAGTTCTTCAATTAGCCATGAAAAAGCGAACCAAAAGTTAGCGCCGTTCTGATGGCATAAGGCTAGTACAGATGTACACGAAGAATCATCCATGGCCAGCCTCAGTCCTGAAGGACAGGTTCCACCACAGCATTTCCACATATCGTCACCTAAGTTGTAGACGATATGGGGGATTGAGGTATCACCTTTTGGGCAAGAGGCATGTAGAAGTAGCTGCAGAATAACCCAGAAGCTGGTCGAAAGCAAGAACTGTGTGACCGACTTACCACATCTATTAACACAGACAGATCTATTCTCGGTATCGTCAAAGGAAGTGGAATTGGTCGTACATGCGGCGGTATAGTATCCGCTCTCGCCCTCAGTTAGATGACTGTAGCTGTCAATGTTGTCGGTGAGACAGCTGTCGCGGCAGGCACAACACGGTAGCACTGGATGCGTCTCATTAGGAGTGCCACAGGACACTGGGTCGATATCCGCCGTGATTCCTTTCGGCTAGATACAATTCACCATCTTGTACGACTGGTAGGGAGACCATAAAGAACTAGTCTTGCTGATGAAATATGGGCATTGAGAAGCAACAATATCGGGGCCGGGTGAACAGACGAGGCTGAGATATGCGAGGTACTTTGCTGCCAAGAGAAACTCAGCCTGACTCTTTCATTTCTTGTTATGGATTATTGGGCTGTTATAGTACTTACTCGCTGCATATGACAGATGCCGTCTGGCACTAGATGCAGATTTTGCTAGAGCCCTCCAACAGTGTGGTGTGGTGATGCTCTGGGTTTGTTGTTCTACCAGCCTAGGCAAATAAGGCTTGAGTGATACCAATCTAATTTTGAACAAGATCTCTCAAGTATCCAGGGATATGTCCCTACTACACCTGCGTGTATTAGATTTGATCAGCAATATAAAAGGCGAGTCTCTGCCATTTAGAGTTAATCAAAATAGGAAAGACCTATGACCTATAATTCCTCATCGAAGGGGTAATTTCTAGATTTATAAAGCCTTGACCTCTGTTTCTAGGAACGGTCGCAGAATTACCCTCAAGTGCGGAGATGAGATTTATGCCATGATATTCAGCCTATTTACGCCAACCTTTTCTCCAGTATTTCCCACCAACCCCACAATGCCATTTCCCCACCTGATTACATGAAATGTAGGCTTATATTCCTATAGGAAAGAAGCTTCCCACAACCATCTCTGAGTCGAGTTCGTTCGTCTTAGCATGAGCTCTCGATAATTAAGAAAGGGAGGCGAAACATCTACTTTCGAAGTTCAAGAGTACAACAATCAACAGTTCTGATATTGAAGCCTGGGTGTTCCCCTTTATCATGGCCCTCCCTAAGACCATTACACTACAAAGCGACGTTTTGCGTGTCAGTGTCTTCGTTGATGAACAAGGGTCTGCTTTCCTGAAGGAAGTGATTCCCTTACCTGGTTCTTCTCGGCCGTCGGTATCAAAATACTTTACTAATTCATACGCACCGCTGGTAGAACTGCGGCTGGCCGGTGAAGGCACCGCAAAGCATAAATCATCCAAGTGTCTGATAGCCACATATGTGGGGACCCGGCTACGTTACCAATCGCATGAGATCAAGCAACAAGCGGATACCCATACCCTGGACGTTACATTAAGAGACTCCGCCTTTGGGGTGACAGCAATTGCGCACCTGATACTCTACCCGAGTACTTGTGTGCTCCGTGCGACAAGCACAATCCGAAATGACAGTGACATGGACATCGTGGTGACACAGCTGAGCTCCTTGGTCCTGGGTGGACTAACAACTGGTGCAGAGAAATGGTGGTCTGACTACGTTCTTGCAGTCCCCAATAATTCATGGTTCAGAGAGGCACAATGGATCGATCACGATCTACCCAGCTTGGGTCTAGACGACTACGGCGTGTATGGACATCCTGAAGAATATGCAGCTAGCTTAGGTCACTATTCGGTTTCTAACCGCGGAACCTTCTCAACAGAAGGCCATTTGCCTATGGGCCTTTTGAAGCGTACTGACAATGCTGAAACATGGCTTTGGCAGGTTGAAAACAATGGTTCCTGGCGCTGGGAAGTCGGTGACTGGAAAGACAGCGTGTATCTAGCTACTGGCGGTCCGGTTGAGACCGATCATGATTGGAGACAAAGGCTCTCTCCCGGACAAGAATTCACTACCGTGCCTGTGGCTTTATGCCATGTCTTAGGGAACTATGAACATGCATTTGCCGAGATGACCCGTTACCGACGACAGATGCGGCAGAAACACGAGGATCATGAGACATTGCCCATCATCTTCAATGACTACATGAATTGTCTTATGGGTGACCCTACTGACGAAAAGATTCTGGCGCTCGTCGACCCCGTAGTCCGAGCTGGAGCTGAATACTTTGTTATCGACGCTGGCTGGTATGCTGATGATTCGGGCTGGTGGGATGATGTCGGGTTGTGGGAACCTTCGAAGAAGCGCTTTCCTACGGGATTCAGGGAACTACTTTTGCACTTGAAAACACAAGGCCTTACTCCAGGCCTCTGGATTGAGCCAGAAGTCATTGGCGTACGCAGCGTTGTCGCGAAACAGTTACCGTATGAAGCGTTCTTTCAGCGAAATGGCCAGCGCATCGTTGAAAAAGGACGTTATCAGCTAGACTTTCGTCACGCGGCGGTCCAGAAACATATGAATGTTGTTATGCACAGACTAGTCAGCGAATATGGCGTGGGTTACTTTAAATTCGACTATAATATCGAAGTCACTCAGGGTACAGACATCAACTGTTCAAGTGCGGGATCTGGTCAATTAGATCACAATCGGGCGTATCTGCACTGGGTCAACGATCTGCATGACCGGTATCCTGACCTGGTCATTGAAAATTGCTCGAGTGGCGCTCAGCGAATGGATTATGCTATGTTGGCTGTCCATGCTTTGCAATCAACTAGCGACCAACAAGATCCCGGTCGTTACGCAGCAATTGCTGCCGCTCTTCCAACAGCTGTTACCCCCGAGCAAGGTGCTGTTTGGGCATACCCTCAACCAGAGTGGGATGACGAAACTAATGCGATGACGGTGGTTAATAGTCTTCTCGGCCGCGTACATCTAAGCGGACGGCTAGACAAACTTAGCCCGCACCAGTTTCAGCTTATCAAACAAGGTATGGATGTCTACCGTACAATTCGCGCTGATCTAAGGATGGCTACTGCTTTCTGGCCTCTCGGCCTTCCTCGTTGGCATGACGAGTGGGTCGCATTAGGCATGGCAGTGCCTACGTCGGACATTCGTGATTCAGGCGCTCACTATTTAGCTGTCTGGAGACGAGGAGGTCCAGACAGTATTGAGCTACCGATTAATACTCTTTCTGGGCGTCCTGTAAGGACAGAACTGCTTTATCCTGCTACCTTTCCCTGTGAGATCTCATGGGAGCTCGCGCAGGGAATACTTCACATCCGGATGCCATTGAAGACCTCTGCCCGTTTACTGAAACTCACGAGTGGCGATATTTAATTCAGTAATATAGGCTATAAAGAATTCAGGTCTTCAATCCCAATGTGATGTTTGGCTGTATGAGATAGGAAGAAGCACTTACACGCTTTCACGTTACATGGGAATCACAACGTAGATTGGATGACCCAGCATGCTCACGGATAATCGTCCCTAATGATTGGCACTTCGACGGCAACCAAAGATCTCGAATTGAACCGAGTCGTTAATTCTATGACGTCGAAAGATGAACCTAAGTCATTGGACTCAAAAAGTCGTTAAACCCTGCCTTCCTCATACCTCTTTGATACCCTCTATTAGACCCCTCAACGAAACACAACTTAGAAGCTCAAACTGCACTATGCATTGTCTACTATATCGCCATACATGATGAGTTCAGCAGATTGGAACTGGCGAGGGAAGACTGGTTTCGTCTGGTTTGCATTCGCGTTCTTCACATCTCTCCGGGGCTATTTCCAAGACTAAGGGCCGTACATTTGTGGAGCTTAATATTATGTTCGCCGCAGGAGAACCCAGTCAGAAGTTCATGAAATATCATGTTGACCCGTATGCAAACAATGTACCGATCAAGGACCGGGTGAGAGAAAGCCCACTGCACGGTAAGATAAGTCCATGATATGCTTACAACTGATTCATGAATCATAACTTGGTTTACACGGTGTCTGGGTAGCAAGGCAGCATTCTATCGTATTAATGAGCACTTGGGCATCTCTTGCAGTTAGACGACAGCATCGCGATATTTGAGTTTCCACGAGGCTGAGCATAGGGCTTTGCAGCGGAAACCTCCGCCAACCAACCGCGAAGAAACCAACAATTTGGCCAAGTAATATATGACAGCCGGAGCAAGTACAGTCAGCTTGCATTTCTCACTTTAGCCATTGGCCACAGAAAAAAATAGGCTGACAGCGTTAAGCCAACCCGGTCGATTGGGTTCGTATTTCATTTCTTGGCTCTCGCACAGACACTGGGGCGTCTGCGTATAAATATTTGCTTCAAAGTTTCTTGTCGGCGCGGCTCCGACACAATCAACCATCGACCAGATTTCACTTCAATCATGCAATTGTGAGCGTTAAGGCATGGCATCCGATGGTACCATGACAACGAAACCCTCGAGCGCCCCGTGGGCAGACGAGCCCTTCCACCTAATCACAACACCGTCAAAGACCCTAGATGTATGTGCTCATAGTTCAGAGCCGAATGACACCAACTGACCAAATGTTCAGGGATCGCTCGGTCACGTTCATGGTGCCTCTGAGATGGCACATGCACATAATGCCATTATACGAGGGCTGAATGCCATTCTCCAGCAGGCGCCGTACGTGCCCATTGCTACTGACGAACAGTTTAACACTCAGGATGTCAAGGACCTTCTCTTCTACGTTCAGTCGTGGGCCAAGATGGTGCATCACCATCACTGGGTTGAGGAGACTTTCATGTTTCCAGAGATTGAGAAGTTTATCGATAAACCGGGGTTTATGGATGACCCAAAGCATCAACACGAGCTGTTCCATGACGGACTAGAGAAACTGATTGCGTATTCCTCGGCCACGAAGCCCGAGGAGTACCGTTGGAAAGGAGCCGATGGCATGGAGAAAATAATTGACTCTTTCAGCAAGGCCCTGACGGATCACCTCTACGCTGAGATCGATATCTTCTTGGGCATGGGAGACATCGATAGCGACGGGTTGAAGAATATATGGAAAGAGGTTGGGAAAATTGCACAGAAAACGGGGAATATCGCAATGCTTGTAGGCTGCCATTTCACTTTTCTTATACACTATCCATATGGTGCCGGCAGGTTGGGTGCTAACTCGTCCACCACAGTATGATATCTTCCCCACGTTACTTGGCTGTGCCGACAAGACCTACGAAGGCGGCACTGACTTTCCTCCCTTGCCGTGGATGTTGCCCTACGTGGTCAAGTACTGGTTTGCCGCGTATAATGGAGCCTGGCGATTTAACCCATGCGACTGGTGGGGTCAGCCAAAGCCCCTGGAGTTTGGTCCAAGTTGAAGTCTGTGTGAGCCATTACTGATAGTACCGGTGGATAACTCTAACCTATGCGTAAAACTAACGTATACTCCATCATATCCACGTTATGCCTTTAGCTTTTGCAAACTTCTCGGTGCAGAAGCACCGTCACTGTTCAGGTCCAGCCATCGGTTCATTAGACTTCGCAATGATCCGCGCCGTTAAATCGGGAGGCTCCGGGAAAGTAGTATCAAAAGGCCACATCGGTCGACGAATGCGTTTATGCCCCAGTCGCTTGATGTCTTGGTCCACACCACCAGGAGTGAGCCCGAGCATCCAATCTGCAGCCATATCAAACAGTTCCGGCTCTAGGTATCCAATTTTAACGATCACTATATCCGTAGCACGAGGATTCAGATTGAGATCAGTAAAGTCACGTTCGTGATGGTAAGGTTTGCGAAGCTGAGTAAGAATCGCAAACACACTGCCAACCTGCAAGACTGCCTCGATGACGGCGTCCTTGTCGCCGTGCTTGATCGAATGCACGCGTCCCGTCATGGTGATAGGGCCAGCATGGATATGGTCCACTTCCGCTCCCGCTGTAACAGTTACAGTAGCACCGACACCTGCTTGAACCATTGTTTGGACGGCTTGCGGCCCCGGGACACTGGCATATATAACTTTCGGTCCCGAAGGACCTTTAAACTCGGATCGACCGAGTAGCCGCGTCAGTCCCCAAGTCACATCGCCTGAACCGCCCGCAGTCGGGTTATCTCCGGAGCCGGAGACGAAGAAAGGGTGGGCAGGCGAGGCCAACGCAGTATCGATACATTGTTTGAAAGACCCTGTTGGTGCGACAAACTTGAAGTCCTTGCGCGAGTCCCAGAACTTCTTTGCTAAACGCTCCGCTCCAGCAGTAATGGCCGTTTCATCCCACCCTGTGACAACTATGGCACCGCGATTCCGTGGCTCGTCGGCCCAGGGATATCCGACCCATATCGCGGCATCGATCACCCCGGGTTCTGCCTCGACTTCAGGCACGATCTCATAAAGACCCTTAGCCGGCTCAATACGCGTAGACGTTTGCTCTCCGGGTAGCAAGATGGGCACTGGAATCCACGCTTTGAGGGGTCGTACCGGACCTCCAGCGAGGTCAGAAGACTGCGTAAGAAGGTCAACAAGATTGCGACACGCTCGCTCTTTAGTCTCTGATTCATCCTCATGCGGAGCCGTCCGATAACATGTTAAAATGTCCAACCCGTGGGCTAATTCCCTAGAAACATTTCCGTGTAAATCCATAGACGCCGACACAATGACATCAGGACCAGTAACGGTCCTGATCCGTCGCAGAAGTTCAACCTCGGCGTCATCGATGCCCTCCACGCACATAGCACCGTGAATATCAAACCAGAGACCATGGACCTCTGTAGTCGCAACAATGTTGCCTAAGCGCCCGACAATCTCTCCTGCCAGCTCCTCGAAGGCATCACGCGTCACCATCCCACCGGGTAATGCATGGCCAATTAACGCACCATGCCATTCCGCTGCATTGCCTAGAGGTGTACCCGCCTGTATGAAATCGTATTCATCGATCACCTCGTCTCCCCTGCGGGGATGAAATGCAGGCGCAAGGGTGCGCGAGGGGGTGAAGGTAGACGTTTCACAGGCTAATCCTGCAACGGCAATGACAGGACGCTTTGCCATTACTGCTTTGAGGCTCAAGGTCTGGTATAAAGATCTGTAAGCTGTGTATAGAAGACTTTGCTGGACTACGGGGGGTTGTTGACATTTTGATGTTAGGTTAATTACCCCGCATAATCCTTGATAAGCCCGTGAACCCGAGCGGTAGCAACGGAGCTTCTACGGATATATGGCCTGGTATATTTGACGAATTTGTCTGTTTTAGCCATTTAGAACGAGCTAGCTGGCTGAACCAAAGCAAGTTAAACATGTTCAAGAATGCTGCAATTTGATGATTCATGGCAAATGTGCATTGCAGACAAAGCATGGGTCAGATACACTCCAAGAGTAGTAAATGGGGCCTTTTGCAATGCGTAGTAGGTAGTAGAATTGGTTATGATCCAGGTATCCACGGCCATCTCATTGCTCGAGTCTGACGACAGGGAGAATGTGCATAAATGTATCTCCAACTCTGGCAATATCCAATGTCAGCGGAACGGAACAACCTTCATCCTCAGGTGCCTGAAGAGGAATGGCGTAGAAGCGTACTTGCCCGAGGCACCAAGGCAACACTCAAAAGTCACTTTGAGTTCGAGTTCGCTTGGTCCTGCTTGGGGCATATATTCCACCGGGGATATTGAAAGTAAAACGCAAGTGACATACACACAGGTACGGTTTTCACCACATACAGATGAAGTAAGCACAGAAAATCAATGGTCACTGATACTGGATAGAGCACATGGAGCAAATTCAGCCAGGCTCGGCGTCGCGCGACTCGAGCCACAACGGATCAGACAAGAATGCCCATCGACCGCTGTTAGAGATTGCCTGCTTCAATAAAGAGTCGGCTATAATTGCTGCCAGAGCTGGAGCTGATCGAATTGAGTGAGTCACCTCTGTTTAGCCATGAAGTCGTCAGTTCAGGACTGTCTCTGCCTCTAGGCAGTTGAACTAACATACTCAATGCTTGCGCATAATTTGTTTAAAACTAAACACTAATACCATCAAGGCTATGTCGAGATTATGCATCAGGTGGCCTGTCTCCAGAGCCCGAGACCGTGGCCATATTGAAATCGCAGATCTCCATTCCTATCTATGTGATGATCCGACCACATGCGCAGAGCTTCTATTACAGCGACACAGACTTTGAAGTCATGAAGCGTACCATGCATTCGTTCTTGGAGCATGGTGCGGATGGATTTGTGTTCGGTATTTTGACTCAGACTGCACCAGAGGAGGCCGTTCCTCGGATTGACGTAGCGAGGAACAAAGAACTGGTTGACCTTGCGCAAGGTAGGCCATGTACTTTTCATCGCGCATTTGACCAGATATCGGAATCGAACTGGGATACTGCCCTGACAGATATCGTGGAGTGCGGGTTTACTTCTATCCTGACGAGTGGCCCATCCGGTGCGACAGCGATTGAATGTGTCTCTCAACTAAACCATCTGGTACATGAACGACTCGAGCGGTTAAGGGGACGTGTGGGGGATCACAGCTGGCTACCTCAGATCATTGTAGGTGGAGGAGTTAGAGCCACCAATGTTGGAATGTTATGGGAGAGGACGCGTGCTCCCGCATTCCATTCTGCAGCCCTCGCTCAATCCTCGGTGGAACTGGTCAGTGATGGTGAAGTAGAGGCGTTGAGGGCTATCCTTAACAAAGCAACATGAAAGTATGCTACAACACAAGTGTTATATCCTTGGTTATGGTTATCACAAACAGAAGTATCAATCCACATTATGTGTCAGGTGGATAATATTCGTTGCGTACAAGATATGGTCGTTTCACGATATTGGTTTCTTCTTCCTCCAGCCAGTTAAGGTGCATATCAGCTCGAAGGATCTGGGACATTGTAACCGCCATATTGATTCCCACGCCATGCCCAATTTTATCCAGACACTGCGCAATCCACGCCTGCATGTTCGGCGACACTCCCGTGGAATCGGATGCAATAAAGAGCGGCCACATTAACCGAAGAACACCGCCTGCGAAGGGAATACCCAAGGTTGATCCATCGGATGAACCGGTCATGCCCAGATGATACGGCACGCTGGCACATATATCCTCGGCTAACTGCTGCGAGATTGCGGTGCTCTGCCTCTCGTTTTGCCCGAATGATCCGTCTTTAGATTCCTGAAAGTAAGTGGCGGAAACGTATCCAATGATACCGTGAAGAATGATGCGAATGAACCGATAATGGTTCCAAGCCATGCTCACTGTGATATTGGGGTAGACGTGATAATGATCCCCGTATACCGGGTGGAGAGTATTATTTTCATCTTCGAACTTTTTCACCTTAACGACGGTATATTTCCATCTCGCATCGATGCTCATCGCCCACGTTATTAGCCCTGCATCAAGGTTGAGAGCTTTCTGAAGAACTCCAGCCGGATGGGCGAATGCGTTCTCATTGATATCTGCAACCAGATCACCGACTTCCACCAGTATTCGGAAGAAGTAGTCAAGGACTTGGTCCCCAGTATCGCCGCGGCGCTTTAGAGCCTCTTTGGACAAGTCCAGCAGCCATGACGGAGTGCGTTGCTTCTTGTATAAATTTCCCAGTGCCTGTTGTAATATCTAGTCAGCCTATTGCGGTTTCCCTCGAAGTGTGCATGACATACAATTTGCACCCGGATCTGAGTGAACAGCTCCAAGCCCGCTTCATGGTCTATTTGCTCGAATCCGCGAAGCTCAATTAGTTTCACACCCCCTTCTATATGGTTCAACCAGCGCCCGATTAAAGGTGGGCCCTCGCACGTCACGATCTATTATGCTTATTAGCCTAAGATTAGCCATGCGACATGGTGTTTGCATTAGTTGCCCACCTCATACAGCGACAAGAGCTCAACTGCTGCTAAGGTCGAATCGGACCGGGCACATTCCGGATCGCGTAGGGCTACACTAGTCGCTGACAGTGCCGCACTATATTCATGCCGTGCAGCTGACATTAACTGGGGAGACATATGGATATTAGCCAGGGATGCGAGCCCTAGGGCGCTGATGCAGGCTGTGACCGCGGGACTAGTATCTGTCCGAACAAGGGTTGAAAGGAAGTCAAGATGACCTCGAGTGTGCTTCGCATTTCGGACATAATGGGAAAAGATAAAACCCGATGCTTGGTCATTCACGGAGAAGGTGAGGGACGGTAATATTGTAGGCGATAACTGTCGGTGACCATTGACCATGGAAGGACTTGGTCGCCTCGAGCATGACAATGCTTTCGTCGACGCCTTGGTATTCTGCTGGCGACGGGCCTTTCCTATTACTTCTTGACTCTGATCGTGAAAGCTGAGGGTCGCTACGTCGCGATACCCTGAGCATTCTCGATGAGCGCGGATGCATTGAGAGCAGGACGGTCTCCGCTGATCGCACTACACATGGACTTAGTTACACCCGCAGATCGGACTAATATAGATTGGCATGCCACGTACTTTGAGGCGTCGAGTCCGACAGGGCTCACAGGCAGGACTAGGCTTTCCTCGATAAACCATTGAGCTGTATACTTAGAGAATCTGACGGGGTTACGAGTTGGATACCCGAATGAGTAAGATCGGACCAAAGTAGTGGGGTCGGAAAGAAGCGAGACTTTCGCTCTTATTTAACCTGCCAAGAAGAGCGCCAAATGCTTAGGCTGCGAGCTCGGCAAGAGGCTGTGCACTCCAGTCCTTCCGAATAGTATGCTCATTTGGGTTTAGTGAGGTCCAGCCTTGTCAGAAATAAGCATTCTGCTGCCTGTTTGTGAGCGAATGAGGTTTCTATCCCCACATCTTCAGTGCTCAGCCTCAAACCTGCCCCGAAGCTATTGCCCATAGAAGTATTGTTTCTTGACGTTCCGGCTAGCCTAGAACGTCCAGCATTTGTCGAGGGGTTCAGAATGACGCCTATCAGCGTCGGTTTTGGGCTCACTCGCATTAGATTGCCAGCCCACCGAATAGCCCCAAGAAGGAGAGATACTAAATTATATTTCACCAATCTGAACTACAGCTGTGGGGTATGTGCTATTGGTTGCTGATAGGCTTTTCGTCTCTTGTCTATTTGCTTTCGACTTTTTTTTTCTTTAATTTATCTCATATGTGTTCGACCCGTTCTACTGAGCCACTGCGACGAGCTATGTCCCCAATGCGGAAAGTCAAGTAGAGCCCTAAGTTGACCAGAGCCGTACAAGTGGTGTAGATAAATACCTTTACACCTTCTTCCCACCTTAGACGGCCCTATCGAATTTTCATAATTCCTTGCATTGTCTATTCCATTCAATCGCTCCACTAGGAGTTGCTGCTATATTCAATCCATCCCATTGACACGTTATATTTGCTCCCCATAAACACGAGCGACCGGACCGATTCTGCGACCAAGATGAACGGGATATTTCCGGCTGATCTTGCAGTTTACCTCTTCCTAGTTCCTTTTGTGCTGTATGTTTACTGGTCCCATGGATGGATCGGCTGGCTTCCTTGGACCAACCTTCTCGTCTTCTGTACTGTGCGGGTAATCGGGGGTGCCATCGGAGTGAACGACAGTTCTAGCATCGCGGCGAACATCATCTCCGGGATAGGAATATCCCCACTGTTATTGGCTATCGATGGACTTCTATCTGAAGCGTACGTTTAGATCGTCTCCCTGGGTAGCAAAGCTCCTAACACACTCGGCTGTTAATAGTCGGTATTACCGTCACCCGGAGCACAATGTGCGCCTCGGTTGGATAGTGATAGTCACGATCACTGGTCTCATGGGCGCTGGTCTAGGCCTTAGCATTGGCGGATCATTGCAGATCTACCAGGGTGAAGGGACGCCTGAGGACCTTTCGCACTGGAAGGTGGGAACGGGTTTAGTTGTCGCTGTCTGGGCGATGGAAGTGATGTGGGCACTCTTCTCCCTTCTTCCATCTCAATGCAACAGGTATGCTCCGGGGTATAAAGACGGTACCAAGGTATATAACCCTGTGAACGAATGAATGATGTTTCATGAGCACTAACGCCTGTCGATTTCCTAGCTTATGTATGGGGCTCTTGCTGCTATCGTCTTCACCGGTGTTCGCGTTCTCTACAATCTGATTGCCGTTTGTACCCAGAGACAGGACCTGAGTCCCGTGTTTGGATCTATCGCTGTTCGTGTGGTCCTTGTCTTTCTCCCCGAAGCCTTCGCTGCATTGTCGATGATTTTCGCGGGGCTCTGGAGTAGGAATATCCGAAGGCATAACCAAGCGGTGGAGAAGTATGGGTCAATATCTGCCTAAAAGCTCAAATACGTTATACATCATTGACATTTATGCAGAGATCTGTATGGAATTAGTGCTCGAGGTTTCCTGACACCCGTTCCTATCTTGATTATTTCCTAGACTGGCTCCCGTAAGTCATGATGTAATGTCAGAAATAGCAGTAGAAAGTTATATGGGACTATAGCTTCACCACGCAGTATACACAATCAACCACCGTCTACCTCGTACTGCTTGAATAGATGAACCTACTCATACAAACTTCCACATTAGCTATGAAACCGAAACATTATTTCTCTGATGTAATCAGGGGCTTTGAGCATCCTCCTACTGAGTAGAATGATGCCCAGCGAAGAATTGCTGATGGTTCCAAACCGAAAGCACGAGCAAAGGTGGATGCTCTGAAACGATTCCAGGTAACCCCTCAATATATTGAGGTGCATCAGTAGTACGGAGTAGCTGATGCGGTGGGATCCCACACCGAATTAGTTACTAGATTTGGAAGTTATGGACCCACTGACCGATTATAATGACAGGGTATAGGATTGTAGATTCTATAAACTTCTGCTAAGCCTGGCAATGCGTGTACAACGTGGATCTGCGCAAGGCCAAGTCAAGCCATATCATTTATGAAAGGTACCGAAGTGGTTACCCAAAGCGTAAACCAATGATTTCTCGAATGGCTGCCATTCAAGCCACGTTGAGGTTATTCTCGTCCTTTGCAACAGTCTAGGGAGTCAGCCTCAAGAGGTATAAGTACTATGCAATAGATGGTAGTCGGAGAAATTATAGAAAAGAGCTACACTTTTCACTCAGTCCAATACCAAATTTTCGCTGGAAATCGTACTCAGATATCTATCTTTCTTATTTCCCATTCCTCTTCGATGTCCCGTGCGAGGAAAAAACCATCCACTCATCATGTGTCTTCTGCTACCACTTCTGATGCTCAAATCGCGCAAAGGCAAGAAGGAGTCAGCCTCTGGGCAATACGCACATGAGCAACGGCCACGCCCAGTCATGAGGGATTCACGAACACCGGAGAAACGGGGCCAGATGGTCTAAAGGCAACTCGTAGGTAAATACACACGATGGATGATACCTGTTAGAGTTATGTTGACACAAAGCTAGGGCATTCCTTGTTTTTCTTCTATACAGCTACATATACGAATTAGGAAGAAGAGTGATGCCCTTCGCGCACCGTATGATGCGAGGAAGGATATGAGTGTTTGCTTCATTTCTCGTTATGTTCTATTTCAACAAGCATAGAATAGAAATCATCGCTTTATGAGATATTCTTTATACTTGTGCACCATTCGTACTGGCATCGAAGGTCTTCCGACCTCGAGCCCAGGTTTGCTGGACGCTTGCCTTGAGTAGATTCTCTGCCTTCCAGTCCGTTTCCAAAACCACAAAGTCCGCTCTCAACCCAGCCTTCAAGGACCCCGTCCACGAATCCGCCCAGCGGGAATAGGCCGCCCCAGTTGTGGCGGCAGTTACAGCGGCAGCCAGAGGCAATCCAAAGTGAGAATTGACCGTTTCCGTACACTCGGGCTCAAGGGCGGATCTCCTGGTGGTAGCATTATACAAGTTTGGCAGGGCAGGATGGGGTGCGGTGGGTGAATCTGTGCCGAATGCCACTGGAGCGCCGCCCTCAAGGAATTCGCGGTAGGCAAATGCACGGCTACAGCGATGCTCTCCGATAAGCTCCGGCCAGGCACGGAACAGAGCCGGGTCCGAGTGGACTGGTTGAACCGACGCCGTGATTCCAAGCTGACCCAGGCGTTTCGCGTCCTCCGGCGAGGTGAGCTCGAGATGTTCAATGCGATGACGATGGCCAGGCTGTGCGAGAGATAGTGCATCGATGGCATTCTTGACGGCCTTGTCACCAATGGCGTGAATAGCGATCTGCAGTCCAGCCGCATCTGCCTTCTTCACAACAGCTTGCAAGGCGTCCTCGGGCCAGATCGGATCCACCGGATTCTCGCATCCCTGGTACGGGTCTGTCAGAGCTGCAGTACAGCTGTCAACGACGCCATCGCACATCAGTTTAATCCCTGCAATGCAAAAGTCGGGAGATGTCGCCGGATTATATTCACGATGCAGGGCGATCGCGCGATCGAGTTCACCAAACACCATGTCCAGGTTGTCATTAGGTGGAATCACCCAGTGCGCCGCAATATGGAACGGAAACTTCTCCCCATGTCGCTCCCGCCACGCCTTCAGCACGTCCCATTCAAGATCGTCCATACCCATGTCAATCATTCCCGAGTACCCAGCCGCAGTGTACTCGGCCAACGCATCGTCCATCGCATCCAGCTTATCCTTCAGCGGGGTAGCCCTTACCAGGAACTGCGGAACGATACCCAAGTGAGCCATCTCACTCAACAAACCCGACGGCTTCCCATTCGCATCCCGATGAATCGTTCCGCCAGGAGGATCAGCCATAGTGGCGACCCCTAACTCCTCCAAGGCGGCAGTATTACACCATCCCGAATGCATATCGTTGGCATGGATGTAGATCGGGCGCGGATCCAGGTCGTCCAACATACTTGCCAGGGCTTCTCCCCCTGTGGTCGACTGAACCCAGCTTTTGCACATAATCCGAGGCTCCTTTGGATTCGCCTCCGCAAAAGCCTTGATCGCCTGCCGAATCTCCTCCAACGATTTACACGAGAGAAGGCTCAGCTTGCGGCATGACAGCGAAAAGTCGACAATATGCATGTGGCTATCGATGAAACTTGGGACCACGATCTTGTTTTGCAGGTCTACCTCATGGGCACCGGAGTCTTTCGCTTGCTGAATCGCGTCATGGTTTGGGGATCCGACATATTGGATGCGGTCCCCGCTGATGATCATGGTTTGTTGGAAGTCATATCCTTCGGCGCCGGTGCTCGGTGTGAAGATGCGCCCGTTGGCGAAAATTGTAGTAGACATCATGTCGGTTCTTCGCGTATGTATACTAGACCGGCTATGATAGTTATATTGTAGCGAACAAGAGATTGCCCCCGGGGTTGGTGATATACAGCGGGCGGAATGTCGACTTATATGCCTTGTCGTAGTCGCATGGGGGTCCAAGTGAAGATGGCCCTGCGCAAAGTGACGCCATTGGCCTACGCGGCCGAAAATTCTCCACATCCAGATCGGCTTGGCAGGTGGGATTCGATACTCAGTATGGGCTGTGGAGGAAGGAATCAGGAGAGTGGCGGGGAAGTAATGGAACAGGTATTTATAATTTTAGATGCGATATACGGTAGACACAGATCTCGTGACCAGGAATGATTTCTGGTGATCTAGTCAATTTTATCTAACTCCCCTCCAGTCTAATTACACTGTCTCTACAAATTATCACCTTCTCCATTACCACCCCCTATCCCCACCATCCCCTTCAACAATCTCGTGTGCACTGCAGAGCCCGGTCGACACAGACCCTAACCGGCAGCCACGGCACTCAAGTAATAATCAGCGGTGCTGATACGCGTCTTCTTACCCCAGATTATCATGGGAATGATAAAGAGCATAATGCCAAAACACACGCATCCAGCACTGATAAACATATTCTGCACACCAAGTCCGGTCATCCACGGGTTGATAGCGAACGAGATACCCGTCGAGATTGCGTTGCGGATGACTGTGATGACGACGAGGCCTTCAGCGACAAGCTAGGAGATAGTCAGCCACCAAGATGTTGCAAGACCAGCGGAAAAGAGCGCCAGGAGGCACAGATCAAGCATACCTCACAATAGGAATCTCCATAGTACGGGAGAACGATCGATGTTACCGATCCGATACCAAAGCCGACAAATGAGGATCCAATTAAGGGGACAATCCACGGTTGTTCCTAGTGAAGCTTTCTGTTAGCGAGGGATTCCGATTCTCACTCGGGGAGTAGTGCAACGTACATTGGCAATGCTGGTGCCGTAAAGGAAGAGACCTAGGGGTAAGATGATCATGGGCACAAGGAGCATGTGCAATCTGAGTTCCGGGTCATAGATTCCACCTCGGCGCCGGGCCATGTACACGACATAGTAGTCATTGAGAGGACCGCCATATATGGACCCGATAACTGCCCCGACGAAGGGCGCAATGTTAATATTGCCGATGCCCACTGATGTAAAATTGTATGGGGGTTGCGCAAACAAGATAGGCTGTGTTGTGGCTAGGATGGCCACCCAGACCATCATGAAGGAATATTGAAGACCCACAAATGCCACTGCTGGGATGCGGAAGATTAGGACAAATGGAGTCCACATATGCCGCCAGTATTTTTTGAGAGTGATGTTGTCAGAAGGCTCAAAGTGGGTCATTCTTTTAAAATACGTCTTCCGGGGCGGGATAGGCTCCTCCACAGGCAACGGTGGGACTGTATCACAATGGGTTGGCATCGGCTTTTCTTTGTCGAATTCAGAGGCTGTAATCTGCTTCTCCTCTGCCCCCAGTGCCCCTGGGGGGTCTTGGCCGATATAGCAGTTTCCTGCGGGCCTCCCATACCGAGTCTCTTCGTACGCGAAAATGATCAAGAGTAGTACCAGTCCGTTAAGAATGGCGCACCACCACCATACCCAACGCCATCCCTGGCTATTGATAATATATCCGGTGGGGATTAGGCTCAGATATGTCTAGAAACAACGAGTTTAGTTCAGAGATAAAGTGGTTTCGGAGCAGTAGAGCCTTACACCAACCACCACACATGTGGAATATATACCATTCATTGTTGCACGCTGGTGCACAAAAAAAAGATCCACGATCTGTTATCTCATGTCGCATAAGCTCGGAACTAGGAATAGGTTCTTTGACAGGGCCAGCTGTACTTACAGTCATCTGAATGATCGTGTCGTTGACTGAGCCTGCGAGCCCCGCTATCGCCTGTAGCACGATATACTGGACGCGGGTTTGGAACACCGCTGAACCTATATTCGACAGGACCAGGGCAAACGAAGCAAACATGTATACAGGCTTCCGCCCGAGTAGGTCCGCCGCAGGAATGAAGAAGATGCACCCAATAGCCATGCCTGCCAATCCAGACGCATAGCTGTTATTAAGATACTGTTCTCCATAACCGAGATCTTCCATCAGGGCAGGCCAGGTCACTGTTCCGACGTCCAGTCTAGCGGTGTGTCAGCACCCTGTGTGGGCTTTTAATTAGAAAATAGACTCGTACGTGGTAAACACCATCAAGGTGAAAAGGCAAGTAATCCCAAAGTTGATGGCCTTTTGGTAAGTGGGCCAGTTCTACCCAAACTTCTCGTCAGCTCATACTCGAACAGGCTATTCTGGGTGGCGAGGAAGGCAGTTTCGCGACTGAAAACGTACCAATGGCTCATTTGGGTCATTCGATGGCTGTGGCTGGAGTATAACATGGCCATCGGAATCTTCTTCGACGCCGTCAAGATCGATGGGTCCTTGAGACCGTCAGTGTTAGCCCCGGAGTGCGAATGTCGCGATAGAACGATGCGGGATATCTACCCTCTCCGAAATAAACCGTCCCCGGTGGCGTCCGTGGCCTTTCCACATTGTCTCGTTGTATCCCAGATGACTCGGTCATCGAGGCTCGCAATCACCAGCTAGGGTTGGCAAGATTTCAATGGTTTCAAAGATGGACGATGAAAGGAAATATCAATGTTGACACTGTAAAGCCAGTTATCCAAGAGGTGGGAGTCTTTGACAACATTCGCCGAGGCAGTAGTTTCTATGTCTACACGAAGGTATCGTCAAATGCCGAGTTGATCGCAAGAAGACTATACACGAGGCAGTCGTGATATATACGATGAATTATCTTTGTAGGGGAGGGGAGGCACGACTACTAGACTACATGAGTTAATGCAATATCCGATTCCAGAGATTCGGATAGACTATCTACTAAGGGACAAGCCTTGACCAAAGAACGTGGCGTGGAAGCGACGAAATGGTTTCTGCTTGTTGAGAGAGTTTGATATCCACCCCGTGACCCAATTGGGCGAGAATCGCGCAAAGTGATGCCATTGGCTGTGCCTGTCCAAATTATGGGTCCGCTCGGTCGAATTCACCAATGGGAAGCCCCCGGGCATGGCCCGTCTTCGTGGCGGAGGCAAAAGACTCAACCCTCGTTGCATCCTGAACAGCACCTCCTGGCCTGGTTGAAACTCCTAGCACCGGTCATCCCCCTTTGTTAACACACTTGACACACGAACTGCTGTCCGGATCCCTGACGTACACCCCGCAAAATCTCTTCGAGGGTACACCCAACCCCACAATCTAAGATTTCCCCACACCAGAGATAACCACTGGGCGATAGTGTGTCATTGAATCACAATGCTGACGCCTTATCAGATAGCGGATAACCGACGGTAGCCCTTGACGTCTGCCTGTTGGGGTCCTGATATCAGTTTCAACACATCGCTGCCGCAGCTTTCTCAGCCGCGTGAGTTTAGTGTTGCAGCTATACGGACCCTGGCGGCCATAGGGTACACATTCCCTATCGGGCCAAGTGCTAAGAATAGCCATTCCACTGGCCAGGGCTTTATCGGCAGTACGATTGCCAAGTAGATAGGTCGTCACAGGAGGTATCTAGTGCCTTGTAACCACGAAGATCAGGGCATTAGGCATCTATTAGGGGATACCTTCCCGATTGTGCGCATGATACGCCCCAACTCAACCGGCATGGTACCGCGGCAGAAGAGCTGGCCCTACTAGATTGGGGAGTTGATTCAAGTATGCCGGAAATGACACCCCGAACGAAAAACTACCGTCCACCGCGTCGACGGCCGGCGCATCTCCGCACGAAGACTGGCTGTCTCACATGTGGGTCACCCCACTCCGCAATCTCTGCTGGAAGTTTTTCACCGTTCGACTAACGAGCCCTTATAGGCAGGAAGAGGAAGAAGAAGTGCGACGAGACTCCCGGGACATGCTCGAATTGCGCCCGACGATGGCTTTCCTGTGAATGGCCTGCGGACCTATGTGGCAATCCAAAACAGACCAGATCTGAACACCGGTCGGCCAGCAAAGCCCGTTCAGAGCATTCCCCTCAACCTTCTATCAATGAGTGGCATGTTAAACAGCATGGACTCGAGGCAGACTATGCAGCCAGCGCGTCTCCCTCTTGGGATACTGAAGGAGGAAGCGATGTGTTTCTTTCTCCCACCAATACTGATACCCCAAGTAGCCAAAATGACTATACGATGACTACCCAAAGCAGCCATTCCTCTATCCTCAATTATATCTCCCCATTGCTCTGTCTATCACCCGCCATAACTTCCGACAGCGCGCCTTTGTTTGAATTCCTAAGGGCTGTGTTTCTACCACAGTTAATCCGACCAATGGCCCTTGATACTGTCATCAGAGCTGCCGCCGATGATTCATTGACGTTGGCCTTACGTACCCCCTTCTACATGCATTCCCTTCTCGCATGCTGTGGCGCAGAAATACCGGTGGACGACGTTTACTCACAGGTCCATTTCCAGAAGCTGGCCAGTATGCATTACGTCAAAGCGATATCAGGACTACGCGAAAGCCTCGACAGTGGTATGTTTGATGCTGCGAACACAGCAATTATTCGAACATCCATGATGTTGTGTATCTACGAGGTGAGCTTATATATCGAGAATGCACCGAGCATTACTAACAACTAGTAATAGAGATCCAAACCTCGCCTCTCAAGGGGCGTGGATGCCCATATACTTGGCCTCGCACAGTTGATAAAGTTACGCTTTCAGGATGACCAAACAACTCCCATGCTGCAATCCGAAGGGGAGATCAACATGTCTCGTGTCATACTAGAATCCTTCATATTCCATGCGACAACGAGCATCCCGTTTCAACAAACGATTAAACCGCCCGAGCCTGTCGAAGCCGCCCTTTCCCTGGCTGAAACTAAACTCCAAGAAATGTACAAATGGAAAGTACCGGTGTACCCCGAGTCACCGGTGCTCGGTGCCCCGCCGAAGCTGTTTTTATATGCGCGGGAGATCGCGCTAATGCATGAGCGGTCCTCTGCGGAAGGCATCGATATCGCAAGATGCCATGAGCTCCAACAGCTATTAAGCCACTTCAGTCATTGTGGGGTTGATCAGCCGCAGCCCTCGCCCGAGAGCGATTGGCTGGCCGCAACTACACATACACCGCTTCTGCTAGGCCCAAGACTATATATTGTTGTTTCCAAGATACTTTTGGAGCACATGATCAATAGCAACTCGGCCACAGCTGACAGCTCTCTTCAGGAGTTGGTCTGTGAAGGGATGAGTTTGGTCAGCAAGCTCGACCCATCCACAGACTATTATGCCGAGTATTACTGTTGGCCCATGGTCGTCCTGGGAACCTATACAACAGACGACGCACACCGAGATTGTCTGTTGTCCCAAGCCATGGCCTTTTGGAAGGCAACGAGGAACGGGACGATGAGGCGGTTGGTGGATATGCTGACGACCTTATGGTAGATATGAAAACATACGAGAATGAACCACTACCAGTGTACTTTTTATTTCAATTTCTTCGCAATTAGATTACCCCATCACTGTATGATACATGTTTGAAAAACGGAGCTTCGGTTGGAGTTGGCTCTTCGTGACATAAATGCTAAACTTTGTACATTACTATTCGTACCAAATCTTTACTAGTTTTATACAGTAACTGCGGATCTATTATTCCTAGTAGATGTGGTATCGTTGTCATTTAAAGCACGTGACTTGCACCATGTTACAAATCATATATTATCTGGATCTAAGTGAGAGTGTGAGCGTATCTCAAAGCTTTTGCCCGCAGAAGGGGCCAAAACGCGATAAACAGGCAGCCACGTAAACGGCGCGCAGTGCTTGGACCACATATATTAGTTAAATCTGATACGTAGGCACCCGTTAATCAGCCTCGCTAACCGTGTGTCCAGCTAGCCCGGGATGTTCTATAAATATATATTGGGGGCCATTCACAGCGTCAGCACAGTAGTATGGCCAGACGTAATTCTGCTGTCAGCATTGACAACCTTGGGTAGGCATTTCTTCATTCTATCCTTTTGAATGAGCCGTCTAACTAGGGGAGCCATTCCTCGAAAGAGAATCCAAGTACATGTTAAGATTGCCAGTTATGTTAAACTCAGAGAGAATTAGTTCACCAAGGACTATACTTGATCCGCTTCCTGCACTTCGTCTGTGTGGAAACACCCTACAAACCCTTGGCTTTGGCTCTGCGCTATTGTCTCTACCTAGGGAATTAGACCAGGCGGTCGATGGCCGACCTGTGGAATATACCAAGCTTAACCACATCTACGACACACTACAACAACTCAGCGGCGGCTTGACAATTAGACTTACTCCAGAACGGTCCACTGATGAATCCATATCATACGGAGATGTTGAGCTTCAGAGCCTGGCGCATTGTTGTCTGGGAATATGTGAAGAATTAATAATCGCAGGTAACCAGCTAAGATCTCATTCTAGCTCTTCAAGCATCTTTGGGTCTTTCCATGAGGCACTGCGAGGGGTCTGGGACGAGAAACAGGTTGAAGCTCTAGAGGAAGGGTTACTGGTGTGTAGAAGGGAAGCGATGCGGGTTCTCACGATTGTCCTAAGGTATATAGAAACGTGCTATAACCCAAACGCCGGAGCTAATTTAAGCCTATCAGAGATGGACAATCTAGTATCTTACAAGAGGTACAACGCCTAAAGAACCAGAATCGACAAATAGAGATGAGTCAAACGAGATGGCTTGCGGATATCTTAGAAACCCTCCGCGACGTACAGCATCAAGCGGCCGAGGAGTACATAGGAGATGTGCTACCTGGCGTGACGAACCCCTTCAATCCAAATCAGCTCAGTTCCATGGCCTGTAGAATGGCACATGTTGTGCAAAAAGCATCAAAAGTCGCCTTTGTACAGAGATTCCTCAGGACACTCCACTTTCGATCAATCAAGGACCACCATGCGGGAATCGCGAGAGCCCATGAGAAGAGCTTTATGTGGGTCTTTCCAAGAAATATAGACGTGGAAATCCATCATTTTCCTAGGCCAACAATCCTTCCATGGCTACAGGGAGAAAATGGCAGCATATATTGGGTCTCTGGGAAGCCAGCGTCAGGGAAGTCAACTTTTATGAAATATCTACTCGCTCACCCCCAGACCCTGAAAAGCCTGAGATCATGGGCTGGAAGTGAGAAGCTGGTTATTGCCAGCCATTTCTTCTGGAGTGCAGGAAACAGCATGCAGAAATCTAAAATTGGCTTACTCCAGTCTCTCCTCTACGGTATATTCACCCACAGTCCGGACCTGATTCCTATCGTATGTCCGCGAAGGTGGGAAGCGACCATGTCGGGCGAACACGGCGGCGACAGCCCGTGGCGTATGGAGGAGCTATTAGAGACCTTCAAATCTTTATGTAGTCAAAACGCTATCCCAACCAAATTTTGTTTTTTCATCGACGGTCTGGACGAATGCACAGGAGAGCATTCCGAGATGATCGAACTTCTGAACTCTCTCGTTCACTCGAACATCAAAATGTGTCTCTCCAGCCGGCAATGGAAGGTATTTGAAGACGCATATGGAGCATCGGCCGACCAGAAGTTGTACTTGGAATGGCACAACCGCGACGATATCCACGATTACGTTCAGAGTGAACTCGAACAACATCCGGCCTGGGAACTACTTCTTGAACTCAATCCGCAGACCCATGAAATTGTGGGTGAAATTGCCGATCGGGCTCAGGGTGTATTTCTCTGGGCGGTTCTGGCCGTGCGCTCCTTCGGCGAATGGTTGACTACTGGGGATACCCTTTTCTTCTTGCAGAAGAAGTTTAGGATGATCCCTGTCGACCTTGAACTGCTGTTCAAATCAATGCTTGAATCAGTCGATCCGATTTATACTTCTTATGTTTCGCATATATTCAACGTTGCATCGAGTGCCCCTGAGCCCCTACCTGTGTTGCTCTATGTGTCCTTGGAAAGAGAAATCCAAGACGAAAGTAAGGTCCCTCCACAGAAAGATGTACCTCCCACTTACAGAGGCCTCTTGCTGCAAGTTGAGCAACTCCGAAGACAACTGAAGAGCATGTGCAAAGGACTACTGGAGGTGCATTGTCGACGTAACGAGGAGGACTTGCTGCGCTACCGGGTGGACTTCTTGCACCGAACCGCTCGAGAGTTTTTCAGAGGAAATGAAATAGTGCAGGCTATGCATGTCACTGGTCGGGGCTAAGGCATAAAATATACCAACGTGTTCTGCCTGCTCTAAGATGGAACGCATACAGCGTGTGCCGTGATACATTGTTCTCGTCAATACCATCCTTTACCTAGTAGTAGATCCGCTAGCCATGCGAACCAGCCCTTCACATTCTATGCAACATTATCATGTGCCCGTGAGAGTGAGAGAATCCGGAGTAGCGGGCTGTTCAACAATATGCCCTAAGGATCTTTTTGCATCTTCTGTACCTTAGCCCCTCGACAGTCTGCCTCGGTGCAAGGTCTAACTACTAGCACTTGAACATTTCTGGACGGCAGGTGGATCATCTGGCACACACTAGGAAAAGAACTTCACTTTATATGATTGGCGACTGGATTGGCGGTTCGCTCAATGGTTTCAAATAGATTAAGAGAAGTGGCCAAATTAACATGTTTGAGAGAAGATCGCTTGGTAAGCAATATTCTCTGCATGTCCTAGCAGTGCTTTAACCTAGCTATCAGAAATATAGTGAGAGAAAGGATGGGGAGGGGTGAGAAGATACAGATTAAGGAGATTCTTGTTTCTACGCCAAGCATGCTTTGTTTTCCTGATATGACTAATGTTTCGAATGTAAGTGGAAGGAGTCCTATCGCTCAGGGTGGATCAGCCGTCAAGTTACTGGGTAGAAAACGATGTCTAGGTAAAAAGATTGGGAAAACTAAAACCCGGTGGTCCAAGGGTGCTCGCCCTGCCGTGTATGTATGTAGTTTATGTACATCACTTATTCTATGCGGCGTGCCATTGAGTTTTGGGCTTTTGCGAGCAAAAGGGGCTTGGAGTCGAGGCGTTGGAGGGTCTTGTTTGATTGAGTGTTCGATGGGCGAACCACTACCGAAGAGCGCTACCTTATTGCGGAGAAGATCGCACTTAATTAGGCGCTCTACATTGCCTTAGCGCTGGTTCTTCAGGCCGGCTGATTCCAGGACCGTTTTCGTAGCCTCAAGGCTGATCGTCACCCCACTGTGGGTTGGGTTACTCCTGAGCAGGAGTACGCATTTTGTGCCTTGCTCGTGGACTCCGTAAGGCCCGTGACCATACATATGATGGAATGTTATCTTCACTAGCATTACTTGTAGACCTGCTATACTGCGTTCAACCAAGTTTGGTTGACTACCCGTATCCGACTTGGGATATTTTGGCGAAGGCAACATCGAATACCCCCCTGGTTCAACCCCAACCTAGATTCTGGTTGGCTTTACGCACACTAGCGCGCGACTATAAGCTCTAGTAAACAAGCTGATCACAAGGAAGAAAATAAACTTGCTCGCTCGACTGTTTACGGAGGGCAGGAGAACATCAGGGGTAGGTTCGAGATCTTCACCCGCCAAGAGCCCCCGAGAATATCATTACCCTGTTGGCCCAAATAGCGCCAATCAGAGAGGCTAAGGCTCAAGGACACCCACAACTTCTCCACGTTCTCTCTCGGGCCTAACTCGCCTTGCCGGCAAACCCGGTTATACAGATTTCCGTAGAGGCCCGAAAGGGTAGAGAGCATACCGATATCGTCTTTCCTGTCTACCGTTGCTCACTGTATATGCACGATGTTTTGCGTTACGGAGTGATGCTGAGATGTATGGAGATAAATATATAATACCTAACTCGATGTGAGATTGACGAAAGAGCAAACAGACATACCATTGCCTGTGTTGACCGTAGATCCATCCGTTAATGCCTCGCATGCCTGATTGAGTTACGGCCCTGAAAATCACACCAATTGTTCAGATACTATTAGAGCCATACGTACGTGGCACCCACCCACATTGGTGGAGTACAGAGATAAACTTACCGAGTATATATAGAAACAGTTGTTATATAATCTAGTGTCTGGAAACACATATAAGGAGGCCAAGGGACTCTATCGACATCTTTCTCAACAGTTCAAACAATTGAAAGCAAGAAAGACCAGCAACTCAATCTCCAAACCCCCAACTCCAAACACCATCACGATGCGTTTCTCCTTCCTCGCCGCTCTCACTCTTATCAGCGCTGCTATTGCCGCTCCCCAGCAGCAGGCTGGTAACAATCCTGCTCAGAACACTGTACGTCAAGCGTGCGATGTCATTTTGGAACAAGCTACTGACAATGTATTAGCTCCCCATCGGCGCTCCCTGCAAGAAGGACGGTAGCATGGGTGTCTGTGAAGGTGGATTCTGCTTGGTAAGCGTTCAGCCCCCTACTTAACTCGACTCACCAGCAACTGATGTGGACTACAGCAAGACGAGAAGGCCGACCAGGGCGTCTGCCAGCAAGCCAAGAACTGAGCCCGTTCTACCAAATGGTCTCAATTGTATGAACGGGGGAAGGAAGAGTTTATCCCGGGCTTGCCATTCGGAATGAACCTGTACATATGGCCGTAACACCTGTTGAACTTAAACTATAATCTATATTACCACTTGGACTTTTCTGTAATCGTCAACCTTCTTTATCTAAGTGTTATATTAGGTGAAGTGAGCTTGTAGAGGTCAGTCCAATTGGAGCTGGGTGGCACTGATTAATATGGGGCTGCTCCAATGGTTTTCGCTCCATGGGAGGCATGTAGCCAGATTTTTAGTGCATTATTACGAACCACGACAAATGCCATCCGGCGGGTGAGGAAAGGAAGTGTGTAGATACAAGGGTTGTAGAAGATTCCTCTTTTCATTAAGAGTGTACACCAGGTACATACTTTAGCCAGTATGAGATATATGAAAATACAAGAACTCAAGGCCAGACTTGCACGCCCATCCTGTACGAATATGCATATCGCATTGTATAGATCGAATAGAGTATATTCTTTCTTTACAGTGTATAATCCTTGATGATCTCTAGGACTTTTAGACCTGTCGTATTGTTATCTATAATTCAAACTAGCATGAAAGCACGAACGCTTCACAGTATAGATAAGTGTTGTTCTAATTTCGATATATATTCAGCGTTTTTTCTCCTAAAGCTTTCATGCCTGAACTTCTCCCTTTGCGAACAGGGTTTCTATTTGAAGCGGACAGGTCCTATAGTAAGGCCAGCGATATTGCTACACAACTCGAGTTCTTGGGCTTCATTAAGAAGCATGCTTGTTTAAATCGTGCTTTATTAATGGTATGACCTATCTACACTAGCCGTGCTAGAAGTTGGCGTAACTGCTGCCCATCTAGATTCTTCAAAGCCTCGACTTCATGCTGTTTGAAATCTAAGTAGTGCCCAGGTATCCTACTGCCTAGCATTTCCGACAGTTCTCCACAGACCCGCTTTAGCTGGCTCAGGGACTGTTCCAGATTAGCTGGTAGCTTGTCGGAACTGGCCTGCGCACTACCTGCATAGCTGGCATCGTTCCAGCGCAAAGGTTCGTTGTTTTGCTTTCCTAGGAGTCCAGCGGCTAAGATGCCGGCGACGGCCAAGTACATATTGGCCATGGCGTCCGCGCAGCGTATCTCCCAGTACCCAGGGCGCATTTTTCGCACTGGGACCTGGCGATTTTGGGAACCCCAGGCGACAACCGTACCGGCAAGAAAGTCAGCATGGCGATCATACGAGGCGATCGAGGCCATGGACAAGGAACAGATGGCGGGTAGGCGGGAGAGAAGACCGGCAAGAAAGGCCTCCTCGTGCTGTGGAGGGTGAATGGAGACATGAATGTGAGAGCCGTTGGCCTGTCGGTCCATAACCGGCTTCGGAGACATGGTAGCGGTCAGACCATGGTTGGCAAACGTGGTGCGGATGATATCGTGCGCGGAGACCAACTCATCGATAGCTTCAAGCGGCGGGCGCGCAGCAAGCGTTACCTCGTACTGGCCAATACTCCCTTCCGCGTGAAACTCACGGACTTGGATGCCGGAGTCCAAGAGGTTTCGCATGCACTCCTCGAAGTAACGGTACGAGGGTCCACGGAGAGCGGCGGCGGAGTAGGTACCCGGATGAGAGGAGAAGGGAATCAAGCAGCCGTCGGGACCGTCCTGCAGCACAACAAATTCGATCTCAAAGCCAATTAGAAAGTCGATACCGTGCTGATTATGGGCCTTGGCGATGATGTTCTCCAGGGCGATCCGTGGACATAGGTCTGGATCGGGTGCCCCACCAGGCAGCTTCTGGACGATGGAACACATCACGGAAGCATACGATGGGCTATCATGACCTGGGGATGATGTGGATATTACCCGCAGTGACTTCCAGTCTGGGTGGAGCAGGTGTACGGCACATGGTTCGAAAGGGACTCTACTCCCATCCGGAAGGCAGCTGAAGGTGACCTGCCCACAGCTGAGGGGCTTGTTGCTCTTCACGATTGTATCAAAATGAGCCTTGGTTGCAACCCGGGCGCGCAAAACTCCCGCGTAATCGACCCATTGAAAGCGGACGTAGTCGATGTTCGGATGCTGCTGCAGGAAGCTGTCGACAATGTCCCGCGGCCTACCCGCCTGGGAGGAATCTAACGTTGGGCCTGAATATTCTAGGCCAATTGATCCCATCGTGATAAAGAGTCAAAAACAATACTTGCTTTTCAGACGAAGAACGTCCAGATTCACGGTGGTTGAGGTTTTCCGTCAAGCCAGCGTGGGCTCATTTAAACCCCAGAGAGAATGTGATTGCGAAAGTTCCAGGCGCCAAACATAGTTAAGGGACGATCCTACACTGCAAAACATTACGCAGTATGATCAGGAGCCTGATCTCACTAATGGCCACGATGGCCCATATACGTACAGGGTAGATGAGATGCAGCGTGGTGTGGCTTACGCAAGCACTTTCCAACCTCGGGTTCAGATTCTGAAAAATCGAGATCTTCAAAAGATGACCATGGAATGCGTCGTTCTTTACTCTGAATGTGTTGTGTACGCAGTGTGTTGCGCAATTTTGCAGCAAGGAGTAGCATTCTCGGCAGAGATCGTTAGCCACAGCCCAACTGAAAGGTGCTTGCATCAAGGAATATGTGGATCTTTTATATCCTCCTGTGTATGGAAGGTCCAAAAGATCGGCAGACGTCCACCTAAGACATGCATCGACCCTAGAATAGGGCAATATCACGGCGCCATATCCAACCAGCCCATTAGGGTCATTCGGTTCATTGCGTAAGGGTATTTCCTACCTGACTACGCAGGGTAGAATGCCTGTCAATCAGCTATACGACGGTAGGAAGAAGATAAATGAGGTATAGCTTTGTCTTTTTGTATAATATTTCATGCTTGTTTTTTGCATTTTTCATTTGTCATTTTTCTACTTCTTTTTTTGCACCGTTCACTACTAAGAATGGTGAGCCAATGAACAGAGCCTAATTCTCGAACTTGTTCTCAGCCCTCGATAAAGGTACTTGGTATGCCGAATTTGACCACCGAGTTCGAGATGGCTTAAATACAGGATTTGTGGGTGTGTAGAAGTGTGTACATGCATTGGGATCTGGGAAGGCGGCGGTGAAAATAGAGTGCGTGGCTTGCGTAGAGTTGCGGCCCGCCTACGCCCGTCTGCGACCATAACAGCCACTCCCCGTAACAACGAGTCCTTCGCGATCCCCGCGTAAGGAAGCAAGAAAATTGTATCTTCTCTCGATGTGGATCCTGACTATTTTCAGAGAGTTTAATCAAGCTGACGCAATCTGGCCCTTTCAAGGCATCAGCATCGCAATTACGTCAGACTTAGCCCCTGGGATGGACGGTTGGTGAACTTGTTTGCTTGCTGCAAGGGGTGACGGAGGCCGTCAATCATAATTTGACTCGCGCCAGAATGGGCCATGATGGATATATCGAGTACACAATGGGGAGGCTAAGAGTTTAGGAGGCAGACGCTTACAACCCTCGATCGGACTTGCACCAATCAGAGGGCCTTTTATATCTAGGGTGCGCGCGTTGGGGAGTATAAACTCCAGGACGCCACGGCAGAGACCAAGGTGTTTTTTCAACACTCCACAGAGAAGAAGATGGAAGTTGCCAGTAGGGCTTCATCGTGTTCTCTCTACGAGGAAGCGGCCCTAGTTATGCCTTTGTCACAGTCCTTTACACGGCGTACGATGTCAGGCAATGCGGCCGAGAAGACCCTTAAAACCATCGGACAGGATATCTATAGGAAGCACAGTGTCCGTAATCAGATGCTGGATGATGTTCTCTATGAAGAGTTCGACACCATCGGCATGAGGACTTTAGCTCGATACATGAAAGGCCTGCCGCATGTGCCCGCGAGATTTGTGTGTTAATTAGAAAGCTTTTGTATCCCAGATGCTGCGAGCGTGTGCCCGCCGCATATACTGCTGACTCTAGGTCGTTGTGGGTTGATCCAGTTAGAGCAAGGGTCTGCGTGCGCGAAGCCATCTAGACCTCAGCATCCATGAGTAGCCATTAATTTACGATGATGTGTAATTATATTCTTTCGGATCCCAATTCTCCCGTCCAACGTCATACATGCATCTGTAAATCTGTAGGCGCAAGGCATTTACTTTCACGTGGACCTACGACTTGGCTTCGAGTACTCCGTACTTCCATCGCCCTTGCATATCCTCAGGCCTCATTGGAAGACGAGATTTCCCACCCAGGTGGTCTCCTTCCTGGGTTGTTTTTGTTGTTGCAGACGCAAGCCCTCCCAGCAAGGGGGAAATAGTCCATACCAGAGAAAGCGTTGACCCGCAGCATGCCGCTGTTCAGGACAATGGTGTGTTTATAGTACAGCATAGACTACTCCTTATTCAATGTTCCATACAACTTCTACCTGTTGGTTCTATCGTATTGCCTGCTTCACCAATTCACCACCATGAGCGAAGCTCCGCCTGACAAGTCCGCCGCATCTTACAGCGCAACACCGGGTACTCACCCCGAAAAGAATTCTGATGAGGAGTCATCGCTCCAGACAGCTGTCGTTGACTTTGACGATCAGTATCCTCACCCAAACCAATGGCCTATTGCTCGACGCTGGGCCATCATTGTGCTCATCACCATCTTGAATATGCTGGTCAACCTATCCACCACGATCGTGGCCCCGTCGCTAGACAGAATATGCGCCGAGCTGGACATGGATTCAAATATCGAAGGACCGCTGACCATGTCAGCATATATACTCATGCTTGCGCTGGGGCCGCTGCTGCTGGCGCCCTTTAGTGAGCTGTGGGGGCGTGTCCCTTTGATCCACGCCGGGAACCTGATGTACATGGTGTTCAATCTTGCCTGCGGGTTTGCGCAAAACAGGGCACAACTTCTCGCATTTCGAATCTTGTCAGGGTTTGGAAGTGGTGCAAGTCCCACCGTAAGTATAGCAGGTGCAATATGAGTTACGCTATGTATAACTGACTACTAGCTTACTTAGGTTGGAGTTGGAATGGTTAGCGATCTTTTCCCAGTCGAGCAGCGGGGCCAAGGACTTGCTGTCCTCAACATGGCCTTCATCCTCGCGACCCCAATCGGTGCTATCGTGGGCGGTTTCACCAGCTATTCCGCATCCTGGCGCTACGACTTCTACGCCACCTCTGCCGTGGCCGGTGTGTTAATCGTCATCAGCGCCTTTGTCTTCCGCGAGACATATCCCCCTGTTATTCTTGGTCGCCGGAAGAAGCAGCTTCTCAAGAATGATCCTAAAGCATTGTACGATGACGAGCAGCGCACCCTCGCGGCCCTCTACACCAAGACCATTATACGCCCCATTGAGTTCCTCACAACGCAGCCTATTGTCATGCTACTGTCACTCTACGCGGCCATCATCTACGGGACCACGTATCTCATCTTCTCGACCTTCCCGACACTCTGGGAACGGCACTATGAAGAGCCCAAGAATCTCGCGTCGCTGCACTTCATCGCACCTGGAATCGGCTACTTCATTGGTATCCAGATCGGCATGTTCTCCGCCGACCGCATATACCTCGCCCTCAAGCGACGGAACCAGAATGAAGGACGGCCGGAATTTCGCCTCCCACTGCTGGCCATCAGTGCCGTGTGCGTGCCACCCGCGCTGTTCTGGTATGGCTGGACGGCCGAGGCGAAGCTGCATTGGGCGGTGCCCAACGTTGCCATCGTAGTCCTGATGTGCGGATGTACTCTTGTCTTCCAATGTGTGATGGCCTACTTTATCGATACGTTCCCGCTGTATGGCGCGAGTGCCATGGCGGCGTCGTATCTCGCCAGAGGTCTCTGTGCCTTCGGCTTCCCCTTGTTTGGGCCTTCCATGTACGAACGCCTCGGCTACGGGTGGGGAAATAGCCTTCTGGGCTTCCTGGCCTTGGCCGTAGCGGTACCAGTGCCCTTGGTCCTATGGTTTTATGGGGAGCGGTTGCGGAGAGTCAGCAGTTATACCATGTAGTTCAAGGGAGACAAAGAGTGATTCCAGATAAGCTGAACAAGGTGTTGCCATTTAGTGTTATTTTCCCCATGATTGCACACCCCATCCATGAAGTCTTCTACCCAGATCGTGTTTTATATGCCCAGAAAAATAACCGAGATGAAATGACATCATAGCCAAATTTATCGCTTTACCACAAAAGGCAAAGTCCACGAAACGTCCTGAGGGGTAAAGAAAGACTCACTCCTCACTATCTTCCCCAACTCCAGTTTCGATACTACATCAGTCGTGGGTATGGCGTTTGCTCGCAGGTTAGCAATCCTTCCCGGAGGCCTAGGTAGGGTTGAGCGGTCGCCGAGAATGAGAACCATGATAATCTTAACCGTGGTCTAGGTGGCCTTGGGTCCAGCATAGGCCAGAAGCTCAGACAGCAAGGAGCTCGACTAGCCATCTTGTACGCGCCCTTTGAGGCTGGGCGTCGAGACCAACTGCTAGAGTCTACGTACGGTCGGGTTCGCGACTCAGATGAAATCCGAACCTATGAATGTGACATCACGTCACCGGAATCAGTCCAGTCGGCATTCAAAGCACTGGACAAGGATATGGTCAAGCCATCATCTGTCTCTGTTGCTGATCGGGCCTTTCCCAGTATCCTAATCAATACAGCTGGTTATGTCAACCTCAGTGATATGGAATCGACGCCACCCGAGGACATCATGAAGCATCTCACCACCAATGTCTTCGGACCAATGCTGTGTTCGCAAGCGTTTGCTCGACTCTACTTCGCTGCTTCCAAGGCTGCAGAATCTTCAACTAATCCTCCGCCACCGGGAAGAATCGTCAACATCGCCTCACAGGCCGCGCATGTAGCACTGCCTCGGCATAGCGCATACTGCGCTTCTAAAGCCGCGCTGTTAGGATTGACACGTAGTATGGCCTCTGAGTGGGGAGGCCGTGGTATCACGTCGAATTCCGTCTCCCCAACAGTAGCCTGGACCGAGCTCGGAAAGAAGGCGTGGGGACAAGACGGTGTACGAGAGGCCTTCCTGAAGACGATCCCGACGGGAAAATTTGCATTACCGGAAGAGGTCGCGGATGCTGTTCTTTTCCTCTGTCAGGTAAATATTTCAGTATCACCATGCTCATTTACTCGCTCTAACCAGTCCAACAGGATTCCAGTGGTATGATTAATGGTGCCGACATCAGGGTGGACGGTGGTTTTACCATTCAATGATTATTCACGGTTTGTTGCTCTATGAGCATCTATTCCCGTGTAGATACAATTATGGGACTGTTCAATCAGACCATTTCCTTTTTCATGAATCTTTCATTTTCTATATTCTCCATTTCTTTCTTCAAATACCAACAGTGATATGATGGCGGTCACTGCCGAAAGAAAAGCGAGAGGGGTCCCCTCTTCAAGAAAGTAGTATCAACCCAGCCAAAATATATAGCGTCAGGCGAGTGCATGTACGCATATATCACCATATGTCTGCTATAGTTCTATGATGCTAGATGCTTCATTTACCAACCTGCATTCTTACTTTACAAACTTTTAAACAAACCCCAGCTCTGTTATCCCCTATGAAGCATTGGCAATCATTCTACAAAAAGTAGCCAGGTATATGTTTTGTCTCTCAAGAGCCACACAACCCTCATCTAATTGTTTACTTAACATAAATGATTCGATTTTGATGCAGATACTCTATAAAAAGCAGGAATCGACACCAGTAGTACAATTTCCCGAATCACTGGATTACACATAGTCTATATTCTAGAAACGCAGTGACAGTAGGCGCCTCCTACGATAAACAATGTGACATGTAACTGGGTGAGGATTCGAACACAGACAGGCTACACGACAACTAGAAAAATAAACCATACAAAAAAGGAATGATTCGATTGAGTAGCTACATAATAAATCCAGCTGGACAAAAAAGAAAGAAATGACCAAGATATTGCAAGTCCAAAAGCCCTCCACTCCTATCCATAGGTTGATCATCCCCTATCGTGCTTGACCCGGTAATTGATCAGACAAGATATATCCCGTGGCCTACTGCTTACTGCTGAGCAGGCTTGGGAGGCTGAGGCTTGTTGGTTGGGGGAGGAGGGGGAATATCACCACGCTTGTCGTTGTCGTGTTTCTCCTTAGGAGGGAGAGGCTTGTCGGTGGGAGGGGGAGGAGGAACGTCCCCACGCTTTCCGTTGTCGTTCTCTTTAGGGGGAGCAGGCTTGTCGGTGGGCTTAGGAGGAGGGGGAACCTCGTCACGTTTGCCCTTGTCATCTTCCTTGGGAGGAAGGGGCCTATCGGTGGGAGGAGGTGGAGGGACATCGCCACGCTTGTCGTTGTCGTGTTTCTCCTTCGGAGGGAGAGGCTTGTCGGTAGGAGGAAGCGGCACGTCACCGCGCTTGCCATTGTCGTTCTCCTTGATATCCTTGGGAGGAGCTGGGAGATCGGTAGGCTTCTTAGGCAGGGGAACATCTCCACGCTTGTCATTGTCATTGTCCGGCTTGGGTGGGACAGGAGCATCAGCGGTAGGAAGAGGAGCCGGAGCCTTCTGGAGACCGGTAGGGCCTATCGACAAGCATTAGCCATGTTTTCCTTCAGTAAGTGGACAGTGGACATACGCTCGGCAGGAGGAGCGGCGGCAACGAGGCCAGCTACCATCAAGGTAGAGAGAACGGTGGAAATCTTCATTGTGATAGTTGAATCAAGGAAACTTGAACGAATGGATAATTGAGTCGTGAGTGGAAAGTGAGTGACTAGTGATTGTGTATTGGATTTGAGCTGATGATGGAATAATGAGGCCTGTCGCACCGTTCTTTTTATACCATTTGATCTACAGCCAAACGTCCAGCATCAGACAGTGTTTCTATTCTGGCACCATTGAAATCGGAAATGACGACCGGCTTGACGTGGCGTTGTCCTGGATGAGTCGTCAGCATCAGAAGCTGTGACTATAGGGCTGTGGGCCCGATCCCCCGGTACTGTACCAGACTTTGACTCTAGTTGACAGAGCGCAAAGACGGTTGACGTCTTACGAATAGGTGGATCCGTTGGTCGACCATGCGGCGCTTGCATCAATGATACTTCATTCTACGGGGCTATCCAGTCGAACAATCGCCTCGGCAGAGTGTGAGGCATGCAAAACAAAGTCAACCCTAACATGATGCCTAGTAAGATGTGCCTCAAAAATGGGTCAATGATGGTACAGACAGGACAAGTCTCAATGCATGGGGTAACTTCGGAGAAGTGAGTTGTCTTCGGTACTCATCAACTCCGGCACATACTCCATCATTAGCCCCAGTAAATGATCGGCAACGGAGTATCTCCATAGTTAACCACCATTGTAGGTCATGACAAACCACATTAACAATAGGCACCCGTAAAGCAAGTATCCTTATTGGTCTGAAGTGGTTTTGAGTGCACACGCGGCGCCCGCCGATCCTCCACTACAGGGCTAACGTCTCACTGGCGGACTGGGGCCCACCCGGCGTGAGCTTAGCCTCTGCCACTTGTCGATCTCGCGGGTGATGACGAGGAACCTCTCCAGAACCTGTGGGCAATATGGTATTTTTGGATCAGATAAAGCTCGCACGGCGGATATGCTATTCTCCAGGGGGTTTGGTGTAAGGCACCGTTGGCGTTGGTCCGTAGACGGGTTAATTGACTCATCCACTACGCTGGCTGCTATTTCATCAATAGAGCCAGCCTACTGGCTACATTATGCCCACTACTCAGCTGAATATGGTATGTAAGGATACCATAACCGTTTCCAAAATTGAGGCAATAGGAACGACACTAGTTGCGAACTAGCTCATTCGCTGGAGTTTGGGATTGATGCTAACGCTAGCCCTACGAGGTACGAAGCAAATGGCCGAGAATTAAGGTTGAATTGATTAATCAAATTAAGCAACTGGAGGAAATATGCAATATGATTGACTGTTCTTAGTCGTCATTGGGTATTTATTAACGTGACATGCTGCACTGCCACATGCATCAGTCGATATATCAGATCGACATCGTCTCGGCTCGGGAAATAGGTTCATCAGGCATGTTGCGGTTGGGCTACTGATTGATGTGATCAAGCAATGTCTTGAATGTATGTATAATTTGTATTTTCGATTATCCATTCGAAGCTTAGGAGAGCGCTTACTGTACCAATTCAGGGGTAGCGCGAGCAAGAGCCTCTTTCAATCGATAATTTGCTTGAAGAGGCACGTAGATACTAAGTGGGTAGACCTGTCCGGCTTCGGACTCCCAGACTGAGCCTGGAAAGATAGGCACCTCATACGTGGCTCCCTTCACGAGGAAATTATTTATGATGGGACTGTAGAGCATGCGGAATATCCAGACTCGGTTGACCTAAAGGGGCGTCTAGTGATTACTCCATGAGTAGCGTAATGATCTTCATGTAACGCGTCCCAATAGATGTGATAGAATGCATGCCAAGGGGCCGGGCCAAGCTAGCTCATGCGTCGGTGTCGAGATTACTCTTAAGTCCGGAGCAAATGGAAAAGCCTAAACCTGAAGAGAGCGGCAAGATACAGACTCGATCATGTTACTAATCGGAGTAGAAGATGTTACCGCTGCCGATCTATACGGGATGGATCCATACTGTGCCCAATTAGCGGTGAGTTGAAAGGCGTAAAGAAGTATAATCAGAGCCCAATACAAACGTTCATCGATGTAGCTCTCTAGTGATACCTATTTTGTACAATGCCCACGCAACGCTTGCTGGAAGCGATGCAATTGCTAAGCCAACGAATGCTTGGGTTCCAAGATACGCCATCTTGGATATCCATGGCGCCCAAGAAGATACCGGCGACCAATCCCTTCCAGAGCGTTCTGTCAGGGGGACAAAGTCCAGGGCTGTGCCGGTCGTCGCCAGCCCAGAAATTCCCTCGATAGTGCCTCCACAGTATGGCGCCACATAACGGGCAAATAATGATTTGACCGGGCCATCACATGCCTGGAGCCGAGTAAGGAACTCTGAGCTTTGATGGATCGCCAATAGACGCTGGAACTGTGTTGTGTTGAACTGATCAAGCATTCGTTGAATTTCTCCCTCTGATGGAATGCTTCCCTCGGCCTTTTGCCTTAAGGAAAACAACACATTTGCCAAACCTGCTGCAGCTTCAATGGCAGTATTAGCTCCTTGCCCTTGATTTGGGGTCATCTGAAATTCAGGTTAGCACTCTCTTATCAATAGCACACGCAGTCTCTATAAGAGTCTCTCACTTTGCTAACACTGTCGCCAATACAGACTATGCGGCCATAGTGCCATGTTCTTAGCAGGCCTTCTTCCAACGCTGTCATATGGAAGGTTCGCCGTTGCCTCCAGATATCACCGAAATGAACGTTCTCCCACACAGCAAGGCCGGCTAATGATTCACATGTGGAAGTCGCATCCTCTTTCGTGAACCGAGGCGTGTTGGGATAGGTATACATTTTGTCAAGTTTTCGAAATAGGAGCCAGAATATGCCATTATCTGTTCCAGGAAAGACGAAGAGCGTCACTCCGGGGTTATATCGGATGACATGATCCCAAGACTTGACCCCTTCCACTGGATTGGAGATACCGAAAACACACGCAAATTCCACCGTCATATCTATGCCAATTAGTCAAGGTCAATTATTTGTCATGTCTACTTACCCGATTTTTCCTTTTTTGATATAAGCCGTGGCTGCTCCAGATCAGCGATGCGCCACATCTCCGACCGGACGAAACTATGGACTCCATCCGCTCCGACAACGAGATCACCATCATATCTGGTCCCGTCGGCCGTTGTCACCGATACGCCAGCTTCAGTCGGCAACACACTGGTCACTTGCTGACCGGTATGTACTTTGGACTTGTCCTGTAGTCCCGTGTACAAGACCTCAAGCAGCTGTCTTCGCTCCAAGATAGCAAAGTCCATGCCGAATCTATAGATGCTTTACTCAGTGCCTAAGGCCAATAGATAATAACGATGAACATACAATTTCTTCACCTGCTCAGGTACATTGTTGTCATAGTGAAACCCGTCAGGAAAGCATGTATGAATCCGTCGGAGCCTTTGGGCCAATTCTTGTATCCTCTGGTACAGACCCAACTGCTCTAAGATTCGGCCTCCGTTGGGGAAGATCACCACCGATGCGCCGATCTGTGGGTGGATTTCCTGATGTTTTTCCAGCACAATATAATCTATTCCTGCTCGATCAAGACAATGCGCCAGTGTCAGCCCTGTCACTGAGCCGCCGACGATAATAACTCTAAACGGCGATTCGGCCATTGTCGCTAGCTGGAATGATGAGGCGGGCCGGCGTCGCTTGGTGCGACCTATATTTTGAAAAGTATTGACAGGAATCTGCAATATGGGACCAGGGATAGAGTGTAAGATACTTTTTAAAACCATTCATCTCAAAATAGGGGGTCTGAAGATCCTCGTATTGTCGGAGATTTTGTCGTGGATTCGTCACTCTTCTACACGCTGACACCATTTTAGTGGCTGCTTAGGGCCAACGTTAGTTAGCATCACCCGTTTAATTCCTCAACAGAAAAATGTAAACCAGCAACCCAGATAGCTTTTCGTACCTGAGAAACTTCGATGGAAAGTCCTGTAATACAAAATATAATGTTTATTGGGTATATATACATTATGACTGTAACAAGTTCAAAATCATGGCACAATCAGAATAAGTGTGGCTTGACGAAATTGTCGCTCTACAGATGGTACTGATTAGAGCTGTCAATGGAAACCCCAAGCCGCTGCCAGAACGCCTCGACATTCATATCCTCTCGTCCACTGCATATTCTGTTAGTAAGTGAATATCTGGTAGAAACAGGGACACTCACTCATCTCTCTTAATGATGGTGGGCTCAGTCTGCCCTTCGGCGACATTGGGATTGCGGAAGACGACATTATATTTCTGGAAACGGTCAATCCTGGTCCAATAATCCAAAGACCCCACTATCAGGGCAACATACCATTCCCAGAGTCAGATGGATCGCTGCCGGCATCCGGGGAAAGACGTCCTCGGGATTCTTGCCTTCGATCATAGCCTGGATGTTCTTTGCGACCACAGCGGCCTGCGCTGAGCCGGGCCGAGCAGCCTTCCGCAGTCCTGTATCGGCGATGTCGCCGACTGCGAACAGGTTGGAGTACTTGGGATCAAGGAATTGCATCGTGGGGCGAATCCGAATGAAGCCATTATCGGGGTTAATCAGAGACTCCGACGTGGAGGGGGTCAGTTCACTGATGAGACCATTATTTGGTGTTTGGCCAGTAGCGCAGATCACAAATTCTGTCGACAATTGCGTGCCGTTGGTGAGCTCGACATTAAATGGACCTCCCTGAGTGGGATAACCCTCGGCGGGGATTTTGACACGAGCTCCAGTCACGAATCTGTAAAGCATTATAATTAGTCCAATGCACACGCCTGTAGCCTAGGATCATGTTGCACTCACTTGATTCCAAGCTCATCAAAACGCGCCTTGACAAGATCATGCAGACCTTCATGGAACCCCGACATTAACTGGGGCCGAGACTGCACTACTGTGATTTCCTTATCGGGGTAAAACTCCTTTAAATCCGTCGCCATCTGGACGCCGACTGCACCACCGCCGGCGATGAGGATGGACTTTGCCCGTTTCACGTCGTTTTGGTGGCTCTGCAGATATGCGACGGAGGAGAGCTTGTCATCATGCCTCATACCGGCCGGTTGTACGAGGCGGGTGCCGGTTGCGACGACGAGATATTCGAAGGGAATTTGACTAGAACCTTGCCATTCACGATCCAGCTTGACGTGTTGCGGCTGCACGGATAGAGCCCTAGCTTGCACTACGGCATGTCTGATTGGGCTTGAGGTACTCGGGAAGACTCCCGTGTATGGAATGAAGGCTTTGTGTTCTTGTCCGGGAACGATTGCGAACCGGGGCTGTACAATAGACACATTAGTAAGTTGGAATCAGGCACAGAGATATCATGCATGCTTACAAAGGTGAAGAGATGGTGGAAATGACTGTGTGGCTCAATCAGGAGCACCTGTAGGTTTAAGGTCAGACACTTAAAGCAAATAGTATGTCAACTCAGGATCCTACCCTGTGCGTGTTCGGCACTACTTGTGCGAGCTCTTGGGCTGTGGTCTGAATTCAAATTTAGTATTAGGCATCAGGAATGAACAGGTAGAAACTCAGTCATGACGAACCTTTCCCACATATGACCCTCCGACAACAATGATATTTCTCAAAGAACTGGCCATTTTGTGTCAATAATGAAATTGGAAAAAAAGATGAACTGTTGACTGGGGTACCTGGACGCGCCTCTTTTTAAGTACTCGATCAGATAAGGGAGGCAAAGCGGAAAAAGACTCTGCCATGCACCACCATTGGTCAACGGCAGCCGGGGTCGGCATGATTCCGTTATCAGATCCGTGGTCTCGGGGCTCGGGGGTAATTCCTAACTCCTTGAGGAAAATTCTCCTTCTTAACGCCGATCGCATGGAATATCATGCCTCGGATGGCCACTTCCGGATCGCCTTACGCCTGTTTTTCCGTTTGCTGGATGTGCGATTAGCTAATTATTCCGGCCTCATGACACTGATCATGGATATCTCGCTCGGGGAGGCCCGAGTTTCGAAGACCAGCCAGTCGGAAATCAATCTGGGGTCACCGGAATTCGGAGGCCGTGACTCACCTACATCCGCACATCATCTCCGAGTATAGGGCTTGTACGAATGCTGCAATTGTTTCAATGCTCCAGCGGTGGAGTCTGAGGTTTTACCCGTGAGAGGAATATCTATGCAAGTTGCCGAGATGGCATTCAGCAGAGAAGAATTGGTATTAGTGTGCCTTTCTAGACGCTGTACAACGTGAGCATATTCCTTGTCCCTAATAGAATGTTGAATGAAGCACGTCCCTTCCAAGTTCTTCTGAAGGATCATTACTCCCTTGCGGATGCAAATATGGTCAGGTAACAGAAATACCATGTGCTTGCAGCTTATCAATTCTCAGCCAGCGCAAGCTCCGTGAAAGACCGAACGGAATAACGAAAGCGAAGTAAACAATACTACGAAAGAAAAGAACATCTATAGCTACACCAAAATGTAGCATATGCTGCATAGAACACCAGTGGTAAAATCAACGAGTCCCTTCTATGCTCGGCGCAACTCTTTTCTCAATAGTCGAGGCTCAGCAATGGTTGCCTGACCTTTCTCAACGGTAAACACCCATTCATCAACGCCAATGTTGCCAACTCGAGAGCCATCGACGTTCAGCCAAGACTGACAAGCCGAGATAAGACCCTTTGACGATCCAGACGTATCGTAGTCAAATACACTGCGGAAAAACACGTGTTTCACTCTGTCGCCATGTACGCTCTCCTCAATACCAGTGGGATATAACGTGACGGCTAGCCCTTCAAACCCCGAAAGACCTGCCAGAGACTGAAGAAAGTCGATGCCATTGCTCACCCATTCAGTTACCTGGAGACCGGGCTTGTCGTGATCCGTGGTAATGGTGACATACGAATCAGCTGTGGAATTACCCCCTGGGCCCTGGTATGTGCCTGCATAGGTGCTGTTTGCTTCTTGGCGAGCGGCCTTGTCAAACGCAGGAGTGAGCCGGTCAATGACTAGGTCTGCTAGCCCCCATACATTCATCAGCGGGTTCGTCGGGAGGTCAGCGGCTGTGATCGAAAAACCAATTTCATACTCTGGAATGAGCGCAATGATATCGGCGTATGCTCCTAGATTTCCTGACTTGGAGTAGACGTCAATGACGTGGTTAGGTCGGTTCGGCAGCTCGTAGCGGAATATTTCCCACGGCGCCCCTACGGATGTTCTAAAGCTGGTGGTATGGCTCAGCGGTTTGAGCCAGTGGCGGGTCAGGGTTGCCGAGAGATTCAATGCTGAGGAGCCAGAGTGGGATTGCAGAATGGAACGACCAATGACGGCAAGATCGTTGGCACTGGAGTATGCACCCCCAAAGCTAGGGTATTGTCAGTTTTGTCACTCGGAAGGGTGTAGGGCATCTTACGCGTCACCGTCACCCAGATTAAAATCCCACAGGCTGGCCGTCGCGTTGACCGGGATGATACCAGTGTTATCATTCTTTGGGGTGAGAAGGCTTGTGGAGTTGAGATTGAGCGGTTTCACTATGCTGTTATCGAACATAGACGGGAATTCGATTCCGGTGATGTTCTCCATCGCGTAGCGCAAAAGCTGGTAAGCTGCATTGGAATATGCGGGCGTGGTGCCAGGAGCAAACGTCGGATCTTCACTGACGATGCCACGGAGGAAGGCTTTTATGCCCTGTTAGCTGTTTGAGAGCTACGAGAATCTATCGCTTGACTGCACCTTCTCTGTCGCACGGATTACCCCCATTTAGACCTTCGCCCTGATTGCATGTTGGGATATCCTTCGCTGGAACTGCAGGAAGCCCCATGGCCATCATTTCCTCGTTACTATATTTACCGGCGAGATCCTCAAATCCGTCTATATGAACAACAGTTAGTTCATCGATGTCCAGGCTTCGGGAGTGGACACAACATACAATCATGGGGCACACCACTCAGCTGTGCAGCCAAATCACCGATCGTGATATCTCGCCATCGAATCCGGGAATTTTGACTACGAGGTATTGCGTCCAGCTCTGGGATAAAATCCGTGATTGGATGGTTCCAGTGAGTATATCCGTCATGTGCCAGCAGGGTTAATACCGTGAGGAGTTTCGAAATGCTTGCCACCCGATAAACACTATCAAGTGTCGTATTCTCTACACCCTCACCCGATTTGGGGTTGTGCGTTGGTGAGGTGTAGAGGTATTCATAGATAGAGTCCTCCGTGTGGGAGGAGAATACTTTGATAGCGAATGTCGTTGTGTTGATAGGCAGTGAGCCGAGATCAGTGGCACCAGTAGTTAGGGCTGCTTCAATCGCTTGGGTGAGGTTGTTGGAAGCCGCCTTGACATCGTGTCTGGAGACATGATCACGCGGTGGAGGGTATAAGGGAGTCTGTAGTGGGCAGGAATTTTCAGTATAAGCAAGAGTGGCCAAGAGAAACGAAACTAATTGCAGAAGCTGATGAGCTCGAATAGACGGTAGGGATAACATGATGGCTAGACTTGAGCACGAATGACTCGTGATGAGGAATCGACATCATTTAGGAAAACGAGAGCGCTTTATAGTAATATGAGTTTACTGCTATTTGGTGATATTCTCCGAAAGTATGAATTGCTGGATGGATGCCTTACCGGAGTACAAGCTCCGCCATATCATCATTGTAACTCATGTATTCTCACTGGCCAGCTTGTTCATGAGTGGAGATCACATAAAGTATCTTTGCCAACACATCCAGATGATATTCAATTAACCTAATTGGCTAGTCCGCTTGTTCTTGGCTGAATTAGAAACTGATTGGGCCTAAACTAAATCTTACTCCAATCCTACGGGCCAGGTTGTGGCGGAGCTCCCATACAAAAGTAGGACATATAAATAGTAGAAAGACGAACCTTAGGCAGATCCGTTTCAGAGAGCTTCATTGGACTTTATTCATTTATTTATTGCCTATAGCCAGTTCTCCTAGCATTCCAAGAAAAAGAAATGTGCGTGATTTAACCACGCCTCCGTCACCCAGAGCATACAACATCTCAGCCTGCGATTTGTCCTCCAGCGATATCGTCGTAAGTTCATAATCACCTCTCACTCGGCCATGTACTCAATTCCGACACGAATCTACGAGCCGTACCCTAGGGGCTAAACTTCCCCCTACGACAATGCGAATCCCACTTCTCTGCAGAGCTTATCGTTGCCGGGATACGGTTTTCCAGAGCTAAATTCACTAGTGACCGGTCTGAAGGTTGTCTATTAGCAATTAATCAATACGGGTGGCGATCAAACATACTCTGTGGGGTAAACTGGGGCCATCCATAGTCACTCAACCCGTTCCAAGGGTCTTTGGCAAATGCCACCCATGCGCCTAACCTCGTTAGCTAGGATCCGGGAAAGTTGTGGTAAATAATAGTACCCTGAATGTATTTGCTCGCTGCAACCTCTTCTGGACTGGAGGGCGGCTGAATAGTTGTCTCGTTGTATGTCCCAAAGACAATGGGTACATCGCTAGAATGATACGCTCCAAGCCATGGGGTTGGACTCAACCCAGACCAATTACCGTGGTAAAGGTATCGCCAGGTGGGAATATCTTGCTCGAGGCGGTTGCCCACGGTCTCAACAATCGGGCAATTAAATGTGTTCTGAGTGGCTGTGTAGACCAGTGTCTCATTGATAGACTTGGAGCTAAGATTCATGTACGCTGATGCCTCCCGATCGGCGCCGCCGATCAATGTTGGCTGCAAGAATCAGTTACTGGCCGTATGTAGACCGATAGAAAGCTTACCAGCCGAGCAAGGCCCCCTTGCTTTGCACGAGCTTCGAAGTCAGCGAATGCAGTTACGTTGTCTGCCACCGGACTAAAGCTGTAGGACCCAGAAGACACTTCTTCGAGTATATCTTCCCACGGCTTGTCCTGCATGCACTTCAGAGTCCTGCAACCTAGTGCCTGGGACAGGTTCTGCCAGTTCTGGTGGGCTGTGTCTTCGTTTATAATGATGGATGCGGCACCCGATTGCATTACCACGCCGTGTACGATGGGATCCTTCGGGTACTGCCAGTCAATACAGCGTTAGTTTCAGCTTCCGTCCATATGGACCCATATACGAACCGCGTAAGTGTACAGGTCTGTCGATGCTGCTCCGGCACTCTGGCCAAACAGCATAATTCGTGAAGGATCTCCGCCAAATTGCGCGATATTACGCTGCACCCACTCAACGGCAAGTCTCTGACTTCATTAATTCTTCATCCATAGAAGAGCGACATACGTCTGGCGGCGTACCTGGTCAAGAAGTCCAACATTCTGCTGTCCGGGTTCAAGGCCCGGCGCGTTAGGATACCCGAATATAGAAACGCGATAGCTATGAGCCGATGGTAAGCTGCGAAGCTCCCACAATTAGATTGCACTCACTTAAACGTAACGACAACGATATCCTGGTGATCCTCGACTAAGTTCGTCCCGTCGTAGAAGGGGATCGCCGACCCGCCCTGCGTGAACCCTCCACCATAAATGAACATCATCACGGCTAATTTACCATTTTCTTTCTTGGTTTTGGGGGTCCATATATTGATCGCAAGACAGTCCTCCGACATGCTCTGCGTGTTCCATGGCATGTAGGGCAGGACACTCCAGATAGACTCGTTGGAGAAGGTGTACTGCCCCGGACATGTCGGTGGAAATGAATCGGCCTGAACCGTCTCGTTAGATCGCGATTTGGGCACGGGTGGCTTGAATCGACGTGACCCCCCAGCTGCCTCGGCATACGGTATGCCTAGAAATGCACGAACGGAGGAACTGTTGTAGAAGCCTTCTACTGGACCACTCGTGGTGTCGATGTACAGCTCCGAGGCCAGCGCCGTAGACGACAGGATTGTCGCTACAAAAATGCCGAGCCTGACCATGGTAAGATTGTTCACTGGAGCCCTAACGGTGTTAGTATCATTCTGCAGGTATTTGAGCTCCGAGCAAACAAGCATTAAGTATCCCAGATAGAAATGCGGGGGGCGCGGGGAATCTTGGTGTTTGGGCTCCACATTCTGAAGGATTTCTCCGATTAGCCTGAACCTTTTTCAAGACAGTAACTCGGATATCACGACTGCCGAATCTCTTTGCCGTCGGTGATCTTCTCTTGTATGTTAATCTATTTAAGTTGTCAAGGCCTTGGCACGACTGCAGTTATACTGTGATCATGACCAATAAACCTCTTTTATATTGCAGCACGATTGATGCCAGTAGCTCAGACCAAAGTCTATTCGATAACGCCTGAGACATCAGTCTTAAACATTGGTATTGATATGCCAAGTCTCAAGACGACGTACAGCCATGTAGCTCAGATCCAATCGAAATCTGCACCATCAGATTGCAGAAACCTGGCCGCCTGCGATATCCAATTATCCTCCTTATTTCTATCGCTATAAGACGCCGGTATCCGTGAGGCCAGACCAGAGCTAGCATGCCATAACTCGTCGCTATCCGGCATGGCAAATTGTAGGTCGGCCAAGGAAAGAAGTTTCGCGTCATCGACGCGGCATCGGCGGCATACTTTGTACAGGGCCAAGGCGAAACGTTTGACTTCCTCAATACCGACCCAGATAAAAACGTCCGGCACTGAGGCAGAGTTGAAGTGCGCGAACATAGTCGGATAGGAAAACATGTTTCGCTGCAGGCAGCTGCGGACCAGCGCGACCAGAAGCTGGGAGGGGATTTCAGAAAGACTTTGTTTCATTCGGAGGTCTAGTCGATCCTGGCCACCTTGTAGAAGAGCGAAAATGAGGTGTAGCAGTATCCCCTGGTAGGTTGCCATCGGCCAGGGATCGATAGATCCGGGAGTATTAGAATGACAACCCTGTTGCTGTTCGCCACGCCGGCTTGATACATCCCATCGATCCTATCCGAGAACCTTATGTTAATGAAGAAAAACAAAAACGAACCCAAAAATTAGGACGAAGGAAAGATTAATGGAACGGAACGTTTATCATGAAGCTAACCTTCTGTTGATAGATAGACGTGGTCAGCTGTGCATGCAGATCCATCGCCGAGGGCTGGCCACCCTCGGACACCCACAATCCTATCATCGCGACCGATTGTAGGAGGAACGCAGGTTCATTATTAGGATCAAACGTAGCTCTGTGGAGGAACGGCCAGTAGGGATGAAATTTCTCGAAATACGCCTGGATGTAGGGCAGTATTCTATTCGGGCTTTTCTCAATAGACTCAGAGTGCCGCCTTAAGCCAAGACTTGCCGAGGCAGGGTGTACAACTGAGCTTTGTGAACTTTGTCCTTCACAGCGCTGAGCAGACTGTGTAAAGGAGCACTGAAGCCCTCGCTGCACACAGGCTGCACAGGGAGCATCCAAATTTCCGTCACATCTCGATCTTCGCGAGCGACAATAACTGCACGCCTGGGCTGCACGGCCGCGAGGAATGTCCTTGTTTTGATGGTGTGTACGGACATGTTGGCGGAGCGTGTCACTGTTGCACCGTCACTATCGATTCACATCATTGCCTCGGAGGTGGAATAGGGATGGTATTGGCATTCCAGGCCTATTAAAGGCTCTCTCAATGGTAGATACTCACTTCCGACCAAATGTCTTATCACAAAATGGGCATTGAGGGGAGTTTGCTTCAGAATGGCATTTTGCGTGGCGGATAAGGTGTTCCTTGCGGCGATAGCGTAATCCACAGTGGCATTGAAAAACCGGCTCCATCGTCGTCATTGTATGGGTTCTGTACTTCTTACCTTATTGGTAATAGCTCAGTCTCGCGTAAGGGGGCTTCAAAGGGCCAGAATGGATGTAGTGTGTAGTGTCTATGGGTGGTGCAAGAACATTGCATAGTGGAGCTGGGTTGCCGATGGGATCCCGAATGAATAATCACTGCCCGCTTTTTGCTCCACGATACTGTCATTTGTGACTTACCTTTAAACGAAACAAAATGACATTAAATTGCTACTTTGTTACCTTGTTTCCTCAAGTGTCAGGAAAGAAAATTGATATCATTTGGTCACTATAATTTTGTACGCGTTGATAGAAGGACATACTTGCTCGGTGCTGTTGCAACAAATATGCACAGGCAATAGGATCGAACCTCCAACATCAGCGAGCCTTCTTCTCATGCTTCAATCGAACTCCTTCCTCATAAGTTTTCCATTTCTCCAGGACAGCCATCTTCTCCTCCTGTGACGCAGCCTGAGATTCTGCCACCCCTTGCCTGATGCGACATTTGACAATGTAACCCTGTCGGTCCGCTCCATATGAATGTTCAATGGCTCGATGTACGCCATTTAGCGGATAGCCGATCAAGCCAAAAATACCTAGAAAGCAAATGTTGATCAGATTGATTGAATTCAGAAGATCACGGACAACTCTTACCAGCTTGAGGTTTAATGATCAAGCCACCCAAACCTTTCCCCACGCCTTTGGTCATCCCACCAAACCCACCATCTTTCCACCCGCGGCTGGGTTGCGTTACAACACCAGTGACACCGTCATAGCAGCCGTATCCGAGTTCCTAGGTCAATTAGCATGACAAGTACTATTCAATCACATATGAATGCTCGCGGAACATGTACCTTTCCGGCCGCAACAAATCCCGACCGGATGCCGGTCACCTCAGGTAGCTCGCGCACAGTTTCGTCATTGTAGAATCGTGGAGCAATATGCGCGAACTGAGAAAACAACAGGGTGACCCCCATGGGTACTTCAACCACCCAGTTCAGCACCCTGCGACCCAGATAACTCGAGTTAATCGCTACCCGCTGCAAGGGATTTCGCTTGACAACCATCGAGGGTGTTCCTTCCTGCGACTGCGTGGTCATCGAGGATGACAAACTAGCGGTCTCCTTGGAATCATCAGTAGTTTGCGCACGCTCCTTTTCTGAGGTTGCACTCGGCGCTGCGTCAGAGGCTGGCTGCGTGAACATGGCTCTACGCGCCTCGCAGGATGGCAAGTTGTAGTTCTCCGCAAAACGGTCCGCAGCCGGACTCGCGATATTGTGGATTGCGTCAACGGGCACGTCGACGAGCCCGGTGAGGAAATTGCTCATGGCACCGGTGAAGCTGTCCGTCCCTTCACAGCCTTGTCTGATGTCGTAGCGTTTTCCACGGTACCTGTGGAATATATGTTAGCACATGGGGAAGCGTCGAACACAGACGGTATTGCATACAATTTGACATCTTTCGGGTTGAGCTTCTTCTGCTGGACCAGGTAAGTAGCTGCAAAAGCACTGAGCAGTATCTTGGTTCGTCTAACACGCCAGACAGCGGCACGATCAGGACATAGCATGCACTGCATCCGACGAAGATCGAGTTGGCTATGAAAGCTCGCTAAGCAATCGCGGGCGCCGTCCTCCGCGCACATTTTCTCGGCCAGGATCTGCGCCTTCTCGATGGTGGAGGTCTTCAAACAGAAGTGGATCGCATCGGCCAGACGATCGGCAGTAAGCTTTTTGTGGGGGATGGGCGACGGTCCTGCTCCGTTATGCTCAATCAGAGCACCCCAGAAGGGCTGGTCTCCGAAAAAAGGGACAATGGTAGTTGGCCGGCCTAAGGCAAGGCCGGCAGCCGTCGTTCCTGCGCCTCCGTGGTGGATTACACAGGAAACCCGTGGGAACAGCCAGTCGTGGGGACAGTTTCCGAGGAAGAAGACGTCCGGGCGATTGATGCTTTCGGCTCCGAGACCACCCCATCCCTTAGAGATCAATGCGCGTTGGCCGGTCATTTCAACGGCGTCTAGAATCATCTTGGTCAGAGCATCTGGGTCATCGACCACGATAGAGCCGAATCCAATATAGACTGGTGGCGGGCCTGCAGCTAAGAACTCAACCAGGTCTGATGGAGGCACGAAGTCGGTGTTTGCGGCTAGGAAGTTGAAACCCGTTACTTCGATATGCTCCTGCCAATCTTCTGGCTTTGGCAGGAGTGAGGGTGACCTATTGCATTCACTTAATGGTTGGATTCAGGTACAGGGACAGCATACGAACCACATGTAGGTGAAGGGAATGCGCAACCGGGAAATCAGACTTGGAGCGCGTATAACATCCAGCTGCTCCAAACCCAGTTCAAAACGACGAAACGAATTAACAAGATCGCCGACACCTTCCCAGATAACCATCTCCATCAGACCGTAAGAGGCGAAGTTTGCTACCGACGGCTTGATATCGCCCACCCGGATATTTGCTAACGGGTGCGAAAAGGCTTGAGTAGGGGACCATGGCATTCTAAAGCCATCAGCAGCTGCAACTCAAGAGAGCCATGCAGTAGAGACTAACGTGAACATTAGATGCAATGGAATAGCCAGTTTCTCTGCACAGTGGATATGGGCAAAGCTGGGCGGATTCGCGACGATAGCATCGGCCACGAATGGTGCCGCCGTGATGGCCTCGTCACTAGTCATATCGATACCTTCGCCAGCTTCAAAACAAGATCTCCAGCACCCGCCGAGCATTATCCTAATGTCTCTGCGACGTTTTCCGACCCCCCCTTGCCTAAGAGTCTCCATCTTTGGGATCAGCTTATCATTCTTCACCATAAACGACATGAGCTCAGCCGGATCGCCCCCGATATTGAAGAACTCCAGTCCATTGCGCTTCACAAAATCCCGGAATACCAGATGAGTTGCTAGTCTCACGCGGTGTCCATGTCTTTTCATAGCTCGACCCAAGGCGATGAATGGTTGCACGTCGCCGCGCGAGCCCACGACGTGAATCACCACGTTTAGCCGAACTGGAAAAGGAGTATCGTCACGTTGAACCTGCGATGGGCGACGGGTTGTCTTTCGCTGGAGAGCATCCAACAGGCTAGCTACCTGTGGGTCGTCCTCGTTAAGCGCGATATCCACGCGACCGTCATCTGCGGGAATGACGACAAGTTAGCTCCACTCGTGGCAGAAAGTATAGCTAATAATAAACGTATATCAGACCTGTGACCTGTGCGTTTGCGTTAAAGCCGTCAGTCTTGAGCTGCTCCGGGCCCTTCGACCCTGGAGCAAGAGCTAGTGGGATATTCGGCGCTGCAACGTTCGCCATTTCAGCGGTATGATCTTTCCATGAAACAGCCGTCTAGGTCCGCATGTACATCTTTAATAAAGCTTGGTCGGCTGTGGCAAAGATAAAGTTGGCTCATGACGTAGCAGGCAGACTGGTAGAGAGTTTGAGAGTTTTGTTCGTCATTTTATACAGTGCAGGTATGTAAGAATACCTCGCTTCCCCGTCGCGTAGTTCCATATCTTCTCCAAAACAGCAAGCCGGTGTGCGCTAGACATTGAGTAGTAATACATAACAATGCATTATCCAAGCACGACACTCGAGTGACAGGCGATTGTCCATCTGCAACGTATTAGCAGCATTAGCTTTTCCGCACCAAGAACTCGGCATACCGATCCATGGGTGTGGATTCGGGAACCAGACCCGACTTTCCGTCCAGAGATTGGTAATTCTCATATAATCGCATTTGACAAATGTCTCATATGTTTTTAGACTGCGTGTGCCATGGTTGCTGTGGCTTCTTGATAGCTAACTTTCTACAGTTGGATTTACATCACTGCCATTGTAGAATCTCCACAGACTGAGACTAGGGCCATGTTCGAATACTACTCAATCATTCGTCGAATCTCTAGGCAACACGCGAATTGAGATATTTGAATGTGAATCACCAGCCAGTAGAGCACATGGTGTTAAATTATTTCCGTACACATTAAGATAAACAAGCGTGTTGGAGGATAGGTGACACTATAGACATCCAAGCGTATACTAAAATATATACATGGCAGATCAATTTGGCCTTTGTAGACGGAGTGTGTTAACTGTGCTTCATGACTCCCTCCTCGGGCGATCCCCATTGACTAGTTTGTTCATACTCTCCTCCATCCTGTTATATTTTCGGAAACACAAAAAAAATATGACAGCCGCCATCAGCATAGTGGCACTGAGCGATATATATTCTATCAAGACCTTGGGATCCACAGATGTCGGCGAAAGAGAAACACCAATGGAAGAACCGAATGCGCCGGCCAGGAGAAAAAGGGACATGATAATGCTACGCATGGACTGTGGCGCTTTGGTATAAGCATACTCCATCCCGGATAGCATTGCGAACAGCTCGGCAAGACCCATCAGACAGTAAACTGGTATTTGCAAAAGTATGCTGATCTGGTTGGGGTTGTTAGAGACACGTTTCACACCTTGGGGTTGGCGGAACTCACCCGTCGAATCGGAGAGACTCCTTTGCAACTATCGGCTGCTGGGTTTCTTTGACATGGGGAGGTCTCGTAGATCACTAGCTACGGTTAGTGAAACATGTAATTCAGTATGATAAACAGTCTACATACGTTCCTGGAGGCCGGCCGCTAGTGCCATCGCACAAGACGACAACAGAAGGCCTGTCGCGATCCGACTAATTGGCTTGAACTTGATATGCAAGCGATGCAACGTCGGATAAACAAAGCGCTCACTGGTACGGTTGTCAGTGTGGTCAACACAATGTCATAAAATATGGAACATACAACAATGGTACTGCAATGAGGACCGTGATGGGGTTAATACATCCCACTGTCTATAAGTTAGTCATGCATACATCAACCTCAACAGTCACACATACTCATATCATTCGGTACACCATGAGTGTTCATCGAGGCGCCTTGACTGACAAGGTTTGAACTTGCCTGGCCACTACAAATCCAGTATAATGGACTGTTTAAATTAGCTCTCTTGATGGTCTGGTATGTTTAGATGCTTCGGCACATACAAGATCAAACTAAGCCACCTGTGAGTAACATATATTTTATACCTTTCAGCACGAAGTACTTACAATACACGACATGCCACCAGGGCACATTTAAGTTCGTCCACGAACACATCATCCCATGGCACGGAGACACCGGTCTTTTCCAGTGATGCAGGCCGGGCTGCCTCGAGATTGCCTCCGCTTCTGATACCAATCCATAGTATTCGCATTGCCTTGGCAATAGCTGATCCATTCGGGGGTCGCACAACTATCCCCATTAGCGACTGAAGAAGATAATGCATAGATATTCTTACTATAACGCGTGCGACCAGCCAGAAGAGCGATCATTGCCAGAGCCCAAAAGCATAAAGGTAGCATAAAAGCAGCCCAGAAACCCACTTTCAGCTCTAACCACTAGAGGTTTGTGAATGATAATCCAATGCTGGTGGGAAGAAAAGGGACTTACCGAGACGGGGACAACCGATAGTGCGCCTAAGTTGATTATCCTAAGATCCCCGTTAGGATGGACGAAAGGAAGATAGTGAGAATGGTAACTGACCAGTAATATCGGGCATATATCGCCTGGATAGTAATGTTTGGGTCTACCAGAACCTGTTCACCATCTGGCAAGGTCTTCACGCGCGGCCCGATAGACTGATACTGCTCTGCAATCAGTGGTCCAACATTGCTCTTGATAGCACCGGTTCTAGAAACACTCAGTTATATATTCCGCCCGGGGGTTGTATCAACCTTACCCCAGTCCGATCAAGATCAACGCAGCCACAAGCCCGGGGAAACCAGCTCCGTTCTCCAGACTCCCTGGGAGAGAAGTGGCAAATAAAATCAATACCCCGCCTGCCGATAGTCTATCAAGATTGTCAGTATATGGCCTAGGCTGTACGTAAACTATCATACCCAGTTCCTAGAATGATAGTTTTGAACCGACCCAGAAAGCTATCTGCTATGATACCCATTAGAACCGGAGATAGGTAGCACCACGTAACAAAAATGTAGTTGATGCTCGTCGCTATTGTCTGGCCCTAATCTGTCGTTAGCGAAATCCAAGTAAGTTTCTATCACTGTCACGCGCACCATTCCCAGCGCTCCCGGGTGCGATGGATCGTCCCGGGGATTCTGAATATAGTTCTCTGGAACCCAAGTCAGTAGGCCAGCTAGCCATGAGGTGGGTCTATCATACGTATTGGTGCTGATACCGACCGATAGGTAAATCTCTCGGCCAGCTCTGCAGCGGCCACTAGAAATATATCCATAGAGATGTCATCGCGCACTAGTCGCAGATCCGAGTGTTCCACCGCTGGCTCTGCCCACCTCCCTGGCGGGGGATCGTCGCCTAAGAGCGTTTGCCCTGACGAGGCTTGGCTCTCTTTTGACACGCTTTTCCAGGACTTGGATTCCATGATGGTTCAGAACCCATGCGAAAGTTCTCCTCCATCTCCAGGTATGGCCCAATGAGTGCCAGCCGGGATATTTAAAGCTGCCAGGCACACAAACACAATGTGGGATTTTCCGCTATATTACCTATAGCGAGTGGGTCCTACTCTACAACCACTGGAATGTATATGCGTGGACAGATACATAGTCTGATAGGGACGCAAGGCATGCCCTCTGTCCAGGGTATCACGCCATTACCACTCTTGGTGCAGCAATTCATGGTCTACATATATGTTTTGCGCAAAGGGCCGTCGCCATCGACATCACCAGTGATCGATGTTTGAAGCTTGCACTGGCCGATCACACTGCAAGGGACATGTATCATGGCTGATAAAGTGGGATGACCAAGATTCTGTAGCCCTATGGAAAAGGGTTCGTTCAGGAATACCCGCAAATGGGACAACGACCATCACGCCTTTGGCGACTGTGATGTCACGAGATAGGTAGCTTCTATCAGAGGCTGGAGGGTATCCCTATGCAGGAGCTATCGCTGCGGGAATGTGGAGACTCGAAACTGTTCCTTTCCATCAGATATCTGCTGATTGGGCAGTTCAATCTCCGTACGACCTTGACTGCAAGGGCACATTCATAAAACTCGCAAGCCCACAGCGTAGCTGTAGGACTCGGGATATTTGGATGGCCTGCGCTGGACTACACACAATGATCCTATCCTGTACCTGCCGCCAAGCACTAATGGGGACTGTGCGGGGAGTGAGCGTACATCTTGTCTTTCAGATGGTAGGTTTACGTGGCATTTCTAACCAGCATTCTCTGGTGGGATACAAAATAGAATTTCTCACCTTAACCAAGGTATATATAACGTTATTCCTGTGGACCATTGCGCAAGAACACCAACGCCTAGTTTTATATCAAATAATAGGATTTTGTTGAGCACTAGTTCTGTTGCTGAGGGTTATCGGAAAACACCAGGTCGGGATACACCAACCCACGAGTGCGACAGGAACCTGCTGTGAATATTATCCACAACCTCGACATATCTTCTTGTTCCAAATGCACTCTCTGGAGAGACGATCGCCCTGACATGGGAAGGACCCTCGAAATAAATGTGGGGTAGAGTTGAGGACTGGCTGTCTCTATATGCTGCACTATCACTTGGCATGCGCAATCCCTGGGCAGCATACCACGGCGCGGCGATCATTTTAATCAGGTTTGGTTCCCGACAACCAGTGTGGTAGTACAACAGTATTGTACTCTTGCACTAATCGTAGCGACTCTGAGGAGTCACACGGCAGACAGACAAGAGAGCTTCCAAATCAAGCTGACTAGTTCGTGCTGTCGTTATGACAACTTATCGTCGCTTATATTTTGTCTTTTCGACTCAAAATAGTAACGGTTCGGTCCATCCGTAATGATGACCAGGCTAACGGCGAAGATCACAACCGATTGGGCTCATGGAGCATTCCACGCGACGAGTGTGGCATCACCGCACATCTTTCGATGCCCAAAATGGAGAGGAGGCTCGATACCCGTGACACGCTGATGCCCTAGGCCACCACATGCTGCCATCAAGAGCACGTGATATATTCGGCATCACGTGTGAATACCCCGTGACTGACCTATGGAAAAATGATAATTCCGGGAGTTCCGATCGGTTGGGAGTGGCGCCGGACTGCCTAATGCGGCACTGTCACTGGTGCCCTCTGGCCCTCATCGAGTGGCCCGTGGGCGACTCAACCAGCACGGAGTCGGCGGTCGCTAAGGGCTGACGTGTAAATCTAGACCCCTGAATGGGCAGTGCAGTGACTGGTTAGCTGAAAGATATATCCAGTCCATACAGAGTCCTATGTCAATCAACTCTATCGTGGTAGACATGGGGTTGATGTGTAGTAAGTAGGGAGGAGATCGTTGTCAATGTCCCTGGGACTCAGCGCAGACCGAGGATGGATATGGAGATCCGCGGGGTGGATAGATGGCTGGACCTGATCTTATATGATCTTGACATCATCCGGTAGTATTCGATCCATCTGGATAGTAGTGTTTCAGTCGGTATATCCACCGGGGGTTCTGTCCCCTTGTCCCTATACTCCGTCGCGCTTATACTACGGACTCCTGGCACGCCTGTTTGCGGACATCACATTTCCCAACACAAGCTGACTTGCGATCGCTTGACAAATTAATTCGATTGAATACTTCACTATCGGTTGCTTTTGAGTTCTCCCATTCCCATTCCCACGGGTTTCTGCATCCCCTACAACTTAGTATCAGGTCGGGGGAATTCGGGCATCCTAGCAAACAGGTCGTTTGCGTCATAAAAGGATTGGGTTCCATTTGATGGCCAATCTTTTTTTCTTTTTTTTTTTTTTTTTCTTTGGGACGAATTCTTTGATATAGAAAGTCTTGAGTGGCTGTCACGCATTGACACTGCTTTGAAATTTCCTTCTTCGCCATTATTTCCTGTTTTGAGTCTTATTATTTGTAATATTTTCCGTTTCGTCCTAGACCGATCTTTTAGAGATAGACGAGTTTGTGATCTATCTTGGGAAGTACTCCAGTAAGTATACGGACGGTAAAAGGGTAACAACACCTGGTATTGTCAACGTACCGCCGAAAAAGATTCGAGCCCCTCTCACAATAACAACAACAACATCTTCAATCTTCAATCTTCTTCGTCGTTTCCCTCTCAACCTCTCGTCTCCCCTCTCCCTTTTTCTATTTCTCCTTTCCCTTTTGTGAATTTCTTTTACCTCCCCGCGGGACATCCTCCCCCACCCCCAACGCATTCTTCTTTCTAACCCCCGCCACTTCGTCTCGAACGTTTGCGCCCGCCACCTCCAGCTGGAACCGTATCAACTTTCTCTTCGCCTTTTCGCCTCATCGCCCGTCGGCGTCAAACTTCCCTTCCCTCCGCTCCTCCCCCCATTCATTCCAACCTGATTCCCCGACCGTCGTCGCCAATCGGACATTATGGACGGGGTTGATATCACCAAGGCTGTGCTGAATAAAGGAAAACAGATGGCCAGTGTGGCCGCATCGGCCGCCAATGGCAATGGCGGTAAGAAGCGCAGAAAAGGAACCGATTTGAAGCCAATCGTCACCAACGAAACAGCCGCTGATTCTACGACAGAGGGGTATGCTTGTTTTTCCTCCCTGTTGCGATTTTCTAGTGTGAGTTCGTCTTGTTGATCGATCGATTTCCATCCGGTAGGGCTCCCTCTCTCGCCATTCCGCAATCGCGATCCCCCTCCACCTCCTCCGTTGACGAGATCGAGACGACCGCCGAAGAGGAGGATTCAGAAGACTACTGCAAGGGCGGGTATCACCCGGTCACGGTCGGCGAAACGTATAACAACGGTCGCTATGTCGTCGTGCGCAAGTTGGGCTGGGGCCATTTCTCCACCGTCTGGTTGTCCCGCGATACCACCACCGGCAAACACGTCGCCCTCAAAGTCGTTCGTTCCGCCGCTCACTACACCGAAACTGCCATCGATGAGATCAAGCTCCTAAATCGCATTGTGCAAGCCAAGCCGTCGCACCCGGGTCGCAAGCATGTCGTCAGTCTGCTCGACTCCTTCGAACACAAAGGTCCCAACGGGGTCCACGTATGTATGGTATTTGAGGTATTGGGTGAGAATCTACTGGGTTTGATTAAGCGATGGAATCACCGCGGCATTCCGATGCCGCTGGTAAAACAGATTACGAAACAGGTCCTCTTGGGATTGGACTACCTCCACCGCGAATGCGGTATCATCCACACCGATCTGAAGCCGGAGAACGTGTTGATTGAGATCGGCGATGTGGAACAGATTGTGAAGACATACGTGAAGGAGGAGCAGAAGAAGGAGCACAAAGAGGATAACCGCAATGGCCGCCGGCGGCGCAGGACCCTAATCACGGGGAGTCAACCGTTGCCGAGCCCGCTCAACACCACCTTTGATTTCAAACACAGCTCGCACCACTCGCAGAGTAGTCTGAGTCAGATGATCAATGAGGAGTCGGGTACGTGTCGAGCACTCCAGGGTCGTTTTGCGACCGCCTACTGACCCGCTGCAGAACCTGCCCCATCAGAGAAGTCATCCATGAGAGAAATGCTCGGCATCAAGGATGAAGATGAGAAACAGAAGCAACGAGAAAAGACTGCGTATGCTCCATGTCCCGTCGGGGACCGCAACGGTAGCTAACCTGCGCTAGTGACCTCCTTGAACGCGAAGTATCCGGCATCTCCTTGAATAAATCCTCCAACGAAGTGAAAGATGAACCCGAATGCGATATTATCTCGGTCAAGATTGCTGATTTGGGGAATGCCTGCTGGGTCGGCCACCACTTTACGAACGACATCCAAACACGACAGTATCGCTCGCCCGAGGTCATTCTCGGGTCCAAGTGGGGTGCGAGTACGGATGTATGGAGTATGGCGTGCATGGTATGTTCGACGGAATTACGCTCGGCGCGATGGGGTTGCGCCCCGACCGGAGGGTTTCCGCTCACCAATGTCTAGGTCTTCGAGCTCATCACGGGTGATTACCTTTTCGATCCGCAATCTGGTACAAAATACGGCAAAGACGACGATCACATTGCACAGATCATCGAACTACTCGGTCCCTTCCCCAAATCACTCTGCCTCTCTGGCAAGTGGTCGCAGGAGATCTTTAACCGCAAGGGCGAATTGCGCAACATCCATCGACTGCGTCACTGGGCCCTACCCGACGTCCTTCGGGAGAAGTACCATTTCTCGGCCGAAGAGAGTATGCGCATCAGTGAATTCTTGTTGCCCATGTTGGAAATCCCGCCCGAACGACGTGCCAATGCTGGTGGGATGGCATCGCATGCGTGGATGAAGGATACGGCAGGGATGGATGCCGTCGACCTGGGCGTTCCCCCCGGCAGTCGGGGCGAAGGGATCGAAGGATGGGCATCCGAAGTGAAGCGGCGGTAGACTTGACGACAACAGCGTGATGACTTTTCCTTTGAATGGTGGCTGTTCTTGCTTGATTTCCCCTGCGGATGTATCCATTTTGGTTCGGCCGTTTCTCTGGATGTTTTATGACACCTTGACATGACGCGCATGCTCTTCGTTACCCTTTTCTGTTCTTTTTTCTACTACCATCTTTCCTTTATCTCTTTCACTACATAGAGTCTTGATATCATGTCTGCCTCTACGTCTGTCATCGTCGGGTCGGCTAGTCAATGGGGACTTGCGTTAGACATAAAAGACCTTTTGACGTCAGGCCTGTATTCATTCCTTTCGGCTGTTTAGGTAAATGCTTGTGTGGCAGCAACTTCATAACAAGGGAGGATATACTATACTATATGGCGATCGGATATATTTAGTCCACGACCCAATGTTGGCGATACTTATGAAATGAGGGTTCTATACAGAGACGGAGTATCAACCCGTCGTACATTCATAACCAACGTTACCCATCTACTACATCCTCCAGTTCACTTTCATCCTCCTCACTGGGCAACACCGAAGGAAACCAGCCAAACCGAGCCAAATCCACGTAGAACTCCCCCATAGCATCCGTCTCAACCTGGATTCCCTCCTCTCTCAATGCCTCCGCCTGTCGTTCCGCACTGCCGGGTTCCCTATTCACATCAGTACCGATCAACCCTACAAACATACTCCACGAAAGCCAAAAGCTGCCTAGGGATAGGAAAAAGATAGTAGATACCTATGCGAAATCATGCCTTTCGAATTAATCACCCTCTGCCAGGGCACATTGCCCGAATGATAGTACTCTTCCGAATTCGAAGGGAGATGTTTCAAACAAATCCCCACCTGACGGGGTCGTTGCGCTACATATCTTTAGTGTCATCTTTATATCGCAGTGATATCTCGATATGACCATAGAAACAATATAGAAAAGTAAACCTACGATACCCAAGAAGAAGAGCAATATGGCCATAGGACGTCACTTTGCCTGGCGGGATTTCCTGCACCGCGGAGTAGACGGCGTTGAACCAGTGTTCGGCTTCGTCTGTGCGGGGCATTTGTTCTTTTGCTACTTTGTATATTGGGTTGAGGAAGAAATAAGAGGGGTTGTACCGTGTGTTTTGTTCAGTTGAAGGAAGTTCGTATGTTTTGGATTCAATCATTGGGCTGGATTCGATAGGGTGCGGGGTGCCGCTTTAAGGGTTCCCGGTGGAACTACACCTGATGGTCGAGACTCGAGTGTTGCTATGTAGATTCCAAATAGCTATCTCCATTGGGCTATTGGCAATTTTGGTATTTATATTGTATAGTAGTTCCTGGACAAGTGAGATTGAGTGTTTGAAGGCTGGACATATTTACATTTAGTAGTAAGGTGGTCCTTCGGATGCGTTTTATATATTGCAGCTCAGCATCCGCCGATAAGATGGACTGAAGTATGGTAGTGATTACACAATCCACAAACATCGTACTTGACTTAGAGTCCTTCAACCCTCAAATGTACAGTTTTCGTTTCAAGGTAGTTATCGAGACTGTGATGGATGCCTTCCCTCCCAATTCCACTGGCCTTGTATCCACCAAAGGGCATATCAAACGCACCAGTCGGACTCGTGCAGTTGATGCCCACGGTACCAGCCTCCATAGACGTAGCAAAGCGCATAGCCCGGTTCACATCTCGCGTGTAGACCGCAGCATAGAGCCCAAAGTCGGATGAGTTTACCATCTTAATGACCTCGGCTTCGGTTTCAAACACGTTGATATTAACCACCGGCCCGAATATCTCCTCCTTCATGATCTGGGAGCTCTCTGGCGTATTCGCGAAGATCGTCGGCGGGATAAAGTAACCTTTTTGGTCAGGGACATCGCCTCCTCCAAGGATAAGTTCGCCGTCTTTCTTGCCCAGCTCTATGTAGCGTTTCACAATGTTGAACTGGGTTTCATCGGCCTGCGGACCGTGGTTTACGCAGGGTTTTGTGGGATCGCCCATCGACACGGACTGGAAATTGGCCTTGAACAGAGGGATAAATTGATCGGCGATGGAAGTATGGACATAGATTCGAGAGTTGGCCATGCACACTTGGCCGCTATTCATTTGGATACTATACGCTGACTCCTTCGCCGCCTTTTCTAGGTCCGCATCTGGGAATATAACAGTCGGGGACTTGCCTCCGAGCTCAAAGATCACATTCTTCAGGTTGGAGTTGGCCGCTGCCTTTTGGATAAGACGGCCTGTGCGCCCCGAGCCTGTGAAAGTGATCACTCGAACGTCCATATGATGTGCGAGTGTTGCCGGAGATGTGGCCGTGACCAGACAGGACATTGATCACACCTGGGGGAAATCCGGCACGATGAATGAGGTGAGCAACTTTGGCCGACTGAGACGGAGTTAGAATTAAGGACAGCACAAATCCAATACGGGTAGTGTGCTTACAGTCAAAGGCGCCTTTTCGCTACTCTTAATGACGACCGTATTTCCGGCCGCGATCGCAGGCGCCACTTTGTTTATGAAGAAGTTAACCGGGACATTCCAAGGGATGATGGCCGCAACAACCCCATACGGCTGCCTCAGGGTCATATTGATGAATCCTGGCGTGTTCAGACTTGTTTGGCCCTGGCCATGCCAGCCGCAGGAGGCGAAATACTGCAGCTTTTCTGCAGCAGCCTTCGCATCCCAGTATTCCGAGATGGGACGTCCCATGGAGATGGCCTCGAGGTATGCTAGCTCCTTTTCGGATTCGAGAATGAGATCGGCGAGCTTCAACATGTACGCCCCCCGGTCGTGCGGCGAGAGGCTCGACCATGCTGGGAACGCTGCCTGGGCCGCTGCGACGGCGTCGTTTGTATCCTCCACCGAGGCTTCAGAGACTAGAGGAGGTACGGTTGTAAGTCATATCCTGGTTCTTTGATTTTCGGTAGACGCCATGGCAGCTTACCTAAAGCGACTGTTTCCAGGGTAGCCGGTGATTTCAATGGAAATGTTCCCCCATCTGAAGCAGGGCGAAACTGGAGGAGAAAATCTATCAGCCATTGGGCTATGTATACGTGTATTCAATAGTCAATTCCACCAACCTCGCCATTGATGAAGAGACGCGTTTCAATCTCAGTCGATGCTTCAGAAGCCATGGCTTGTAATGATTGTACTGAAAAGCAGGAAAACCAATATATAGAAGTAGAAAGACCTGAATGCTCCGCACCGCGTATCAATTGTAAATAATATTCCTGGTTAACGAAATATCTTCATGTTCGACAAAAGGGTCCACATTTAAACAAATGGGGAGAAACAACTGCCGAGGAGATTAGATCCAATCTTAATTCCGACACTAAAAGCCGTTATCTCCCGGCCCAAGTGGGTTTAGTATACACATCCAAATGTAAAATATGTGGAAGTAGGTTTGCTAACAGGTTACAGCAGAGTTCACTGCAAGACAAAATGCCATATCAGACTCTACAAGTCCTGAGATTAGTGCGCAGTATTTCTGTTCTCATTTGAAGGAGCACCATAACAAGGACTCGAAACCCTAAACCTTGATTTTCACTTTACCCAAGACTCAGAATGCTGCACTTAAACACCCCGCTATAGTATGATATGCTTAGCAGGCTAAGTTGTAGGACCGTGGATGCAGCAGATAAAATGAGCCGCGAACGGTACCTGCGACGCAGAGAGCCCTTTTGGAACTCTTGATATAGCGAGCGATTTTTACTCTATATTTGTGGAGCAAAACATGGCTCTCACTGCTGATGGTCAGCTTTTTACACCTTTTCCTGTGAATGCCTACCTGGTGCTTTCATTCATGAAGCCCTAGATCCAGGCTCGTGCAGCACACCCGAACCATAACCAAAGGCCACCACGGAGCAACTCTATATCAAGCATGTGGATGACGAGCTGAATATCATTGAGACCCTAGATTGTTGAAGGCGGTGCTCGGGCTAGGTCTCTATGAAAATATGTAAAGCCGAATCAGTTGTCCTCAAAAGCTTGTCGAAGCTTCTCGTCGTACCCCTTATCAGAAAGCTTGCGCCCTGCAATGGAGCCTATATTCTTCCCCCAAAAGAACGGCATAATCAAATTGAACTGTTCGCCGTATTTGTTTGTGGAATATACTGAACATCCCAGAAGGGCTAGAAAGGGCAAGAGTATGCCAGAAACCCCTTGTCGACCAAGTTTGATTCATAACATCGGATAACTGTGGCAAGATTCCGCTATTACCAACCATTGATGATGTAGCAGGCGCGAGTGCAAGCTCCTCGGCAGCAAGAATTTCCATGAATTCTGTTCGAATCGCATCATATTCTGCAGAGTCCAGCTGGTCCACACCCTTATTTGTGAGCCAATAAGGAGGATTGATCATTTCAATTGGCCTGGAGCATGCCCACTCCAAATCAACGAGGCAAGTTATATTCCATTCGGCATCCACAAATATGTTACTCTGATGAAGATCTGTGAGGACCAAGCAGGACGGTCCGCGGCGATAATCTCGCTGGAAGAAACAAGGGAAAATCGTTCCCATTGCACTCAAGGCAGACAATTGATATTCACAGTCTCCTAGGTCGTTGATAGCATTAGGCTGGTTTCGGAAGCGACTATCATGATATGCAAGAATATCCAAAATATAGGAGTCGGCAGTTGGATAAGTATATTCCGAGATATACCTGTTGGGATATTTCCATTTTCCAACTGATGAATTTCAATTGAAAGAGGACGGTTTGCCAACTGTAAGAATCCATCATTATCAATAAAAAAGGACCCTATCTTGGGCAAGGGAACGCGACTGATATTCAAAAGTATCCGAGAAAGACCGTGGAAGAAATTTGTGCGATTTGATATCATGCTGCCCGTGAACCCACGTGTCGGAAAGCATTGTTCCTTGTGCTTCTTCTATAAACTCTACCAAAAGATAACCAGCATTAAACATGCCATCAGAGACGCGATGTGCGGTTTGATGGCTGACAAAGCTGGAGGGGGTTGGATATCCTAAAAATGATAATATTTTACGACGGAGAAGCTGAACGCATCGACTCAAGATAGACAGGTTCTCCACTCTGGTAAACTAGACACTGTTAGCTGCGACGAGTCACCGTGATGTATATTTCCGTACAGTTTCACCGCTAGAAAGGCCAAAGCCATATAGGGGCGGAATTGGTACATCTGCGCAATTCTCCTCAAGCCATGCATAGGACCCTGCTTCACATCGGATTTTCTCATCGCTATTTCCGGGTTGCACGGCTTCACCGACGCGGTATGGGAGGGGAAAGCGCATGAGGACGCGTTTGTTGCATCCGTCGACAGTGATTGGAATACCGACATTGAAACCACCATGGGACCAGTCTTCTTGGCCCGCTACATGACATAGAGTTGATGACTTTAAGTTAAGGTGATGAACAGCGATGGCCTTCATCCACTCCTGTCGTTCTTGAATATGGGCAAAGAACCGGGCTTGTTGTTCGTATGTTCTAGCCGATGAAGAATGTTACATTCCTGCTCCTTAGCAATCGAGTACGTCATCTCCTCATCTCGAAGAAGGCGTCGTGTTCGGGGCATGGTGATCGGGATGTGTGCATATTGGAAGCAAATAGGTGGTGTTCAGGGGAACTTCGTATCCTCGCGTGTTCCATATGATCTGTTCAACCTCTACCAGGTGACCAATCCCATAATGAGAACTCTTTGTTTGCGCTTAAGGTCGGGGCCTATGGCCTTGTAACCTTGGATAATATCAGGTCCAACTAAGCGAGAAAGTGAGGCCATTGACGACGACTACAAATTAGCTTTCGCCTTGAGCCATGCTTACTATGGACAGTACATCTTTTAACTACATTGATTAAATGATGTCAAGTGTTCAAATGATTGGATCAAACCGATATTTGTCTCATTCTCGCTAGACTTATTTCCGATTAAAGCATTCTTTTGCTGAACTGAAGAGCTTCACCAGGCGAGACTGGCAAATCCATGAGGAAGAAGCCGACCAAGGCTTGCACACTTACATAGATGGGTGTATTGATACAGTAGAAGTACGAGAACAACGCGCCAAAGGCCATCTCTGGTAGACAGGCTTAACGCTGCAAAAGATGTAACTACAAAAGAGCGCTTGCTGTCATGATTTTTATTCCAAACATTCCTTGTTCGATTGTTCAATGTTTCAGCATGTACAAGCACCGACGATCTGTGACTACCACCCCTAGACTAAAGCCTAGAATGGATATACTCACGACATATGTATAATTTTCCTTCCATCAAATTTACCCTCCACATTCTCATATTCCTCGAAGGCAGCATAATCCCCCGTTGGTTGCTCATAACTTTTACCTGGCCATCCTTAAACTGGATTGTGAAGTATGTATGCCCGAATACCCAGACCTTCACTCCATCGGAAGCCTTTGATAAGGTACCAGTGCTGAACGCAAACCTCCAAGGGCTCTGATCATTTTGCGGGGCAGATGTGCTCTGGAGTAAAGGAGCGAAGTGGGTCACAACGAGGATCGACAGCTTTTCATTCTCCCGACGTATCGACTGTATCTCTCTCAGTAACCAGGCAGGATGTAAATCGTGAGTTGCATTGTAGTCAGTCATCAATGGCCCAGCCAGTAACCTTTGGAAATCTTTCATCATCGACTGGCTAATGCCCTTTGATTCATGCGGCGCTTTTGACCAAAGCGTGCAGCTAAGAATAGTCATTGTATCGTTTCCGATGAAGAACAATAGTCCGTTCATTCAAAGGAGGCTCCTGCTCAAGCCGTCTAGCCGTTTTTGGTCCCGCTGTAAAAGACCCATTGTAGATCATGATTTTCGAGAACAAGAATCCCACATTGAACCGGTCTGTCTGCCGTCATAATCGCGATAATAATCGTAGTCAGCCAAGCGTTCCATGTCACATCCAAATCTCTGATATTGAGCGCAAATCTAGATCTCATAAGAGAGATGTAGATCAGAGAGAACTTGGAAGGTCACAAAAGGCCTGGTCAAAACAGACTGCACTTTCTGGAACACCACTATGAACTATTGATAATTGTCTGTCGTAGCTGAAAGCCTGAATCACAATTAAGAAGTCAAATGAATAGGCCATGACATGACTGTGATAGTACAGTGGCTTGTACGATGAGGTTGACACATCAACATTTATGCAGAGAGTTTATGGATGGCGACCCTGGAAGCTTATGATTAAGCATTTAAGGGTATACTATTGGGTGAGAGCATACAGTCTAACCAGACTCGGACTAGCAAAACGAAACCCTTACTTTCTGGACTCTATCTTGAGCTTGGGTCTTGCTCTAGCTTGATTGGAGGAGAAGTAAGCTTAATTGGGGGGTGTTGGGTAGTTTTTTGCTTTTTTGTCAAAGCCACTGCTGGTCTTCTGCATGGACTTGCTCCTATAGTATATTGAGACAAAAGAGTATGCGACTGTCAAGCTGACTCTGCAACCTACTCGAGATGCGGGCGAACTAAAAGGTTAGTCTAATACGAACAGCGAGGAATGAATCTAATCGCGTAAAAAGACACTAGACCCAAGAGGGCAGCCATCTGCAAATGTCCCCGCAAAATTTCTCCGGTTCCAACTCACAAGCACCTTTTTCCCTTTCCTTTTTGTGCTGTGTTGGCAAGCCGTGATCTGGCCACCCCTATACTCATCGTCCAGACTATGGACATTCCACAGTTCACTGCTACTGACACACCCTCTCCCTGACTGAATCGCTAATAATTATGTCGACCGACAGCTCGTCCAGCCCGTCGAATTGGGTTACGGGTAGTTACACGGGTAACAGCGATGGCCTTCGCATCACGATCACCACCTTCGTGGTGATCGCCTGGTATAATTCCATTGAGTTACTGGTTCTCATCTTCTCGATCTTCAAGCAGTATAAAGGGATTTACTTTTGGAGTTTGCTGATTTCGACCGCGGGGATCCTCCCCTACTCGATCGGCTTTTTCATGAAATTCTTTGATCTGACGTCAGCAATCTGGGTCTCGTTGACACTTGTCACGGTTGGGTGGTGGACCATGGTGACCGGGCAGTCATTCGTACTTTACTCAAGACTACACTTGGTTGTTCAAAACACACGGGTGTTGAATTTTGTCTGCGGCATGATCATTGCCAACGTCTTTCTCCTGCATATACCGACCACCGTTTTGACATACGCTGCCAATTACATGCAGTCGTACAAATACCTGCATGCGTATAATATCATGGAGAGAGTCCAAGTCGCGGGATTCTGCGCCCAGGAACTGATCATCTCGGGTATCTACATATGGGAAACTACGCGCATGCTGAAACTGAACCCCAACCGAGACAACCGTAACATCATCTTACAGTTATTTATGATGAACATGGTCTGCATCCTGATGGACATTGCTCTGATCGCAGTAGAATGCGCAAACTACTACATCTACCAGACCACGCTGAAGGCTACCGTGTACAGTATCAAGCTGAAGATCGAATACGGAGTCTTGAACAAATTGATCTACATTGCGAAGCAATCCGCAGGAAGGCCATTAGAGGATCCCTATATTGAGTTGAACCGACTCAGCCCCAATGCCAACTCTGATACTACGCGCACAACAACGCAATCCAAGCCGCATCGTTCCAGTATAGAGGATATCAGCTTCCGTCTACGTTCACTTGTAGCCTCACCACATTGCCGCCAAGACCGGTGAAGGTATCGTCAATCGGCTCAGTCCAACTACAACCCTTTTCCATGGACTGCTGCCAAGCCTTTTCCACCACTACTCCACGCATTATTGAAACCATTCCTCCAATTCTGCGCTGCGGCCGATTCCTACGGAGTCGCAACGATTCCGTGAGCCGACACGATTTATCTCACGCTGATTGACGATGCCTTCGCCCTCGGAATCGCTGGAACTGTAGAGCTCACTATACCATTGGAATTGTACCCAGTTGGTGTTCTCGTGTGTGAGACCTTTCAAGCGAAAAGCTACTATATCACGGGGGCGTGTTATCTCACTATACTCCTGAGACCTGACATGCCCTCGCCAGGTTCAAGGATTCTGTGCATGTTCGCGTAGGAAAACTCCGGATAAAATCCAGAGCCCGGCGATGAGAGCTTCTCTCCAGAATCCACGATCCGCGAAACTTAGCGGTAGGTTTGGCTCTTTCTTGCACTAGGGTATCCTATGGAGGGTGGTACTGGTATCTCGGAGATAAGCAGTCATGGAAGATGGCTTCTTGTGATGCCTGCGTACCCCAACTCACATGCCAACTTCCAGCATGACTATACAGGACGTCATAAATGGTAATGTTGGTATCATGCTTGGAAGTGAGGAAGTGCCGTGTTATCCACCCGGCGAGTTACAGTCATTAGCTATAATGCTTCCAATCTTCCTGTTTCGTGCTGTGTTGCATATTCTGGATATTTTGGGCTCTGAGTTGTTACTTTCGGCCCGCTGTTGCGGGAGATAGCCAAACGCTCTTAGGAGTCTGGAAGCTTGATGAAGCTGACGGCGAGGATAGCAGCGATGTGAGCGAAATATTGTTCATAAGGTTGTCATTAACATCTATAGCGACGGTCAAAAGTCACCACCGGAGCATGAATGACCATACCTATTGAGGTCTGATCTGACGTGGTGATGTGGAGAACAGGAAATCGTTGGGGTCGGGGACAGTTTGGGGAGGGAGGATAACCCCTAAGGATTGCGTCAACCTCTCCATCTCACTGTAGCTGCTAGAATTAATTCGAATATCTGGTCAAGCTTCAGCGACACAGCCTAGGATATTTAATTGAAAAATATCACACATAGCAGTGTTGAGAATGTCAACTCGCTACCCACCGGGAGCATAGAAAATGAAACTTTCATCCGCGTATAAAATAGCAGAAAGATTATGATTGTCCCTAGTATATAAAAGACCGTGCTAATGATTATCACCGCCAGCGGTGTAGCGTACATCCGTGCCATCTTTATCTGTAGGAGGCAACCAGCTATTATTCTCATCGTTGAAGTATTAAAAGCGAAACGTGTCTCTCCTACTGGTCACGAGGGATATTGGTATAGCAGAGTTCAGCATGAGGAAGCATTCATCCTTCCCAAGCGATCAGTAATTTCATCCCTGAGGCAGCAAGATGGCGCGTAATCTATGCACATACTAGAGGCGCACTAGATGACAGAATTGCCTGCGGTGTGGTAGGTGTTTTGGTTTCCTTCCGGGCCACTCGCGCCACTGTACAGCCTTGCATTAGGGCTTACCATGTTGCATCCAGTAACTGCCCCGGGTTGGCCCCGCAGCGACAGATGAGGTGATTTACCAGTGTTAGGACTGATATTTGATTGTAGAGACTAGCCAGGGTCTACTAGTTTAGGCTTAGATGCTTCTCTTTGTTTGGCTCTCTTGGCATCGAGCTTCGTAGCACTCATAGTGTAACAAGTTCCCTTAAAACGGCATTTATTCAGTTCCTATTCGATTTATCGCCTTGCACAGTGCAACAGCATGGCTCTGCTTCAGGCGGTCGAGACAAGCTTCCTCCTTCTGGCGCTATGGACCGCCATCGAAGCCATCCGTCGTCTTTATTTCCATTCCTTATCCCACATTCCAGGCCCCCGACTGGCGGCACTCACCTGGTGGTACGAATTCTACTATGATGTCGTCCAACCAGGGCAGTACGTATTTAAAATTCAAGAGCTTCACAAGCAATACGGTATGGTTCTTCTTTCCAGTTCGCTACACTGTAGTACTGATTAGATGCTCAGGGCCCATCATCCGGGTAACCCCGGATGAGGTGCACATCAACGATGTTGGTTTCCTCGACGCGATCTACGCCCCGTCGATGACTCGCCTCGACAAGTATGACTACCAGCTGCGCACCTTACGTGTTCCCGGCGGCATCGGGACCACTGCCAATTACTACCTTCATAAGATCCGTCGGGAAGCGCTCACTCCCTTCTTCAGTAAGCGCAACGTTCTCTCACTCGAAGGCGTGATCACCGCAAAGGTGAACCAGTTGTGCGATTTGATCGACAAACATGCGGCGACGGGAACTCCCATCAATCTATCGGACGCGTTCTATGGATTTGCCAATGAGTATGAACCTCGGTGAACTAAACATGCTAGTCAAGTTTACTCATTACGAAGTGTAGTGTTGTCGCCAACTTTTTATTTGCCCACCAAACCGACGTACTCTCGGATGAACAGGCGGCGGCCAGGCTCCGCCGCAACAGTCATGGGTTGCTCAAGGGAATCAACATGAACAAGCACTTTCCACGGATCCCGGACATTCTGGAAGCACTGCCACAACGCATAACCAGGCCTGTCATGCCTCCTGGACTCATTGACATGCACGAACTCTTTGATGTAAGTCCTCCACCATCAACCACAGGCAATGTACACCACTAGCAACAATGCCAGAGAGTCCGTGCGGAATTGACCACAATCATGAGGGCAAAAGCATCCAGCACTTTAGACGGGAAAAAGTCAATGAATCCAGGAGGCAAAGAATCCGTTTACGAATCCGTGCTCGACAACCCCAACCTCCCCGCATCCGAAAAAGCCCTCCTGCGCCTGGAACAAGAAGGCGCACTACTGACCCTCGCAGGAACAGAGTCCCCCGCCCAAACACTCAATATCATCTTCTACCATCTCCTCGCCAACCCTTCTCTCCTCGCAACACTCCGCAAAGAACTAGACACCCTACCGAAAGCCTCAACCTGGGCGCAACTAGAGCAGCTCCCGTACCTCTCCGCCATCATCGAAGAAGGCAATCGACTCTCTTTCGGCGTGACCGCTCGCGCAGCCCGTATCCAGCCCAAGCCCATCACCTATACCCCATCCGCGTATGTGACCACACCAGGCCCCACGCGTATATCCTATACCCTCCCTCCGGGCACGCCCGTTAGTATCACGACGTTGAGCGCACATACCGCTGAATCAGTCTTCCCGGACCCGTACGTATTTAGTCCCGAGCGCTGGCTGGGGCATGAGGGTCGCGAGCGCAGGAAATTCCAGTTGGCTTTTTCGAGAGGCGGCAGGAAGTGTTTGGGGATTGAGCTTGCCAGGGCGGAGCTGTGTCTTGTTACTGCTGCGCTTGTGCGGATGTTTGATATGGAGTTGTGGGAGACGGATGAGAGGGATGTTTCTTTTGAGCACGATTATCATGTTGCTATGCCGAAGGATGGGTCGAAGGGCGTAAGGGTTGTGGCTAAGCTACGTTGAGTTGCAACGCGTGCTTCGTAAATAGACGTTTCGATATAAGAAGCTGAGCGGATGCATAGGAAAAGAAATTGCAATTCATGACTTTGTTCATCAGACTATGTATCTATTGATTAAGCTCACAGAGTAAGAGACATACCAAGTGTGTTCTCACAATTATCTACACTTCGTCCTGGTGGCACTAGGCGAGCGTTAGTATTGGTTTTTTAAAATCTGGGAGATTTCCGGCGGTACTGTGCCTCCCTCGGACAATATATAAACCGCACTGCAAGAGAAAACAGTATACCTACGCAATAATAAAGCTAATGCTATGTAGATGTGGCCGAAGTCACTGCATAGGAAGTGTAGGGAGGGAGATCCAGAGTCCCGCCCTATCACGCGACCGTCGTTGTATCAAATCACTCTCTCAAAAAGGATGGATTCATATTTACCTCGGCAACTTAGATAAGAACACTGCCAATGGGAGTGTATAAGAGAGGCGGTCAATCGTAGTCGAACGTTTAATGCATATACCCTTTGTTTTCAAATATAGAGACGGCAGGCCGTTGCGCTACTGGCTCTCTTTCTGGTTGCGCCATCAGGAGGTGAACGAATGGGACTACAAGAAACCTAAATGAACAACACTTCATCGTTAAAACTAGCCGTATAGGGCGGTCAGCTCCTACCAAGAATCAGACTGTGAGACGGTCCTAGGGTTGAATGATCTAGACCCTAGAAAGCGTCTTCCCTATAGGTATGATGAGTTTGGTACGTGTAACAATGCCGTGTCCGAGCGCAGGAGCTCTGACATAGTACTTGAGATAATTAAAGACGGCCCTCGACCACCGTGTTGGTAACTCAGGATTCAACCTAGTCGCAGCTACGATCGAATCTTGTTGAAAGCCTTGGAAAGTTCTATTCTGACTTTCATGCTGAACGAAGAGATGTGTGTGGATTACCAAGCTATCACGATACATAGCCAGGGCTGCAGAAACTCAGACTGTAACAAGGCCGAGTTGATCCCTGGTCCGGATTGCCCTGAAAAGCCAGCCACCGGTCCCAGGAATGCTTGTCCCAAGTATGAAGTGCGGCACAGTGGGTCTAATAGAGTCAAAGGGAAATGCCCTAAGCACAGGTACGTCTGACTTTCTTCGCCATTTTGGTCCAAACTACTCTAATCAAATCGCATTCCCAGGGAACCCATAAATATGCCCCGTTTTGTATAACCCGCCTTCACTGGTACCATCATCATTGGAAAGCTTTCTCAAGAATGAGAGTTGAATTCTTCAATTTGGGCGTATAGTGCGAGAGTTGCGCCAGGAGAAGATGTGCGAGATCAGAGGGGGGATTGTGACATCTTTCAGAATATCTGAAGCGACTTTATACTCGCTCATCCAGCATTTGAGGATGATGGTCCGCCATGACACAGATCTTATCTCGTCTAGTGAAGGAAACGTTTTGTTCAAATACAATTGTTGGATCTTGTCGTCTTCCAATCCCTCGTAAGGTTTGCGACCGACCAGTATCTCGTAAAGAGTCGACCCGAGGGCAAATATATCACTTTGCACGGTGTTGGGCGCATCTTCATCCCTAGGCAGAAAATGTGTCGCGTTCTCCATGATAATAGCATCCGAGCCCTGCAATGATGATCCGCCAAAGTCGGATAACCTAGCGTTGTACCGTTTATCAACGAGGAACTGTCGAGCGGAAAGGTCGGAGTGAAGGACGCCTTTCCCATGAATGAAGATGACTGCTTCAACAGCCTGCCGAGCCATCCGATATTTGACGCGATCACTCACACAATGATGGCTCAGATATGACTCTAGGTCGCCTTTTGCCTCGTATCGTAGATCAATATAATTCTCGCTGCATTGTAGACATCGCGCGATGCGTTTGTGTCGTCCGAGGTGGCGATAGACTTGAGCTTCGATCTCGACCGCGCGGGTGTTGTAGATGTCTGACTTATCTACTGGGGCCTTTCGAACAATGCTGTTGTTGAGTCTATGGACGACGGTGAATTGCCCAACTCCTATGATATTCTGCTGATTCGGCTGCTCGACGTTACGGCCGGCTTGGTTTTTGCAACAGAATAACCGCATCTTCCAAGATTCCTCCGAACGTCAGAAGCGCAAATACTCATAAAGTAGGGTTCCAAGAGAATTTACCTCATACAGTACGTCTGCACGTGGACTAGAATGGCCTGCTAAGATACTCGTAAGCACGACGCGAAGCTATCATCCCTTGGGGAGTCCTGTATATAATGTGTTATATCCTCCATCTTAGGGGGTTTGGCTCACTGTCGTCGACATCGAGATCACCGTCAAGCTCGCCCGCATGGACCCTCTTTGTGCAACAAAAAATAACTTTATACGAGGTACGGCGCTCGGCAGGATATCTCGTAAAGGGAGGCATGGCGCTGATGCTGTCCAGGTGGAACCTTACCTTTGTTTTTGCTGTGTTTCCCCCCTCCTTTGAGATACCCAAGTAACCAGTACAAGAATGACTTTTGTGCAAGTGTAGAGCATCGCTGTTCGACCAAGGATCATTTGTCTTGGTCCTGGCCTGGCGCGGCCGAGGGAATGTGAGCTTTGACCAGTCACCCCTTGCTTGCCGTGGCGAATGAGTACATTACTTTAGTGTAATCTGGCATGGCAGAGGGGACATCATGGATTCAGAACGATACCTTCATAGTAGGCCCATAGGTCACCATGGGACGATCTAGATTGTCTGCCATTACATCGACCTTGTATCATATATAGTTAACCAGGTAGCCAACGCTGTGGAGGCTGTCGATAGCCTAGAACAAAATACTACGAGTGGGTCACTCGTCTTCATATCTTGTCAGCTTACTTGGTCCGTAAAACGTAAGTAAATCTAGGCGGAAGTAAATACTTTGTCGATTTACGTTGGAAATTATGCCGCGTAATTTACTTCTCGCGCATCTTACACTATGCGATAAATTGCCCTTATGAAAGCCATTCAGGAATTCCGGGGAACGGATTGATTTTCTATAAAGAAAATATGAAATACCAAACATCGGCGATACTGGCCGTGCTTGTCCTTTCATAGAGGGGCTAGTTCATTTTAAAATCAATAACGGTGGCTCAAACCAGGGCTAGTAAAAGTAGACTAGAAGTCGTGTTAGTGCAAGACTCTCATGTCAATTCAATAATGCATGAAAGCAAGAACGATAGGGTCGCTGAAATGTATTTCGCACATTAAGCTTGTCCAAGAATTTCATACTAGTGTAGACCGGGGTATGGCATGACGATGAATCTGGAAATCACACTAACCCATTAGATCGTACCAATAGAACGAGATCATCTGGACGACACTATGAATTGTACATCACTTATGTCTAACAAGGTTATCCTGTGGGCACAATTCGCCGTTACTCTGGGGTTGCCAGCCGTCTGTCAAATATCACTGTTAGCTATGTGCGTCTTCGGATAGGACCATTCTGTCTATAGCTTATGAAAGGAACATGAAAACTAATCCAATCCGGAGTAATCTTTGAGGTAATTTAGACATTCTATGAGACAACCTTGAGCTAAACATCGTCGACATAGGGCTAATTGAATAGGAATATTGAGGTTCCGGCGTGCGATGAAAAAATCCATAAAAAAATAGATAAAAAGAAAAGAACAAATCGGAAAAATAAACCCCGGTCATCGTTCCATAAATCGCCAAGTTGTACCTCGTAAGAGAAATCAAAACCTGTTTTTCTCGAGCTCGGTTGACATGTTCTACAGCGTGCCAACGAAGTATCCGCGGATCCCCACCGGCCGCATGCCAATCATGCGTGTCATGCGCGGGACCTGGCCGAGTACTAGGTAGTCTAGACCCTCATTAGCTCCTCGATGTGGCGGGCTCTCAGCAAATCAGCGCAGTCTAAGTCAGACCCTGGCTCGGGCTGAATCCAAGGAATTAATCGGGATGGCAGCAACCTTGCGCTTCCAACGTGGTTAGTGCAGAATATTCTGGGCTGTTCCCAACCGCGAACGGTTAATGAATCAAATAAGACATGCATCTCACTCCTACTAGCCTAGTGCTCCTCTCTTCTCCAGATCCTCGATCGCCATAATAGGACACCTCAGGGCACGATCTCCTTTATGGACTGACCATTGCGAACATTGCCGTGCCCGGATGCGCATCCCCATCGCTGTGCAGCTAGGGCTGCTGGTCCTCCTGACAGCCCTGGTGGGGATTGTCATCCTCGCCGTGGCGACAGTAAGTTTGTACCGTGCAAATGGGCAAGGGAGATCGACAAACTGACCAGACGCACTAGTGGACCACCACGTATAGTTTCGTAGTCGATGTCGAGTAGGTGGGAAGTCTTGCACGTGCGCTCATGGTCACTGACCTCCGAATAGATCGCAAGGGCTTGAGCTGGTCGCGACCATCAAGGCGAGCCAGATCGCCTCGAGCCTGGAGCTCCTCGAAGTGACCTGCAAAACCATCTCCACGCGGCTCCTGGTACAATCAGCTCTACGACGTTACTATGCCGGGAATACATCGGACGCCAACTGGGCGAATTCCATCACCGACATACAATCGGCACTCGGAAGCCGGGGATACCTAAGCACATACCAGGCGATTCTCTACTCGAAGAACGGACAAGGCGGTCGCGACCGATTGTTGAGCGTCACCAGTGATTCCATACCAGAGATCACGCTTCCCTACACCTACCCAAATGGCAGCTCCGTACTGCTGGGACATGAAGGACTTGGATACCCTTCGACCCTCTATCCGAACTTGACATATACACAGTCCTCGAAGGGCGATAGTTCCACCACGGTGCATGCCTTTCCGGAGTACACTCTGGGATTAACTTCTGCGCTGCTGCTGGGACCCATAGCAATCAACAGCTCCTTTTCTCTTGTTTCCCTGACACTGCCCATCGTGAATAATACATCAAATACGGATATCCTTGGTTTCATGACGTAGGTGGTCTTGTATCGGGCGACGGGCAACGAGAGGCAGGGCATCCATGCTAACGGACTATAGGGTTGTCGCCAGTGCGGCGAACGTGCAAAGTGTGGTCAGCTCTCGCGACGGACTGGGCAACACCGGGCAAGTCCTGCTACTCGGGCCCTCGAGACCGGAGAACCGCTTCGCTGCGGAGTCTGCAACCGCCACCTCGTCCCCTGATCGGCCGGCGATCGCCGACGCACAGGTTCACTACATCTTCGAGCCCACTCCGCTGCCGTCCCAAGACAGCCGTCACCGTGGCGTCTCCGCCGGTACCTCCTTCGAGCTTTCCAAGTACCCCATGGCGCTGAAGTTAATGGCCGAATCCGAGGAGAGCGAGAATAAATCCGTCGGCAAACTCTCGACCAAAAATGAACAAGGGTACAACGTCGCGGTGGGCGCGGTCCGGCCCAAAACTTCACTAGTTGAATGGATTCTTCTGGTGGAAGAAACGCACTCCGAAGCCTTCACGGCCGTGGTTCGATTACGGAAGATAATTCTTGCTTGTGTATTCGGAACCGCGGGGTTCATTATCTTGGTTGTGCCTCTGCTGGCGCACTGGGCTGTTGCTCCTATTCGCAGGATGCGCGAGGCCGCGCAGAAATCGATCGAGCCAGAGGTGCCGCCAACATCATCTCCAGGCTACATGGAGCATGAGGGCGAGGGGCATGGAGACACGGTACAGACCATTGAAGAACATGTGGATGAAAAGGCCGCGCCTGCGTCTTGGGTCAAACGCCTCCGACGGCCGTTGGAGCGATTTAACAGCTCTCACAGCTTCAGCGATCGACTGGATCCCCGGTCCTCCTTCCGGATACCTTCGCGGGTGAAGGAACGGAGATCCTGTGTGACAGATGAGCTTACAGAGCTAACCAGCACGTTCAATGAGATGTCAGACGAGCTGACAATCCAATACAACCGTCTGGAAGAACGCGTGGTTGAGCGGACAAAGGAGCTCCAGAAGGCCAAATTGGCGGCAGAGGCGGCCAACGAGAGCAAGACCTTGTTCATTGCCAACATTTCGCACGAGCTCAAGACCCCGCTCAATGGCATTTTGGGCATGTGCGCGGTATGCATGGGGGAGGAAGATCTCCACCGGATTAAGAAGTCGCTTCAAGTAGTCTACAAATCGGGCGATCTCCTGTTGCATCTGCTAAATGACCTGTTGACATTCAGCAGGAATCAGATCGAGCAGGCTATTCACCTAGAGGAAAAGGAATTTAGACTCTCCGACATTCGTTCTCAACTATCAATCATATTCCAGAGTCAGGTTCATGAGAAGCGTATTAATTTCAGTGTCGACTACGTCGGCCCTGGAGATAGTCAGTCTCGGGGTACCATGTGCCAGGAGCAAAGAGTTGAACGGGTGCACCCCGCTGTTGGTCCACCGCAGACAGGCAGACTCAAGGACATGGTGCTCTGGGGCGATCAACATCGGATCCTGCAGGTGCTGATCAACTTGGTTGGGAATAGTCTCAAGTTCACCCCCGAGAATGGCAAGGTCGAGGTTCGCATCCGGTGTGTGGAGGAAGTCCCGAGTCTCGATAGCTCCGTGACATTGGTGCAAGACTCAAAGCCGAGCTCGCAATTACGGTCGGGTACCTCCTCGCCGTTGAGCGTAATGCCGGTGAACGGTACCGATCTTCTACACAGCCCAGTGGATACACGGGTGCCTGTGCCGTCCGACTTGCGGACACTGATATTCCAGTTTGAGGTCGAGGATAACGGACCGGGCATTCCAGCCAACATGCAGAGACGTGTCTTTGATCCCTTCGTACAGGGAGACCTAGGGCTGAACCGGAAATATGGAGGAACTGGTCTTGGTTTGAGTATCTGTGCGCAACTATCTCGACTTATGGGAGGCATAATTCTGTTGGATAGTGAAGAAGGCAACGGGGCGCTGTTTACCCTGAAGATACCGTTGAAGTTCGTGAAGGAGGCAGCAGCTAGCACGCGAAGCTCCAGCGTTGACGGCTCAAGAACCCCGAGCGTCATGTCGCTTTCACTGGAAGAGTTTTCCAATATCGCTCAGACCTCATCGAACCACAGCACTGTGGGCAGTAAAGAAACGCTCAGCAGTAAGCCCGATGTCCAACCACGTCTGGTTGGGTTAAGCCAGCCATTCTTCGCTCCTACTGTTCCCTCTGCCTCTTCGTCTCCATCAAATGGTCCGGAGTCCAACAAGAACTCCTCCGACACTGGTTCTAAGAAGATCCGCGTGCTAATGGCCGAGGATAATAAGATCAATCAGGAAGTGGCCCTTCGGTACGTTCAGCATGTCCATGGTTGTACCCTTTCAACAGCTAACCCTGTCAGGATGCTTGCCCTCGAGGCAGTCTACGATGTGACGGTAGTCAAGGATGGGCAAGAGGCATACGACACCGTCAAGGCTAACATGGAAGAGGGCAAGGTATTCGACCTCATCTTCATGGACATTCAGGTAAAGCTCCTTCTACATCTTTTGTCATACAACAACTGACGCACGCAGATGCCTGTCCTCGATGGACTTCAGAGTACGCGACTAATCCGCGAGATGGGATACTCTGCGCCGATTGTCGCTCTGAGCGCCTTTTCGGAGGATAGCAATATCAAAGATTGCATGGATTCTGGGATGGACATGTTCATTAGGTGAGTGCATACCCGGTAGTATACCGTCCAGCTGCTAATGGAGGTAGTAAACCTATCCGACGGCCTATCTTGAAGCAGGTACTTAACAAGTTTGCGACGATTCCTGAAGAGTCCGACGGTAGTTCTTCGTAAAGTTGGAATATATCTCCAGCGCTTCATCGACGACATTCATGTGTAATTCATAATTGCTTATACTAAAAACCTCTGTACATAAATGACAAGTTTTATCGCATTGAACTTATCGATTGCCAGTCATGGGACAATAAAGTAGGCAGTCGCAGTAATTGATCTGGCAGAAGTTTTGAACATTTTCCGAGATAGTTCATTGGAGGTTGAATCTTTCGTAGGATCAGCATGTCGCAATGGCCAGACATTGAAGTTTGCTTTAAGCTGGCTAATCTCTATTTGTGGCTCGCTTCCTCCACGTACCCAAACTTCAAGCCCAAATTATCTATGGTTAATGGGGATACAAGAGGGATAGATTACTAGTACAGGCCCCTACTAGCGCAGAGCCAGGCTGACCGCCTTCCCTTTAAAAACCGCAAACTACAAACCGGCGAAACAATCCTCCGATTATCAGATAACAGCGACACCCAACCAGCTTTTAACCAAGCTCGCATACACCAAAAACAGCACAATCACGGTCACAAAATGCCCTCATCCTCACTAGCCGATTACCTCGCGAAGAACTATCTAACCGCGGATCCCGCCACCGAGCGACCAAAAAAGAAGCGCAAGAAGACCAAGGAAGTCGACACCGCCGCGCAAGGCCTGATCATTGCCGATGACGACCCGCCCGATCTCAAGAGCTCCGCGGCGAACTTTATGAACGATGACGAGGATGGTCCGTCCGTCGTGGCGTCTGGCCGGAGTGCGGAGTTCCGGCGTACGAAAAAGTCGAATTGGAAGACTCTAGGCGGTGCCGGGAACGAGCAGGACGCTGCGGATGCGATTATCGCGTCGGCTGCGGCTGAGAATGCGGCGCGGAGGAATGAAGGGGGGGATGATGATGCGCCTGCTGTGGTTGAGGGGGAGGATGAGGATGATGGGGGGATGAGGATGGAGTCTGGCGCGAGGGCGGGTCTACAGACTGCGGCGCAGACGGCTGCGATGGTTGCTGCGCAGGAACGGCGGAAGAAGGCAGAGGCTGCGCTGTACAAGGATAGTCCGGCAGGGGGGCAAGCGCAGGAGACGATTTATCGTGATGCGTCGGGACGAATCATTAATGTGGCTATGAAGCGGGCGGAGGCGCGGAAGGCGGAGCAGGAGAAGCTGGAGAAGGAGGAACAAGCGAAGGAGGCACTGATGGGCGATGTCCAGCGGCAAGAACGTGAGAAACGTCGAGAGCAGCTTCAGGAAGCGCGGGCCATGCCTGTTGCCCGGACGGTCGATGATGAGGATATGAATGATGAGTTACGGGCCCGACAGCGGTGGAATGACCCGGCTGCACAATTCTTGACCAACAAGGGTCCTGGGAAGAGTGCAACCGGGAAGCCTTTATACAAAGGAGCTTTCCAGCCGAATCGATACGGACTCAGGCCGGGGCATCGGTGGGATGGAGTGGACCGCAGTAATGGGTTCGAGAAAGAGTGGTTTGCAGCTAGGAATCGGAAGGGAAGATTGGAGGCGCTGGATTACCAATGGCAGATGGATGAGTGATATGGCAGACATGAGAATGGCTTCCTTTACTAGGACTTGGTTCAGTGCTGGACACTGGAGAGCCGTGTGACATTATAATCCTGATATATTACTGACATAAAATGATTTCAATACTCGCCTTTTCGTAATCGATATGCCTCAATTATATATACCAGCACTTAACTCGGTATTTGACTCGTCATTGATGAAGGTACCTCTAAGCTCAGGTACTGTATCTACGAGAACGCGGTTTATATTGGCCGCACGATATAATTCTCGACCTTAATACTACAGATATAACGCGGTGTGGTATACACCGTCACCGATGGTCAACGGGCGTCCCCTTCCAGAATCGTCAGATAGTTTCTCCATAAGACTCTGCATTTCATCGCTCTTTTTCTTATCCCATTCCTCTTTATTCTCAGCAGAGCCAACACACGAGTCTTCAAAGTCAATGAACTTTGCTCCTTCGTCCGTGATAAATATATTGTCCCTGTTGATAAAAGCGCCAACCATATTGTGGAACCCTATGGAGACGAACTATATTTCTGTTAGGAACCAGTCATAAAGTATATTCCGGGAAACAACTTACAAAGTAAACAAGGCACTTCATCTCCTACTCACCCCATGCTTCACGAGCGAGATAAACAGATTTGTGTTGAAAATGACATTTTTGGACAACCTTCTGCTTGTAAAAACGTGCACCATGATCCTGTAAATCAAGTTGACCCGTAAATATATGGCCCTAATATAGAGCGCCACTTCCAAAGTCTTAGTCTCAGGGAAACATCAAGCGAACGATTCCATCTGAACTGACGTTGACGTATGCACAACATAATGTAATGTACATATACCTTTTACCCCTTCGAGTAACCATTTCAATTAACCTGACTCGTCCCAAGGTCATATCCATGAAATCAACTGCTATTAGGTTTCGATCCTTGTTGGGTCTAGTTCAGCAGACGTCAACTGGTTAGAGTCCATCCGCAAAACCATAGCTTCTAAGGAGACTGTGAACGCGCGGCAAAAGTTGGAGTCCATTCCTGAATTGAGATCCAGTATATAGCTCAGTGGCCCTATAATACCTGTGCCGAGTGTACCGAGCCGGGAACAACGTCCCATGTGCAAGAAGCCACTATGATTAAGTTTCGACGGTTTGTGGATCGACAAGACTGGCTACCGATTTCGGGGGACTGAAACCGTGGATTATATTAACCCTAACACCCAAAGACCCTGAGACCCTCGCTCCCGCAAACTGACCATCTGGTAGACCACTAGGAGTTCTAGGAGGATTAGGCTAATGGAGGAGCGGAATGAATAGGCTGAATCCCTTACGTATCGTAGTGGAGTGGAATAAGGATCTTAATCCACCCGAAAGCCTGTACGGCGCTATGGGTGTGCCATGCATATGAACCAATAGTTCTACATGAGGGCGCCGTGTCAATAGTTACTATCATGACTTTATGTATTCCAATGCCATTTTGTAAAGCGGCGGACTTTGTGCGTAATGTATATGATAGGTGGAGTTGATGTCAAAGGGCTGTAGAATGTTGGTATTCCAATCGATCATCTAATCTTAAGGTTGCCATCCCGCCGGTTGTGACCGACGATCATCCTATGAGACGCCTAAGACAGCTATGATCGACTTCCAGTTCCCCCTTGATTTTATCCGTGCAATAGGAATAATGCAACTTGGTTAATGGTTGGTACCTTGTATACAATACTCGGAGTATGCTCGGAACCTGGTGAACTTCATCCTATTTACCCTAACCAGGTTTCAGACTAAGACACCATATCAAGATGAAGATGGGAAAGGGGCCGATGATCATGGCAACATCGCAGAGAAGCAGTAACATCTACCATGGCTCTCGGATATAAGAAAGGGACATCTTCAGGTTGCTTCAAACCATTAATTAATTCATCAAATTCAGCACGACCGCTATCGATTCCTGACATCTTTCAATCCATCTTTCCAAAGCCAACACCATGAAGGCCTCTCCTGCTGCTCTGGCTCTTTTTGCTGCTACTGTCTCTGCTGCATGGACCCCATCACATCAGCACAAGTCTGCAAAGCGTGCAGATTCCTGCGGGCAGTACGATACGATCAATGTCGGTAACTTCAAGCTCTACAACAATATGTGGGGTAAGGACAGTGGCTCTGGTAGCCAGTGCGTTGGACTTGACTCCTCAGGCAAGGACAACTCCAGCGGCATCGCCTGGCATTCTACCTGGAGCTGGTCCGGCGGTCAGGGCAAAGTCAAAAGTTACCCCAACGTCGAGGCCCGGCCTGAAAACAAGAAGGTTTCTGACCTGCCCAACATCCAATCTACCTGGAAGTGGAGGTTAATAACGGATTCATTGCCTGAGAGTACCATATGCTGACAGCCTCGGGCAGCTACAAGGGAGACAACATCGTCGGTGACGTGGCTTACGACATCTTCACATCCTCCACTGCTGGCGGCAAAGCTGAGTACGAAATCATGATCTGGACTGCTGCCCTTGGTGGTGCCGGTCCCATCTCTGCCACTGGCTCCCCGATCGATAACCCCACTGTTGGCGGTAAAACCTGGAAGCTCTACAAGGGAACAAACGCCGCGACCACTGTTTTCAGCTTCGTTGCTCCCACGGAGATCCAAGACTACTCCGGTAATCTGGCTGAGTTCTTCACCTACCTCACTGAGAAGCAGAACTTCCCTGCCTCCCAGTACTACCTGAGCATTGGTGCCGGCACTGAACCCTTCACTGGACAAAACGCTGTCTTCACCACTTCATCTTATACTGTCACCTTCTAAGTAGCACATAACATAAGCACATATGCTCCTCTACATGACAGAAAGAATACTCTCTGTATAGGTTACTCAACTTACAAATGCCGCCAGCATCAGCCATTTATTGAGTACTCAATTACACTTTGAATTCCAGTTATGTTCTAGCAAACTCTCCCCGCCTTTTCTGTAATGCTCAGGAATGTATCACCGTAGTTTTGTTGCATAAAATCAAAAGCAAGCGCAACTCGTTTATAAAACAGCTGGGCATTATTTTCATGGATAAAACGGATACCTTTCATACTTGGACCGCAGAGTATTTCACGCCAGCGTTCTTTGTCGGCTTTGGTCTGATTCTGCAACTTGTCATTGCTCCTTCCAATGCGCTATATTATGTCCGGTCTATGGGTCGTTCACTGTTGATTAGATCCAGGGATCTCTATAAGTGGCAATAAAAGTAGATATTGTATGGTCCGTGCATGCGCGGAATGTAACATTAAAGGTAGTCAATGCTTCTTGGGAAATGTCTTGGGAGGGTTCAATGAACTAGGTCCACTACCTTGAACGACATTAGTCTTGGTGTCCTCCATATCCGCGCTTCTCTTTCTCATATATGTGAGACTAGTGGTGCTATATTTAAGGCTGAATCATCAATCTAAACACATACCCAAAAATCCACTATGATCTACGTCTCCAGTCAACTGTGTCCGGGTGAGTTTGCACCCGAATACGCGTATAGAAAAGTGGGTCCAATAGTGACGACCTGCACAGGGGAAAAGTGCTACAGACATGTTTCTGGGCTCTTAACTCTTTTGACTGGATTCATACCTGCAATAGGCTTTCTTTTAGCATGGGTAACCCACGCAGATTACGGCCAGGAGTTAGGGTCCGGATTGCTATTTTCAGACTATTCCTAACGTGAAAAACACCGAAAGGCGATCAAAAGTGGAACATCCGTGCATACGCGGAAACTCTCATATACCAGGTGCTGCGACGAATTCCCTCAGGTCCACGATTTCACACACACGGTCGAAGTCAAGAGCTTGGCGCTTCTTGACTCTTTTCTATATAAGCATGTTCAAGTCCATGGCTCATTTTTGCTAAACTATTTCCTGTCCTCAATTGCCACGATGTTTTTGCCTGCCGCACCTTTGCTCTGTTTGAGTGCTGTCCTCTTCCAAGCAGCATCTGCTTCCAAATGCTCACCTGGATATTTTCCCAAGCCCGAAGTGACAGGCGCTGCCATTCTCGACATTCAAGCCCACGAAGCTCACAACTTTTCCACCGTCAGCCTTGGGCCCGGAACGAATGATGGTGGTCGGTATACCATCAGCTTCTGCAATGTCACGGTCCTCCATACCCACCCAGGCTGGAACGACACAATTACTACGCAAGTGTGGCTCCCGCTCGAGGGTTGGAATGGCAGGTTCCAAGGCCTGGGCGGAGGTGGCTACAGCACCGGGTTTGGTGCTACATACCTCACGTACGCCGTTGCCCAAGGATTCGCTGCGTCATCCACCGATGGCGGCCACGCCACTGGGACGGGAGCCATTCCCACCGAGCTTGAGTGGGCTCTCAGCAGCAAAGGCAACGTCAACTGGTTCCTCTTGGAAAACTACGCATCGAAAGCCACAAACGACATGGCCGTCATTGGAAAGCAAATCACCAAGTCCTATTATCAGAGAGCGGCCAATTACTCTTACTTCACCGGATGCTCTGGTGGTGGACGGCAAGGCCTTGCGATGGCTCAGAATTTCCCTGATGCGTTCGATGGCATCTTGGCCGTCGCTCCTGCTTTGAATATGGAAACCTTCATACCGGCGGCATATTGGCCCACCCAAGTGATGCACAATCTAGGCACTTACCCATCCCCCTGCGAGATCGAGGCTTTTGTTAGTGCAGCCGTCAGCGCCTGCGATTTTCTAGATGGCGTTCAAGACGGTATAATTAGTTCACCTGACCTGTGCAATGTCACGGCTCACAGCTTCGTTGGACAGGAATATACTTGCAGAGGGAAAACACACAAGTTGACTGCTTCTGGCGCCGCCGCCGTTCAGGCAGCCTGGTCAGGTTCCGGGAAAGGCGGTTGGTTTGGAGTAAACAAAGATGCAATGCTCACCACTCTCTACATCCCCACTGCGTGCGCTGCCAACGGTACATGTTATTCCTCCGGGGCTGACCTGTCTGGGAATTGGTTCCGGTATCTTGTTGCCAAGGACCCAGAGTTTGCTTGGAACAATATGACTGAGTCCGCGTTCTTCACAAGTCTGCATGAATCCGCTTTCCAGTATGCGCCGATGCTTGCGAATACCAACCCTGACCTGTCCAAGTTCAAAGCCAACGGTGGCAAGGTAATCACCTGGCACGGCCTTGCTGATGAAGCCATCCCGCCGCGAGGATCGACCAAGTATTTCGAGGAGGTATTGAAGGCGGATCCAAGTGCCCATGACTTCTATCGTCTGTTTGAGGCACCCGGAGTTGGCCATTGCCATGGTGGTCTCGGACCAGTTCCGAATGGTGCCCTCTCTCAACTCACGGACTGGGTCGAGAAAGATCTTGCTCCGGCTACTCTACAAGCCACCAAAGGGAACAACGGCACAGCGAGAGACTTGTGCCCCTACCCTCTCCAACAAAAGTTCATTGGAGGAGATGCTAGGAATGCGTCATCTTTTGCCTGCGTCTAGATGATTTAGTTATATTCTGTCAATTATCCTCCCGACATAATACATCTAAGCTGTCGGAGAGTGTGTTCTTCAGAGCTATAATAGAGAACAGTTTGGTGAGGTAGGCTACCATATTCCCACCGATCATACCCAATATCAATTCCGCTCTATCTAGCTCAACTTACATCGAGTATGCTGATATAATGTAAATACCCGGCAAATGGTAGATATTGCTAGTCCTTCTATGGTCGCAAAATGCCGAAGCGCTTCTTAAAGTACATTTGTAGATGCCTACTCCCTTGCACGGTGCAAGTCACCCGGATCCTATTCAAAGCCCCAAGTCCCAGGTGTCTTCCAAATCGGGCAAGAAGGAGGGCAACACTGTTAAATCCGGATCAAATGACCATATATCGGCAGGGCCAAGTTCCAGGCAAGCTTCTGGCCAGGGCCCCACATTCATAGCCTGATCATGCACAGTGCTTGCCTCGGTAGTATTTCCGGCGTTTGAGGAGAGCGCACTATCGGAAGCCAGGTCTGTACCGATATGCTTTGGTGGACCGCTATTAAGCGGTTGTTGCCCTGGGAGATTGCTGCGAGTACTATAGTCAAGGGAAATGGTGCCAAAGTATGGAATGTCAACTTTGATGCGTCCAGATTGGCCGTCCACGGGAGGAAGTCCCTCGGAGAGATCAGACTGGGTTGCGTTGCTTCTCGTCGCAACCCTTTTCAAAGTCCGCAGAACGCTAAGACCACGAGTTGCTACCTTGTCGGGTGGCTGTCCCTGTGCCAGTGTCTCCAGGGTTGTCATTACGGTTTCGATGGCAGGCCAGTCATTGGAGTCAGGGTGAGATCGACCGGTCGGTCCGAGGATATTGATCAGGAGAGTGACAGCGGCAGTAAATGCCTGGAAGTCCAGCGATTTGCAACAAAAGCTATGCGCAGTGAGGCGACGGATCGATGTATAGCATGTAATCATATGCCGGGATGCCTCTAGACAGCTTTGCCGGCTGTAGTCATAGCGTCTCTCAGTGCCAGATTCCAACAGCAGTGGCAGATGGAGCCAGGCGATGAGTTGATAATGCCACAACTGCGTCATGAGTGTGGTGTAGGCTTGAGCTCGCTCGATGGATTTTCCTGGCGATAAGACAATTGGGCCCTCAACCACCAATGGAGGGTCAACGGACATAAGCTCCGCATCGATGGTTTGTGTCGTTCGAACCATTGAAGGTGTAACTTCGCTAAACTTCTGGTTTCGTTCGATAATGGATCCAGCTATGCGACAGAGAACCTCCATGGGGGGTGGATTCAGTGTCTGGTTCCCGCTTCGCTTTGAATCCAGGGCCACGTCCGTGATGCCATGATACATTCCTAGCATTAAAGAGAGATATCGGTCTGCGTAAATGATATGATTCCAGATATGTTTTGCCCTGGAAACGGATGCAGGCTCGTCCGTCGAGTCTGCGGCCAGGCGATGTAACCCGATGATTTGAGCAACGCTCAGCGCCCGGCGATAGCACAACCAGGCGCTCCGCAGTTTTCCATCATTGTTGTAAAGTACGCCTTGAAGTACTAGACATTCCAACCCATCAAGGCTACTTACTAAAGTCTCGTCAGAGCTGATGGAATGTGCCACAAGCTTGACACAGTTTGCAATCAGGCGGGTGGGAGGATACGGAAGTTCCAATGATTCAATGTCAGATCCCCGTGGGAGCTGCTGGAGACAAATTGCCGCCCACAAAAGGACTTTGGCGATCGCGGTTGGGTGACTGTCCGAACAGGCTGCCGCGGCGCTTGAGAGTAGCGATTCCTCGTATTCCTGGAAGCATTGAGCCCTGACTAGCCACCAGCAGCTATTGGCTTGTTCAAGTCTTCTCAAAGCGCTATGTGATGGCAACAAACCCAGAAGCTCTTGGCGTAGCCTTTCCCAGTCGCGAGTGGTTGCACTAAACAATGTGATATTTGGCGTAGAGACCTCGGATCGTCGAAAGCCAAGCTGCTTTATGTTAAGGGATCTTCCCATACAAGTTTTGGTCATGAGACTTACTACTCCACTATCAAATAGCGACAGGACTGGGGCGTTTTCATTTGCAGGCGTGGCAGCTGCACTAGAGGTTAAGCCGTGATCATTATCAGTCGTCATGGACGCCCGCGCCTCCTCAACACCACCGACGGTGTCCAGCCGTCGCAGAACTCTCTCAAGAAGCGACTCTACGCGGCCAAGTCGATCACTCAGGGACGCACGATCTGATTCGCGAGCATTTTCGGGCTCTGGTAAGTCCTGGCTGCGACAGGAAACCCCCCTTGACAGGCATTCGCGACAACTCTGGTCGCCATCAGAAACGAAATGACAGCGAACCTTACGATGTTTGCCTGTCTTGCAATCAGCCTGTGCCTACTAGCTAGTGGCGGAATGCCTCACTTGATCACTTACATTCCCAACAACTGCGGGTCCCCTTTCGTATTTTCTTCCGAGGTGGTTGCTCGTCCTCGGGCGGGGTTGAGGTTGGATGCTGATGAGTCCGCATCATCGCACTGATGGTTGTAAACTAAGGCCAATATGCATGTCAGTGCCTGCATGGATATTTGAGGGATAAGGGTGAACAGAAGTACATCTAAAAGCCAGGAATGAGAGAGTGATAGATGAGAAGATAGCGCGTCTCTTTTGCTTGAGGTTCAGGGAGCAAAAGTAAGCACTGTCGTTGACCGCCTCCTGCTATATAAATCCTTGTCATCCCGCTACGTTCCCGAGATCAGATACCATTCCTACCACTATTCCTTCTATATGAATACTGGTACTACCACTAGAAGTAGTACTCCCTCTGAGAGACTCTAAAAATGTTTCCAAAGCTGGTATTACAACACAGATTTCTAACACTGTCATCATGCAGCGGCAGCAGCAGTAGTTTGACCCGAGAATTTAACCCACCGAGTCGCCAAACAGACCACGGTGGCCACGCTGGACGCGACAACGGCCACCAGAAATGCCGCCTGGAGGCCATCCATGTAGGCAGTCAGTATGAACTGCATTTGAGCGGAAGAGAACTTTTGGTGTAGCTCCGTTGCGCCTGTCATCGCAACCGTGAAGGCATCTACGGTTGAGGTCTCACTCTGGAGGTGTTTGAGAAGAACATTGACCATAGCTGATTGGCCGGCTGAAACGAAGACCGATCCCCCTAGGGTTTGTACAGCTGGAAAATGTTAGTGACTACTGCCTGAAAAACTTGAAGTGGGCGAAGAACGTACTGAGTACCATGGCCGTCACAGACGGTAGATCCTCCGGCGCGACAGATGCCTGTGCCGTCACCACAGGAACTTGGAAGCACCATCCAATGCCGATACCTGCTAGCAGCTGGTAGCCAATCCATTTTCCAGAGCCAGTATTAACGTCAAGCGTGTACAGCAGGCCTGATCCAATCGCGGTGAGTACTCCCCCAACCAAGAGGAATGGTTGTGGGTATCCAAACCTGCTGAGGGCAACACCAGATATGACAGTCGAAACACTTTGGCCAAGGATCAGAGGCAGGTTCCGGATTCCGCTCTGGGCAGCAGAGACACCCGACACCACCTGGAAGTAGATTGGCAGGTAGTATACCAGCAAGAAAAAGGTTCCCGCTAGCAGGTCAATGTAGATCATCATGATCACGACATTTCGGCGGAACAGTCGCCCAATCATTGCGGCGCGTTCCTTTTGTGCCCATTGCACAATGGCAAAGGAAATTAACAGCACACCAAATCCAACTAATGTTCCAACGACTTTAGAATCACCCCATGGCAGCGAAACTCCACCCCACTGTAAGGCAAGGACATAGCAGACCAGAGCCGAAACCAGGATCAAGGTACCAGGTAGATCCATTTGGAGTATCTTCTCTTTCAGTGGTGTATTCAGGAAGGGCAATGGAGGAGGAGGTCGGTAGAAGAACAGGATGATTCCGGCCGCCAGTCCGCCAATCGGCAGATTGATATAAAAACACCATCGCCAGGTAACGTGGGTAGTGAAAGCACCGCCAACCAGAGGTCCAATAGCTGCAGCGATTCCATAAGAGGCACCCAGGATTCCAATATATGCTGGTCGCTGTCTAGGTGGTGCGGATAATGCGATAATGGTAAAGGCACCCGAAGAAATTCCAGCGCCTCCGACGCCGGTGATAGCCCGTCCAACAATGAGCGCAATGCTATTCGGCGCGACACCTAAACAAAACATAGAGAACCAGTCAGACACCGAGGACATGGGACACTTCTCAAGTTGAAACGTACCGCACACTAAACTGCCAACCTCAAAGAGAAAGATTGACACGAGGAAGGATATCTTCAGCGGAAAGTACTTGTATCCTTTCCCCCACGCCGCTTGGAAGCTTCCTAGTGTAATGAAAAACGCTGAACCGTACCAAGCCTCCTCCTCAATCCCACCAAACTCATCGGTGATCTTCGGGATTGCCGTTGCGACAATGGTCTGACGTAGAAGGACTGATTAGCTCCTTGCTCGTCATGTATTGAAAATTGACGCCTTCGCCCAATGGCCAAATCTGCTTACCATATCTAGCGAAACCTATTCATTGCGATCCAATATTAGCGTCACAATGGTCGAACGGTTCGAAAGGTGAAGTCGTACCAAAAACATGCTCAGAGCCAAAGCTGTGACGGTCATGAGCAAAGTGAAGCCACCAGTGCTTGGAGCATCGGTTGGCGCATCGTCCAGACCAGATCCAGTCTCTCCCTTACTTCTATCCTCCATAGCCTGATGGTCGTATGAAGATGAAGCATCTTCGTTAGGCTTTTCAGGTATCGCAGGTGTCGAAGTTCTTGACGACACTGCTGTGTCGCCTGTTTGCGACGACCATGTGTTGGTAGGCATGATATACCAGTGCGCTAGAGGGTGACGATATCTAAGAACATGCTGTCTGCTGAAGACAATCAAGCACTTATAAACAATTAAGAAAGAAAAAACGAGAAGGTAAACTAGACTGATCAGTGGGAAGAGTATTTCACTCCGCCGAGTCGGCGGACTAGTATTCCACCTAAAGTGATGATCGTCAAACCTCCATTACCAGCCATGACAACTTAGCACTGACCAAGGTTCTACTACTCCGCCGAGCCGGCGGAGTAACACAGACCCCTTCTCACTTAATATCTACGTCCGAGTCGCACATCTTTCCGTCGTTGACCTGGTGAGTCGAAGTCAGCATCACTTCCTCGCTGAGTATCATTCTTCATGGTTACTTGGATATGCCTTGAAACACTTACGGGCATAATTTTATCATCGAGACCCCTCATCCACGCCAGGGCTCTGTCCCTTCAGGATACTGACTCATGCATCCGAGACAATCAAACCAAGGCTTACTGTCTGCTTCAACTAATACAATGCTTGGGGGCGTATGATGAAGTACGGCTAGATAGTGGGACTATGTCAATTGCTAGATAAATCTTGCAAGGTTTCGTCTTCTCCGCCGAGAACTCGGGCCCAGAAGACCCCAGTCAGAGACGATATTCTGCTGGGAGATTTCCCACGACTCGTTACCCCGGTAGAACACTTTTCAAATATTCAGAAACAACCAACAGGTGTTTATTCTCTACTCGATTGTATGAATTATCACACGTTACACTTTCGCCTTCTGCTTAGGACTGTACCCAGCTCCTATGGCGGGCCTGTGACTCGCTTTGGCCTTTACAGATGGCAAGTCCAGTAAGTGACATCCGATCTGTAGGCATATTGTCATGTCATGATTTCTGGTCTAAGACTCCCCGCATGTGAAGTCGCTGCTGCGCTCTGGTCTGCTATCAACGCGCCCTTCTGTGGCCAAACGGGAGGCGCTACGACCTACAAGCATGTGGCTATTACATTCGCACGGTCGTTCTTCGGATCTGCTTCTATAGAACAAATCCAGTAAGCTCATCCGTTTTATTTTCATACATGTCGCAACTGCAACGATGCAGCCGATGTGAAGAGCTATTATTAAGCCTGCATAAGGTACATTCTTCCACCCAAGTCAGGACAGAATGCGTGCGAGGCCCTAACACATTCTCAAAAAGCCACTCCATCGTCAGTCTAGCAGACAAGATGAAGGTATGGTTTGCTTGGGTTAATATTCGAGTCTCGGTTGTGCATTGCTTACGCCTTCAATGAGAAGGCCGAACATCCAGACGTCCTGGTCAGCTGTGTTCCTCGGGAGTTTGGGCTGAAACTTGCTCCTGGCGTACAGTTTCAAGCCATGGCTACTTGGTTGCATCAAACGTTTTCTCGATAGCAAAATATGATTATTTTTCTGAGCTTTGGTATATGGCAGCCATGTTGAATTACCGGACTAGTCTTTAGCCGTCAATTTCAATGTAGATACAGAGATCATCTGGAAATATTCAAGACATATGAGTTTTATACTTCGGCTGAATCCCACTAGCACTAGTGATATCTGGTCCCTATCCTTACTTGCCAAGGATTTTCGTGTGAATCAAGGTAAGGCCCGTCGGTCAACCATCATTTTCGGTTTACTCAAAGTCTTTAACTAGAAACCTGGCCCGCGGCTTGCAATGTATTTGGCTACGAGGGTTCTGGGAATAATGTTCGAGGGGTCAAATGTGATAATTGTATAGAGGCACGGCCAGCCCTTCTACGTAGTGGCTTGCCCTAGCCAATAATAGTTTGGGTTTTTTAGTCTTAGGCTTTGCGCCATTTTTAGCTCCATGAGTCTTGGCCAAATTATTTCCTAATTAGGTAGTTCCAGCGGCAATCATCCATAGTGGTGATACGACCTAGTTATACACAATGAGAAGGATCATAGGTTCAAGAGGTCCCTGTCTCACTTCTAGCCATTCCAATTACTTTGTTGCCTGAGTTGTCTCCACCTCTTCGGTCTTTCCCTGCCACCAGCGCCAAATAGCCTTGCACCAGAACCAGGTCTCCATGGTCCCAAAACAACACAGGATTGCAATGACAAATACTTTCGTTCCTTTGCTTATTCCCAGTGCGTCGAAGCTGAAAGCAGGGTACTGAGGTGGTTCGTTTGAGTCTGGGTTTGATGAGCTTGTCTGCTTGTTCGCCACAGGGAACCGGGTCGAGAAGGATCTGAGAAGGACTGAAGATTCGCGATGTATCAAGGGTCGTGGTAATCTCTGAGTGAGGAGAATACCATGTTGGCGAGTTGTATATAGTGGTAGAAGAGCTCGGGTAGGAACTGATGACATTGTTGTTTATTTGGATAGAATGAGGTCAGGGAGGGCTTGTTTTCCGGTTTTGAATTTTTCCTTAGATTATGTTGAGACTTGATGTATGGTTTAAATGAGGTGGATCAATATGGAATTTATATAGAGGGAATAGTCAGATGACGCGGTGGATTGCTCCATCACCGGCCAGTTCGTATTTCTCGGCGATCAGCGTAAGCAACGTAAAATGAGCCAGCGGGGGTTCCTCGGACTAACCGTTAATATAAATACAAGTTAGCCACCATGCGAGTCCAGAGGAATCAAACAGTACCTTCCACCATACTAAGAAAAATGACCGTCGGATACCGTCGTTTAATATCAGCAACAGAGGGTTTCCTTTCATCAACTTCAAGGAGAAGCTCGTCCACACTTTCTGCGTCTAAGACAAAGCATGCTGTGCCTACAGAATCCTGCAACACATCGTCAACAGCAGCAGACCCTGCACAATTAGATCAAACCCTGACCCTCTCTGACGGCCGCACCCTCGGTTTCGCCGAATACGGTTCCCCACAAGGAAGACCACTTCTCTACTTCCATGGCTTACCCGCATGTCGTTATGAGATCGACTTCCACGAGCTGGGCCTGCGACATGGTGCCCGAATCTTCGCCCTTGACCGACCTGGAATGGGGCTGTCAACGTTTCAACCAAACCGACAACTCCTTGACTGGCCCGCCGACGTCAAAGAGTTCACGGGTAAACTGGGTCTAGATCAGTACCGAGTCCTTGGTGGCTCCGGTGGAGGACCTTACTCACTTGTGTGTGCAAAGGCCCTAGCCAAGGAGAACCTGAAGGGCGTAGGTGTACTCGTCGGATTTGCGCCCCTTGAGGCCGGCAGGCAGGGTATGTCTCTTCGTTCACGCGTCCTGTGGAACCTGGGGAGGTGGTTCTCCGGTCTGGGGCGACTGTACACTGATTGGACTATTGTACCGGCTGCTCACCACCCAGACCCAAAGGTTCTGGAGGAGCTGCTAGCGCAAACGGTTAAGAACAATTTCAACAAAACGGACTCTGTCGTCTTCGAGGATGAGAAAATCCTCAAACATGCAGCTAAGATTGTACGAGAGAGTTTTCGACAGGGGTCTCAGGGGTATGTCCAGGAGTGTAGGATTCTTACAAGGCCATGGGGCTTTGGCTTACGGGAGATTGATTTCCCTGGGGTTCGTTTATGGTCTGGCGACAAGGACCGAAATACTCCCGTTGAAATGGCTCGATGGATGGCGGATAGACTCGAGGGATCGGTCTTGACTGAGTGGAAGGGCTACAGTCATTTTACCTTTACTGATGATCACACTGAAGAGGTTGTGAGAGGCATGCTGGAAAGATGAATACAATGTGAAATACGATATTCGATGTATAGTATGGCTGTCACTTGTAGAATCTCTACTCTTTCATACCCTGAATTTATGGCAAAATAACTGGTTCTATTAACTTCTGTATGATCATAGATTCATAGGCTGCCGAAGCTGTTCGACAGCTCAATCGAATGAGGTCGATTCCTACTGGGCGGTCCTAGGGTTGAAAATACTGTGGATCAACAGTATTTTCACCGTGTCTTAACCATGTCAACGTTTCTTTTCGTGTCTAAAGATTCAATACTCTAGGGTGCATGTTTTTAAAATTATTAAATACGTATTCTATTACCACAGTAAACTTCCAAAATCTAGCGTATTACTACTATGGCTCGATAATTCCTTTCCGCAGTACATACTTCTAAAAGTATTAAAATAACATATCAGTAGTAGAACCAAAATTTTTAATTAAAAACTAAGCCTGTTGGCCCCGTAGTTCTACCATCCAGTTTTAGTTTGCTGTACTTCCACTGTGATCAAATTAAGTATACAGCCTGCCCAGTTTCTTCAACCTTAGGACCTCTACACACAGCATCGAAATCACACGTGAATATAATCATGTATAAATTCAGAACAAGTCAATAGTATTTAGATTATACACGTAATAGCTTTTGCTGCGCACGCCTTGCCAGTCACTATAGGATTGTGGAATGTTAGATTGCTGACTCCAGCGCTGGGCAACCAGTTGAGTTATGTACATACCAAGGCATAGCTGAGTCAGGCAAGGGTTAATGCACGATTGAGTCATCGGAGAGGTTCTGGACCGAGGTTAAGGCAACGGTTGACTAACCCTGCAGGTGACCCCGAGCCGCCCGATGGAGCAAAGTCATCTGCCTGGGGTTCCTGCAATCAGATGGAGCATCGCCGCCCACAGCTGATAAGCATCAAGTACCAGTAGTGCTGTTCCAGTGACGCAAGATACGTCCAGAAGGCTGGTTTCTATTCGCATACCCAACCATGGATGTGGAAAACACAATGTACTAAAATACTATCGATTTCGAGTGAATTTTTCCAAGTATTTTACATATTTGATCAGCCCTTCGCGTCATAGTAAAGTCGGCGTCTCTATTAGGCGGACGTCCGTAGTGCTGACGTGATGGCCAATCACCATCCCGGGTGGCTGGCTGTGCCTGAGGCAGTGGATCAGGTTGACGGCGAATCCCAATGCGGCGATCGCCATCCAACTACTCGTCGCCCGAGTATTCAGGACGTAGGAAACAACCATGGTTCCAAAGTGGCGTCAGGGGGCGTTCGGCGAGCAGGAATAGGATTCCCCCTCGCAGTCACGATAAGGAAGGCCGATCGTCATAGGATGGCCATTTATCATCTCCTCGCGGAGCATGACTGCCGTAGTCAGCAACGCCTCGCTCGGTCCTCGTGCTGCGGAGTCAATATGATACGATATGATCTGATATGAATGCTATCTCCTCTTTCTCCGCTTCGACTCCTTCTTCGTCTTCTCCTTTATTTTGTTCAGGAAGACAGATCGATCAAAGACTTGCTCTCGCTCCACATTCTCCAGCGTCTATTGTGTCTATTTTTGGGTTGAATGAACATTACCGGGCCATTCAGGGAGTGTTGATTGTTCCATGACTCCGTTTAAGCCCAGACATTGGTGACTCAACCCCCCCAAGGCCTCCTTCCTCGCGCAGGGTCCCTGTTCTCCATCCAACTCCGGTCCCTCGGGCTACCTCTCACTCTTAATAATCCCTTCCACCTCGTTCTTGCCTCTTCTGCTAAGTGGCGGCAATTACCTCCACCATCCCGTTTGACAGCTCGATCTGAGTACCCTTATATCAACCTCATCCTATCGGTTCACTCGCGTCTCCTTCTCCATACTGTCGTCATCAGTCATTTATACCTCATTGAAAAACAGTCATCATGTCTGACTCCATCGATCTTCGTCATAACGGTACCGCGGCCAAAAGGGTCTATAACCACAAGTCCAAATGGGCCTACGGTGGCCGAGCGGCGCTCCCGCATCACGAGGTCTCTCTGTCTGACCCAGTGACTCGTCCCGCGGCGCCTCAGAGTCACTCCCTGAAGTACGTTGTCATAGAGTCTCCTCCCAGTGTTAATGAAGACTGACGCCATGAAAGGTATTCCCGTCTCTTGCAGCTCGACCGAAAGGCCAAGTCCAACCAGCTGGCTACCACCGCCAAGTTCACCCTGCGACACGACATTCGGGAGGCCCTTGACAGCGGCCCATCCGACTCCTCCGCGGCGGAAGATGTTGATGAACCCTCAGCCGCAAAGGATCTTCCAGGACACCTTCAGGAGGAAGCTCTGTTCGAGCCATACCAAGTGTCGGGACAGACAATTCTCTCTGATGCGATAAGCAAGGCAGTAGAGAAATTCGAGACACGAGAAACCGAGAAGCTTGTCGAGGAATACGAAATCATCACCCGGGAGGGTGAGATTGCTACGGGCTACCTCGCCGATGATGATTTCGAGTTAGTCGACCATGATCACGCAAAGCTGTGAATATCCTGATGTTGTATACTTGTCTTGTTTCTATCTTGCGATACTTCTTAGGCCCACAAGCCTCGGTTATGGAGTTGATTAGAATTCGCCCTTTTCTCCTCGGTGGTTGTTTCAGTATCTTCTCGGCGCAGTCGTTCTTCTACCCAAGATTTTTGTTTTTGTACTTTTGGCACCAGTGATGATGGGTTACGACCTAGATCCTATTTTTAGACTGCTTATCCTCATACCCTTAGTTTGATATTTCGATATTCTATTCGTGTGAATACGTGATGACCATGAACAAATCAACCTTTGTTTTTATTTTCTACCGATGCTACGTATCGAGTAGTAAGATACTATTGAAGAATAAAAGAAAGACAGTGTATAGATTTCCGACCGCAATACCTGGGTTTAGGAAAAGCCACTGCAGAGACCTATAATATTGTAGTGAAGTATGAGGAGGTACTGTTCAGTCTGCGTCATATGTGAGGCTGCTTCGTATTTATACTTCGTGAGCAATATATGTTACGTTCAGCCCCTGCATATCGCCTGTCACCGCCATTTTTTATTGCCTTCTCCCTCATTACTGCTACTCTGCTGTTCAACATTGGACGCATTCTGATGAACATAAGGAGAAACTCACATAAAGAAAAATAAAATGAAATAAATAAACCAAAAGAAAAGAATAATGTAGGCTGAGGGGAACCCGTTGCCAGGGTAAGTGCACTAGGGCTGCCAGATTTGTTTACCATCACCGATCGGGAATGGTCAAAAATTCGCCGATCGAACGAATGTCAATCAGGTACTCCAAATCTTTCTCTACCTTTCTGTCATCCCGCCTCACACGCGCTTCGTGTTTAGGACATTTTACCTTCCATCATTCAAGATGGACAAACGATCAGCAGAAAGTCCGATGGACTTCGAATGGCAGACAAGAGCCCCAGGGGATGTGACTTCACCCTTCTATCAGCTCAGCATGCAGCATGACAACCAAAAGAAACGTGCGGCCTCCATGCACTCCGCCCGTCACAATCATTGCTAATTTAATTTGACTCCGCACAGGACCCTATCGCATCTTCGAATCTCCCGACAAGAAACAGACACCAGCCTTGCGTGAACCCAATTCACAGCCCTTCCTCTTCTCCCAGTCGCGACCCCAAGACCCGCCTGGCACCCCGAAATCCCTCTTTGGCCAGTCCGCATTCATGACCCCGCGCAAGTTCGATGTTGATTTCTCGTCCGGTGCAGAGAATATGTCGTCTCCCGAGAACGCAGATAACGAAGATACTCCGGAGCCGCCCATGAAGTCGGGCCATCGAAATTCATTATTCAACATGTACGGACGGTTTGCGCCCAGTCCCGGGCGGGGCGAGATTCCTCGTCTGAATCATTATTCCAATGCGTTGGCTCGCCGGGTACAGAAGAGAAGACGAAGGGACAAGGCACTAGATATGCAATTTCGCAGGGAGAGTGATGATGAGAGTGAGGACGAGCACGTATCAGCCAACAAGCAGAACCAGAACCAGGGACACATTCAGGGGCAGGCCCAACCGGCATCGCGTATGTCTTCTTTCTCGGACTTTTTCGCTTTGCTCGAGGCACACCCCAACGTTCCGAGTATCCTGTCGTGGTGGGCCCAGTTGGTCGTGAACCTGTCTCTGTTCTCGCTCGCCGTGTACGTGGTGTTTGGATTTGTGTCGGCTATTCGGGCGGAGTTCGAGCAGGCGGCGGAAGAGGTGTCCGATACAATATTAGCAGAAATGGCGACGTGTGCGAAGAGCTACGTGGATAACAAGTGCGGCGGCGGAGATCGACTTCCAGCGCTGGAGACAGTCTGTGAAAACTGGGAACGCTGTATGAACCGGGATCCAGCGAAGGTCGGACGGGCAAAGGTGTCGGCACATACCATGGCGATCATCATCAACAGCTTCATCGACCCCATTAGCTGGAAAGCGATTGTATGTCTTCTGTTCCAAACCCCACCTAGACCAGCTGCAGTGACTAATGCCCTCCAGATGTTCTTCCTCGCGACCATTTCGACAGTTACCGTTGTCAGCAACTGGTCCTTCCGTTCGTTCAGAAACCGTTACAATCAACACGAGTATACTCATCCTTCTGCCCCCAGCTTTTCTCGGCAACCGTCCGGACAGCATCACCCTTCATTAGGCCCCTCCCAGCCGTCCTACCAGCACTCGGGTGGGTTTAATTACCAGACCCATGCGCCGAGTCTTGATCATAAAAAAGAAAAACCGTTAATGCTCGAAGACTCGCCAACACGGGACTTCGTCAATGAGCGGAGCCGCACTCGGGAAAATCGCATGCGAACCCCAAGTCCCACGAAGAGAGATAGGAAGTTGTTATTATAATCTGTGGTTTGACAAAAGTGTGTGTACGCATTTGCATTAGCGGAAGGATTCCGGCGTTTATTTTTAATTTTGAATTGGGGCTTGGTCAAAAGAATGTGCTCGGCCTTTGTCACTATAGGTCCTTGTCCACTGGTGTTGCATGATGGAGCACATAGCGTCAGTTTCTTTTCGTGTATATATAGATAATCTTTGGGCAACCTTATGCATTATTGTTTGATGCGAGCAGCTGGTCTCGACCGTATGAGGATTTACTATGATGGCTCAGTGCTCATGTATCCATGAAAATGATTATTGCTCGACTGCCAGGAGTAGGGATCACAGCATGCTTCCACGCCGTGCCATATACATGCACCGATCGGCCACGAAAACGAACCCCGAAGTGGTGATTGTTGGCTTTTCAAAAACATTATTATACATGAACGCGCTTCAAAAGACACCCACGCCGATACAATAGTATGAAAGTATCTATCATACCCATCGTGGCCAGAACCTCAGGTTCGTCCAAAGATACCTTCAGGGGTCATAGCCTTGGTTGCCAGAGCAAAGAAACCACCAACCAAACACATGACACCACTGAATATGCTTGCTTCCGAGTACCCTCCATATTTTTTGACGAGCGCCCCATTCACCGGGGGACCGATTAACATCGCGAAAGAGCTCAGGGCTATGCCCATTCCCATATAAGTTCCCATGTCCCGGGGATCCTTCGGACAGAGGGTAAAGGCCGCTGAAGCTCCAGAGATGATGGTTCCCGAAGTAAAGCCAACGACAACCGAATATACGATCAAGCCTGCATTGGTTGTTGCCAAATTGAAACAGAATATCACGACCGCTGTTGTTATACCACCGACCATGAATGCGTTCAATCGCCCGAATTTATCTGCTAATATGCCTGGGATGACACGGCCAAATGTGGATGCCGCGTTTAAGATCGCCAGCAAATATCCAGAAAGGGTCGCACTCATGCCTCTGGATACTGCATAGGTAGGGATGTAGAACAGGGGGAAGAACATGCCAATGAGCATAAAAAACAATGAGGCTATCAGGAGGACGAATTTCGCTTCCTTCAATGCCGATGGAATCCAGAAGGGGGATGAACTTGGCGGCAGGCGGCGCTTGATGGTGAGGCATGCAAATGCCATGATGGGCATTATGAGGAAACCGATGATTCGCACCGACCATCCAAATCCCAAGGACGAGCCGTTCAACATTTTGGACAATGCAATAGGAATCACGATGCCGCCAACAGACGAACCAGCCGCAGCAATGCCTAGAGCGGCTGCTCGCTTCTTGTCAAACCATTGTGATACTGCTGGAAATGCCGGAAATTGCAGGAAGCCCGTGACTATTCCCATCAATACACCTTGCACAAGCATAATCTGCCAGTACGTTTTGCACAAACTAAGCATCATCATGGCAAAAACGTAGGCGACTGCAGCTGGCCGGATAATCTACTCCTATGTCAGTTCAGGGCAGAAGTCAAGACAGACCAAAAGACATACCCATGCGCCGTAACGATCGAATAATGGACCTGAGATTGCACCTGTCGCAAATTGAAGGAATGCTGCTAGCGATCCTATCCAGGCAATGTTGTCTGGAGATTGCCCACGAAGTTGGTGTGATAAGTAGTACTCCTCGAAAGTGCCGAATGAATTTGCGAAGCCGAGACAACAGAAGAAGAGTGAAGCGCCCCCTGCAGCCACAAGCCACGCTCTAGCACCACCATCTGGTGCTTCTTCATATTTAGGCGATATCTGGGACAACTTCTCCTGGTCGAGCCCGCCTCTAAGTGGATCTATAGTATGCTCGGATGATTTTGTCATATTGCATTCCAGGGTCCGGGGTTGAGTATGGTATTAACAGGAGAGTGCATAGGTGGCCTTTTGGTCCTTGCCAATCTTGAGATGTGATCGGTCTCGATATACAACATCATGAGTGACCAAAGCGATCTTATATCCTATATAGATCATTCGATTATTGCTGAATGCTGTATACTAATCGGGGATAAGCCCGGAGCCGGTCATCGGACTCGGTAAATGGCGGGCGAAATGGACCAAAAGCGCAAAGGCTTACCTCCATAAACCAGTCGTGTCTTCATCTCCTTTTATTTTCCTATTTCCAGCAAAAAGAAACGATATAGTTTCGGAGATACGCTGTAAACTGCGTGACGCTTTCCTAGGTTGGACCGAGTTCGACACGGTCGTAAGGGTTAACCATGACTGACCCCGAACGGCGGCGCAGACGACCGGCTGTGTAGGTCGCAGAACCCTTTGATATCCGCGTCGTCCATTCGCACTGACCGCAGAAATACAGCTCGTGCTCTCTTTGCAGGAGACGAAAGATCCGATGCGATCGGAAGACTCCCTGTAACAATTGTGTGCGCTCGAAAAATGAAGCATGCATCTATGAAACTCATCCCTCTGACCATCCGCGGCCACATGTTAACCATGGCCAAACAATTACACTGGAATCCCGAGAGGGTCCCTCTCCAACAGCCCCTAGCACATCTCCCTATGTAAGCAGGCCACCAACCGTGACTAGCCATGCATATGAGCCCATAGTGGGCGGCTCAGCAGACGCCACAACTCCGAGGAGTCAAGCTTCTGCTGGGGATATTGAGGCGCTGAAGAGCAAAATTAAAAGCCTCGAAGAGCAGCTATCAAAAGTAAACCAGAGACGTACCCAGTCCTCTGATCCGACTTCTCGCCCTGAGCAAAGGGTCATGAATTCGCCCCTGTGCGAGGTTGATAGTCACCTATTTGGGGAAACTCAAGTCATCACTCGCAGTGTTGTACATAAGTCCCGCATGTTTGGCCAAAGTCATTGGATCAACGGTGTGATTGGGCTAGTAAGTACTTGCAGACTGCTCACTTCTATGGTGTAATACGCTAAAGTACAGTAGTGCCGAGAGGTCTTTGAGATGCTCGAGCCTCATGTTCGTGACGAAACGTCGGACGTGTTGGCTGGCATGCAGAGGTGTAAAGCCCTTGCGAGGGTTATCAAGTCGCGGCGGGTGCCTTCATGGCCGTCACCCCCAACATCTGTTCTACCCTCAAAGGATGTAGCCGACGAGCTCGTTGACTGTTACCTTAGGACATCCGAAACAGTCTATCGTGTACTTCATATTCCATCCTTTCGAAGGGATTATGATGCACTCTGGATGTCAGATACAGCACCTGACATGGCATTTTTGGTTCAAGTTAAATTAGTGCTTGCTATCGGAGCTACCGTATACGATGAAACGTTTTCCCTGCGTGCCTCGGCCATTCAGTGGATCTATGAAGCGCAGACGTGGTTTTCAGAGCCTGTTTTCAAGTCCAGACGGAGTATCCAATTCCTACAGATCAATATTCTACTATTGATTGCTCGCGAATTGGTAAATGTGGGCGGCGACGCCATTTGGACTTCAGCAGGGGCACTACTGAGGACTGCGGTGTACTGGGGGCTCCATAGAGACCCGACCTATTTATCAAATAGGACGATCTATGTTGGCGAGATGCGCCGGAGGCTATGGAATACTATACTCGAAATAGCCCTGCATTCGAGTATGGCCTGTGGCGCGCCCGTGTTCATATCTCTGGACGACTTTGACACCGCGCCTCCCGATAATTATGATGATGATCAGCTTGTGGCCGATGCCCCGGTGCCGAAGCCAGAAGATACCCTCACTCAAGTGTCAATCCCGATAGCGCTCCGTAAAACCCTTCCTATTCGCCTTGCAATTGTGAAATTCTTGAATGACCTCGGCTCCAAGAGTATTTATGAAGAAACACTGCGACTGGATGCAGAGTTCAGAGCGTCTTACAGAGCTCTGTGTCGGACCCTTCAGAGGTATAATGCGGGTACCAGATTCACATCTCAGTTTCCAATTCACATGGTGGATTGCCTTATGTTGCGCTACCTTATGACTATCCATATTCCGTTCTTCGCTATGGCGCCACATGAAACGGCCTATGCATATTCTCGGAAGGTGGTGGTTGAGACGTCGCTCAGACTATGGTGTGCATTGAACCCATCCTCATCTCTCATGGCGGCTCATACTCGTCACGATACAGCTTCAACAAATCAAAATGATTTCGAGAGGCTGGCGATCTGTGGGACTGGTTATCTCCGCATGTTTGGCATGCAAACTAGTCTTGCCGTTGCAACAGAATTAAGCACCCAGTTGCAAGAAGAAGAAAGTCTCGGCCCGGTATTTTTACGAGCCGATCTACTTTCGATGGTGGAGGAATCCAAAGAGTGGCTCTTCCGTGCTATTGAAGCCGGCGAGACCAATATCAAGGGTTACTTACTTGTTGCGTTGATTGAGGCAAGGATTGCAGGACTTAGACAAGGCCTTGCGCGCGACCAACTTGTGGTGTTGTTACTCAAGACCGCTGCGGACGCAGAGGCAAGATGCTTACGCATCCTTGAAGAAATGGCGGCTCACGGCCAGACCGAAGGCTTTGTAAATGGGCCTGGTCAAATGGGCCTGGATATAACTCCCCAGTCCATGGACGATTGGGACCTTATGGTATGTGAAGATTCGAACTATTCATTTTTTTTTTTCCCGTAACTCACCATTGTTTAGATGACAGATGTTCTCCTGAACCAAAACACTGCGGAGCCAATGAATTGGGTGTTCAACGAAATCCCGCTAGTGCCTTTGCTTCCTAGTTAAGAGTTTCGATTTTGTCTGGTCATTTGAATTCCTAACCGATTTAACTCAAAGGAGCGAAGTTCCATGATGAATACACGAACTCGCTATGATCCCATAAAGGAACTCCAAGCGCCTTGCATATGGGAAATGCCATGTCAGATATCTTCACTTGCCAATACCCGACTTGAGGATCCCTTGAGATATTGATGCCGGGCAGAACGTTTAGCGAGGCTCGCGAGATGTCGTGTTTCGGTCTCTCCGTCACTTGTCCCTGCCCAAGACTATGTCTCACCGGCGTCCGACGGAGCTCCGATCTTTGGGGATGATCACATTGTCCCAACATTTGTGCGGGGATTCTACTTGGCGAAAGCAGCTGCTTGGAGGCGAGGCGCACGGTGCATTCTATGAAGACACATTCATTACGAGGTATAGCGGTCATTCATCTCAACCCAAAACGAAACGCGAGTAGTGTAGTCGCTTCGATGATCCTCCCCCACCAATTTCGACCAGGAGAGTCCCTCAAGAGAGACGAACCACCGAGGAATGTACACTATGACAAGGCTTCTCAACGGGTCTTTTATTTTTGCCTAGACGGCCAGATGCATTCTAACCCTTGATGCCCCTCTCCTCGGTACTTTATTTGCGATAATATCTATTTCCGAAATCTCCGCAATGGTCCAGGTGATACATGTACCATTGACCTTCCGCATATTACAAATCCAAGAGTCGCCAGCCTAACGTTCAAACAAATGCCGATAAGACCCCTGTTACATTGCGTCCCTGCCAAGATGGCTAACGCCAGCATTCATGTTCCGTTTAGGCTCGTCCCGTCCAACCAACAGCCTCGGTTCAGTCGCAAGCCCGCTTTCCATGTAACCTAAGAACCATATGAAAATTAGCCTTCTACTCAAAGCAAATCAGTCGCTTTCACCAAGGCTTTCGGCTTATCTGTGCGTAAGTGAAGAATGTTTATTAAAGTTTGCCATTCCACGATCGCGCAATGCCGACGATGACGGTGTTCCCTATCTACTGCGATGAATGGGATGAAATGATAAACTTGGCAAAAGCGAGGAGTTTAGTGTCCTTGGCGGTGATTTCATAGCCCAATACTGTGGCATCTGGGATATATAAGAGTGTGAGGATGGAAAGAGCAGCAGCAATCAGCAGACCAACATTCCTCTCATACCTTTCTCCTGAGTAACAGACATCATGAAACCATCAATAGTCTCCCTCCTGTCCCTGGCTTGCTTCGCGGCAGCTTCCCGCGAGGGCGCTCCAATCATGAGCCATCTTATGTCTCTCAAAACGGAGCATCGCGAGCGAGCCCGGGCCCAGGGTCTATTCAAACCAAATAGCTATATTGACCTCGGGAAGACGCCCTGTGTGAGTGGCAAAGCAGGAGAATATTCCTGTGAGAACGTTGATCTCCTTGGTTTCCTCAGCCACCAAGCCATGGGCAGCACGACCCGGGAGGGAAATGATATCTGGGGTATGTTACCCATGCCATGCTTCTCCTCCGTAGCAGTAAAACTGACGATGAGCAGGATGGACATCAGCCGATGGTCGTGAATTCGGTGTCGTTGGCCAAACGGACGGAACGGCGTTTGTAGAAGTTCTGGAGGATGGCAGTGTGCAGTATGTCGGCCGTCTACCGACGCAGACAACGGCCACTATTTGGCGAGATATGAAGGTGATTGGGGACCATGCATATATCGGGTCGGAGTCACCGGGCCATGGACTTCAGATCTTTGACTTGAAGAAGGTAGATCATAGTGCCAACATTTCTTTCATGGTTGGGTGTGTCCAAGGCTAACTGAGTCCAGCTTCTCGACACAGACAGCAATAACCCGACCAATTTCTCGACAACAGAAGACCTAACGGCTTGGTATAGCGGTTTTGGTAGCTCGCATAATATCGTCGCGCATGAGGAAACCAACATGATCTTCGCCGTCGGTACGGCTAGGAACCTATCCTGCGCTGGCGGTCTGTGGATGCTCGATGTGTCTGATCCTGCGAAACCGACGTCGCCTGGATGTGTCAGCGAGGACGGTTATGTGCACGATGGTAAGTTTTGCTAGCCGAACGACCCAGTCAAAGTCCAGTACTAATGCAGACCAGCACAATGTGTGATCTACACTGGCCCCGACAAGAAATACACCAATCGCGAGATCTGCTTTAACTACAATGAAGACACCCTCACCATCGTCGACATAACAGACAGAGCGTCCCCCATCCAGATCTCCAAAACCCCCTATGTCGGAGCAAGCTACACGCACCAAGGCTGGATCGCAGTCTCCGACATGTCCTACCTCCTCCTGGACGACGAACTGGACGAACAAGATGGGACAGGCGAAGCCGCTAACGGACACACAACGACCTACATCTTCGACATCAAGAAGCTGGCGAACCCGAAGCATACGGGGACTTACCAGTCTCCCGTGCGGTCAATCGACCATAACCAGTATGTCATTGATGGGCTGACGTACCAAGCTAATTACGGGAGCGGATTGCGCATCGTCGATGTTAGTTCTATTAAGGACGATCCGACGGGCAAGGGGTTCAAACAGGTTGGTTTCTTTGACTGCCATCCTGAAGATGATGCCCAGGGTGGGGAGGTGGAATTTGTGGGTGCCTGGAGTGTTTATCCTTATTTCCGGAGCGGACACATTCTGTTGAATAGTATTGAGAGGGGCGTCTACTCGTTGAAGTACACTGGAAAGGCTTGATCGCATGTGGGTTCGTGTATATGAAACAGAAGAGAAAGGAAATGAAAGCCTCTGACATCATCTCTCGGGAGGTTCTCATCTTCTAGAATAATATGATGAAACAGTAGGGTCCTACATCCTAGATTTTGTGTTAAACAGATAAACAGAAGCCTACAGATTTCAAAATTAAAGTTATGACTAGAAAATCACCTAGGTTAATTATCGGATATACGCCAGTCTCGGGTGCAAAAATAGATGTCCATTACCGATATGCCCCGGGATCGACATGCACCCAGAAAATCATAGATCCTGTAATTATATCTGCAATATACGATACTTCTCAGCGTTCATGCGACAGTGAGCTGATACGCCAGACAGCCTCGAACACTACCTAGTAATGAGACTGACTACCGGGACAGTTGCATCTGTTCAGAGTCCTGTAACCCGTGCCTTTCTCCGTATTGCAAGCATCGATTTAGGGACGGTGATAGCCAAATACAACGGCTGACAATAAAGACAAACTCGTAGCTAAGCTTTATTGGGTGATTTCGGAGATACTATTAGCGTGATACCGAAGAGTGATAAGCGCAAACCCCAGATGGTGAAATGCAGATAAACCTGGTCCTACTATTCCGAAAGGTAGTCCTTCTCTATACGGTGATTGACACCCAAATGGAATTGTCTTCCTCGGCTTCTCTCTTCCCCTTGATACACAGTATGTTGGGGTTTGACATAGACGATCCTCAATCCCAGTTTAAACTCACTCGGGTCCGTGGTTGTCGGAGGACATTAGACTTTACATGGGGCCAAAATTAGAGGATCAGATTTCGGCAGAAGCACACGGTAAGCAATGACAGAAGAGTAGGAACAGACAGCAAAGTCCCGAGGATGTCATGTCGCCAAATGCCTACGATTGGATATCCAGACACTATTGTCAGCGACCCACTCCCCTAAGTATCTTCACACAGCACAGATCACAACCCAAAGAAGAAACAAACCAGGGACAGCATCATATCAGTTGAATCAACCCAAGTTTCCGATAAACACCAAGTGAAAAATGCCTCTATTTCAAACCTACCCCAGGTATAACACCAAAATCCTTCGTATCCAACACGCTCCAACCCCAACAATCTTGGCACCGCCAAAGGAACTGATTTTCGCCGACAACATGCCGACGATTCCTGGCACTTCGTATCCGACCTGCCACCCATGGAAACCAGAGGGCTTCGCGCGACAATCGTTTCTCCACATGTGAAACTCGACGAACTCCGTCCTCCCAAAGGAAAATAGCTTGTTTGAGTCTAGCAACGCAGCCCTAACCTGGCTTGACCTTAAAGGTGAATCGTCCCGGTTTGAGCCCCACTAGGGTTCGGTTCCGTAGTCCCTAGTGGCACTCGATCTGAGGCATGGCTATTTTGGGCACGGCGATGTGACAGATTAATTCGTGGATACTCATTGACTTTGAACAATTGGTGCTACGTCTGTTACAGATAATCTGTGCCTAGTTCACAGTCTATATGGGATATTGTCTAGGGACCTGCATAGAGCGGGGAATACAAAATGAGGAGCAGTTCAATAAACTTCAACCGTTCTTCAACCCTCAATAATAGGAACGAGTGGAGCCCATCCCAACCTAACTAGTAGGAGCGGATACTAAGAATCCCGATTCGGTCACTGGCTCTTTCTTGGGGGATGTTTATGCCAAGCGCAAAATGCCGATTGGATGTCAGATGGTCAAAATCAGGAGTTCACCCGAGACCCTGTGGACTAGATATTCTCTAGCGGGTTGACTGTCCCGCTAGAGTGTCGTTAGGTCGTTAGATACCCTGGCTGGTGTTCACTTTGAAACGGGGCCAGAGCGCCAGGCTACAGGGTAAAAATGGAATTAGAAGAAAAAAGAGGGTTCGAAGGCTCTCATTAAAATAGGCTCAAGTTTGGGTTTAGTGGCCATTGCTAGACACAGGGTAAATATCGGGAGATAATTAGTGCAATGGTTCTCAATTGGGGTAACGGTAAAGAACTATAAAAGGAGGGATGGACCCTTCAGATTATAGATGAATCCATCACAGTCCTCTCGCAAACCCTCTATTCAAACCCTTCTTGAATACCTCCACGTGCCATATCACATTTCTAGCCGTTAACTGAACAAGATGGTGATGCTCCGCTCCCTCCTCGTCTCTGCTCTGGCTACTCTGGGAGCAGCCAGCCCCATTGCTGAGCCGGTGGACCAGGCACTGGAAGCCAGACAGCTTGGGTCTTCCAATGACCTCACCAACGGAGCATGCAAGGATGTGACTCTTATTTTCGCCCGAGGCTCCACGGAGATGGGCAACATGGTTCGTCAACGAGAAGCTCGATTGCACGGGTATCGCTAACATCGACAGGGCACTGTCATCGGACCCCCTCTCTGCTCGGCCCTGAAGAGCAAGCTCGGTGCCGATAAGGTTGCTTGCCAAGGTGTGGGTGGCTTGTACACCGGGGGATTGATGCAGAATGCTCTCCCTCAAAACACCGACCCGGGCGCCATCTCCACTGCGAAGTCGCTCTTTGAGCAAGCCAACACCAAGTGCCCTAACACCCAGATCGTGGCCGGTGGATACAGGTATGCTAAGCTTGCACCCCTATTTCCATAGTCTACACACCCTCGTATACTAATGACAATACGATAAACAGTCAAGGTAGTGCAGTCATCGACAACGCCGTCCAACAGCTCTCCACTGAAGTCAAGGACAAGGTCAAGGGTGTTGTTTTCTTCGGCTTCACCCGGAACCTCCAGGACAAAGGCCAGATCCCCAACTACCCCAAGGACGATGTCAAGGTCTTCTGTGCCATGGGCGACCTTGTCTGCGATGGCACGCTCATTGTCACCCCCGCCCATTTGACTTACACTATCAATGCGCCGGAGGCTGCCTCTTTCCTTGCGTCGAAGGTTCAGTCGGCTTAGAGTGCGATTTTGGGCGGCGGATATGTTGGATACGAGATATGGATGGGTAGATAGACTGTGCTGGTCATTGTCTCTTGTATGTACTGCGTACATGTGTGTGATATGGCATCAATGGAGGTATTTTTATAAAGGAATGTTCGTGATTCCTACAATTGTTCGGTTTGCGAAGCCTTATCTCTGGATCAGTATATTGCACAGATCTGCAAATAATTATTACGCAAGGAATAGAATAGACCAGCGTAGTGCCATGGCGCTCTGCGGACCATACAAGAGGATAAGCAATCATCCTCATCAGGGGATAGCCCCACATGCTATAGATGCGCAGTTCCTGGGTATCGGGTTAGATGAATCTGGATTTCGGGTGGGGACATTGCACCACGGATCAAACCTTTGATGAATGTCAGCTTGGCTATTCACTTTCCACGCATAAACGCTACTTTCTATTGACTTGGGTAGAACGAAAGCTGAGTGTGTAAGGGGAACTAAATTTTAAGTACTGTGGTGAACCCACCGCCACGAAGACTAGGGGTTACATCCGGCTAGAAGCACGCGCCAATTTAGTGGATCGACATTGACAAGAAAACCCACAGGAAACTTTTCCGCGCAAGGCAAGTAGCTCCACGATCCTGCAAAAATTGGAATGCAGCCATAAGGCCAGTTGAGAACGGCCCTCAAACTCTAGACTGGATGTTTGCTTAAGGAGGGCTACTAGAGAAAGGAAGCGGTTCTAGATCTCAAGCTCATGGCGGGTACCCGTGCGTTGATAAATAATGCAAACATCAGAAATATATAGCTAAAGTAAAAATTTTATAGTGATTAGGATTTGTATAAATTTTATGCTTAAACAGGGTTTAAACGGGTATTCAATTCCTTATGCATTCCCCCGTAGCCACTGCCACTGTATATGCAATTGGTGCCAATCATCACAGGTTCATCTGTAAATCATGCCCTATTTTGGCGTTTTCCAACACGTTGTCTAAGATCTCCGAGACCAGTGACATGGATTTTGTTCCTGGTGTCGAGTTTGGATATAAAGGAAACCCAACTATGCTTAGCTTGACCCATCTTCACATCGTCACTATCGCAAGAGAGACCAGGTTGATCACCCTAAAGTTAAGTATCAAAGTACAGTCAGCATTCTCTCTTCAATATTCTGGAAATTATTCTCATACTAAATCTTCTTCTATCTGATCTGCGATCTCTGAACCATATTATTATTCACATTTGGACCGTCCTCTCCTGAAGTTATCCCTACGTATCTATCAATCCATGCGAACTAAGGCAACCTCGGACTGGAAAAAGCCATACATCGTCGCCTAAAGAAAATTAGGGTGAAGCTCATGTGCCTAGATGCCACCTTTCTAGATGATGTCATCCTGTTTGAGGATGGCATTAAGCTAACAACTCTTGATCTTGAAGATGAATCCAAAAAAACAAACACAATGTTCCACAAGTTCCGTCCAATCAGTGAGATATCAACCATCGATTGGGAAAAGACAGAGCCTTGTCCTACACAAATAAGCGATTGAGCAAAAGTACGTATCATTTATTATACTTTGAATAAAATAATAAATGATTGTCACGAACTGCCGCCATCCTGGGTTGAGGATGATTAAGTTGTGAAACATTTTATAGAAGACCTAAAAAGGAATTTGGTTCTAAATGCTTTTTAACCCCTATTGATAGTATCCTTGATGGACAAGACCTGAACAGTTCCCTTGGTTGGCATATTATTGCCAAATGATAACTTTTCTATCATACAGGCCCTGATTGCCTCCATCTTTCCGTCACAAGCACGCATTCTGCAAGCATATTTCGATGGAGAATATCCTCCTATAGCTAAGAGCAAACTTGATCAATTCAATGACAAGATAAAAGAGAACTATGCACTATTTACACGGCAGTCGCTCCCAGTATCTGTGATCAAACAGATGGAGACTTAAAAAGGATCCTCAAGCGCCAAATAATGATAAACCCGGTAACTATACTATATCTCGATTTCCCTACAGAAAAGTTCCATGTACCTATAACTATCTTAATCAATATTTACCCTGCTTTCTGTTCCATTTCTTTTTGGTTTATTTTCGTTCTCCCCTTTCCCTTGTTCTATGCTAGGCGCGCATGAGCTTCGATTGCTCGATTAGCTTAGCTGTGTTATGAACCCTTGAGATGTTGCACTTTTCTCCAGACAAAGAGGACAAAACCCTTAGATATCGTCATAATCTATACGCTTTGCTACAACTCCGGGATGCTGGTGCTAGCATCAGTTGGGATATTCTTGCCTTTCAAAATAAGCCCGATTGTATGCCGTTGTAGGCTTCCTTGTTAATATGACTGAGCCTTATGTATAACTTATTAATGTATATCCCAACACTAAGGGAGTTGGGATCCTTTGCTGGAATCGCAATGTATTGCACCTCTCCATACCAATGCCATATTTTGGTGAGCATTGATACAACATTATTGGCGATTGGTTGAAAACGTGGTGATATCTGCTGAGTAAGCCAAAACGCTAGCCTTAAAACGGAAGGAAGCGCGAGGCACATGCGATGGCATTGACCCTAAACAATGAAGTTGATGGTTGTTATATCCCCATATCAAGATAGGTAGAGAACGCAATTTCCCTATACCTCTTGTTCTCTTCCTAAGGAAGTGTTTTACTTGTCTCCTTAGTTACATGTACACCGGCTCAATGGTAAAAATGTCTCAAAACACGCGCTATGACCCAAACGGGGCAGAGCAATATCCACACAATTCTTGTTGTACGAAGGCATCATCGCAGATCGATATAAAGAATGGTTAAGTTGTAGTAAGATCTAGGTTAAGAATGTGTCATAGATGGCTTGCTTGTCGACATGAGGCCACATATGAGCCACAGGCCCAATCAACGAAGAGACTACGATCTACGCTAAGGGCATGCGTCTAATTCCTCGGCTGCCGCCATAAGCTTAAAATTGCCCACCAGCAAGACCTGCCGTATTGCCCTTGTATTGAATACTGTGCGCTATCCCTGATTATGCACTAGGGTGTGTTGCTTCGCTAAATTTGTTTATCAATTTAGTGATTTTGTATGGATTTTTTCCATCTATCTGTACGACGATATAGTAATTACAATACATGACAACTCCCTAGCAAATTTTAGGAAGGTTACTTCAAATAGACTGTTGAGTCTTCCGCAAACATACACCCTTATCACGACATCGCCAGCAAATGAACGGGCTCTCTGTCGCCCGATCTAAGAGATACCAACCACACACGCCCACTCACGCCATCATGGGCTTGCGTGGGCAAAAATTATCTGCTCCCTACAATAGATCCGTTTTTCCACGGTTCTGTTGGTTACAATCCGACCATCTACAACCGCGAATTTATGGGTTCGACTTTATAGCCAATGTCTACCAAATTCGGAAAAGATGATGCTATCACGTACCAGGCTCGGTCCGACCTGGACGAGGAGGATCCCCACAGCCAGGAAGGGTCCATCGACCCCCTGGCTGCTCCGTTGAAAAGACGATTGAAGTCGCGACACCTGCAAATGATCGCAATTGGCGGTAGGCTATGCCCTGTTTGATCTCTAGTAATATCGATGTCTAAGACAGTACAGGGATTATCGGGCCAGGATTGTTGGTCGGTTCGGGTAATGCACTGAACAAGGGCGGCCCGGCAGGATGCCTGATCAGTTTTTCTCTTGTCGGGCTTATTGTGTTTTTCGTGATGTGAGTCTTGTGGGTCATTTGTGCCGACTGGACGCTAATAGAGCAGGCAATCACTGGGTGAAATGGCTACTGCAATCCCTGTTTCTGGATCGTTCACTGAATATGCGCAACGATTCGTGGACGATTCATTGGCTTTCGGACTGGGATGGGCGTACTGGTATCTCTGGGTGACAGTAAGGGCTTTCTTTTCCACATATTCCTGGGGGTTCGCTGACTCGACAGATTCTGGCGAGTGAATATAATGCGATTTCGCTTGTTATCGGCTTCTGGACGGATGCTGTGCCCCAATGGGGCTGGATCCTGATTTTTTGGTTCCTGTTCCTAGGGTTGTCCAATCTGGGTGTTTTAGCATATGGTGAAATGGAGTTTTGGTTGTCGCTGTATGTCTCGCTGCTACATTCTGGTCAACTCGCTCACATAGCATCAACAGTATCAAAGTGCTGGCACTGATCGCTTTCTTCATCCTGGCCATCTGCATCAGCACGGGCGGCGTCGGGCCTGGTCCCATTGGCTTCAAATATTACCATGATCCGGGCGCATTTGCCGATTCGATCAACGGCGTCGCAAAGACGTTCGTCGTTGCCGGCACGCTCTATGCGGGCACAGAGATGTAAGCTCTCTCCCAGACATAACAAGTTAACAATCTCTGATGACCGCAGGGTTGGTGTAACTGCTGGAGAATCAGCAAACCCCCAAAAGGCCGTCCCGACCGCCATCAAGCAGGTTTTCTGGCGTATCCTGATCTTCTACATTGGTATAGCTCACTTCCGCAAGGCAACCAAGCAGAACACTGACAAGTCGTAGGAATGTTCTTCTTCCTGGGAATCCTACTCCCCTACAATCACCCCAAGCTTCTCAGCTCCACCTCCACCGCCGCCAGCTCCCCCTTGACCATCGCGCTCACCGACGCAGGCATCCTACCCGCCGCGCATCTAATCAACGCCCTCATCGTCATCAGCGTCATCTCCGCCGGAAACGGCTCATTGTACGTGGCGTCGCGAACCATGCTCTTCATGGCCCGCAACGGCAAGGCACCGCGCTTCATCGGCCGCACCAATTCGCGGGGTGTCCCCTGGGCGGCCCTGATCTTCTCCAACATCTTCACCTGCATCGTGTTCCTCACACTCTCCTCGAGCGCGGGCCGGATCTACTCCGCATTAATCACCTTAGCAGGGGGTAAGTAATCCCACACCAACAACTCTCCAACCTCACAAATACAATACTAACAACTTGGAATAGTGGCCACCTTCGTCGTCTGGGCCGTCATCTGCATCGCACACATCCGCTTCCGCAAGGCAATGGTCGTACAAGGTGACGATCCATCCCGACTTCCTTTCCAAGCAGCGCTGTATCCCTACGGCACGTATTTCGCGCTGGCCGCGACGATCTTCCTCGTTTTCTTCCAGGGGTATACGGCCTTTTTGAATCCGTTTAGCGTGGACGACTTCATCATCAATTACATCTTGCTCCCGGTTTTCGTGATACTGGTTGTGGGATACAAGATCTGGCATAAGACGAAGATCGTCAAACTCGAGGAGATGGACATCTGGACGGGAAGAAGGGTCGCTGTGGTTGACGAGACAGAACCCGATAAGAAGCACGGTTGGCTGGCCAAGTTGAAGGATATATTTATTGGTTAATACCTTGGCACTAGATATTTAACGTGTAGAACTAGCAATGAAGGATATATGAACAGATTTATCTAGTGTGATTCATGCAAACGGAGGTCCAGCTCCATCGGTAGCCGAGTCGGGAGTCATCTTCGGGAATTGATTAATTTTACCCCAACTTCGATTCCCCCACATCTGCGGATATGGAGAAGATGTGGGTTCGGATTTACGGAGTCTAACTGAGCATAAGAACCCTCGCCGCTCAAGAATTCGTGCCCCTCTTTGCCTTCCCACGGAGATTGTTCTCTATATCTGATTTACGACTTCATCATGTCCATCCCGAACTACCAAATCGCAGCTACGATTGAGCGCCCTCGCCCCGGCGCTAAACTGGATCTCCGCCATGATATTCCCGTTCCGGAGCCGAAGGCAGGCGAGGTGTTGATCAAGTTGGAGTGCACTGGTTTCTGGTATTCCGTTTACCAGCTTGGTTTGGGCTGGGACGTAAGGTCGCTAATAAGCGGATAGTCATTCGGATCTACACAACATTAATGGAGAATTACCCATGAGCACAAATGTCCCCGGCCACGAGGGGATCGGGAGGGTAGTCCAAGGTAAGTCCTGTTGAATCCTTCGACTCAGGGGCGACATATTGATGGCATTCAGTCGGCCCAGATACCAGCGAGGAAATAATGGGGAAGCGCGTGGGCGTGAAGTATGACTTCCCAACACCGGAGCAGCTTAGGAAATGATTAACATCTAGCAGATGGCTGTATAGCACCTGCATGAAGTGTCCGACGTGTAAAGTCCAATATCCAAATTGTCCGAATCAGAGTAACTCTGGGCGGGTCAGTTTCTTTCGCTCCTCTCAAGCAATCTCCTACTAATTTGATTAGAATGTCCCGGGAACGTTTCAGCGTATGCGATCCTCAAGTCCAGGGCTCTGGTGAGCTGCTAACAGCGACAGAATATATCGTCTCCCCAGCCGATTTTGTGTCGATCATCCCGGAGGATCTGAAGCCAGAGGCTGTTGCACCTTTGTTATGCGGTATGTATCCCCTTTCGCTTCTGGCTCTGGGCTTGAACTCAGCGATACTGACGATGCAGCCGGGCTGACCATGTACGGCGCGCTGAACAAATTGCACAAGTTCTGCCAAAAGGGCGATTGGGTCGTAATTATGGGCGCCGGTGGTGGATTGGGTCATTTGTGAGAATCACTCGCTTGCAGAATCCAAACAACTCCCGCTCACCCTTCACAGGGGAATTCAAATCGGAAAGGAAATGGGGTACAATATCATCGCGGTGGACAGGTAGCACAATTCCAAGCGAACACAGCTCCACAAGTGCTAACCCAGTCACAGCGCAACGAAGCAAGACATTTGTATGGAGTCCGGCGCGGCGGCATTTGTCGATTTCCGCAACGATGTCGGTGGACCTCTCGCTTCGTGAACACGTGTGTAGAACTGACACTCAGACAGGTGGAAAAAGAAGTTCAAAATCTAACCGATGGCGCCGGGGCGCACGCCGTCGTGGTAGTCGTCGGTCTTGCAACCGCATACAACCAAGCTCTCCGACTCCTTCGCCCCGTCGGGACGCTCGTCTGCGTTGGTCTCCTCTCGCAAGACTACCGCATGCCTATCTCGCCGTTGGACTGTGTGAATCGCGGGTTTCACGTTGTTGGGAGTTGTGTGGGGACGGAAGAGGAGATGCAGGATCTCCTGAGAATGGCAGCGGCCGGGCGGGTGTCTACACACTATCAGGTTTTTGAGTTATCAGAAGTCAACACGGTAATTGAGCGGTTGGAACGGTTTGCGATAGAGGGCCGGGCCGTTTTGCGGATTCCGTCGGAGAGTCCGAGAATTAGTGGAGAAATGAGTTAAATCCAGGGGCGATGACCAGGAAGTCGCACAGCCAGTCATGGTCGCACCGGGGCGACGATCACTAGGATAGAAATCAAGCCACCAAGGTATTCTGCACGATTTCATTCGACCTTGACAGGTTAATTCGAAGTTCTTCACATCTATAATCTCTCCACCGGACACCGTGCACCCCCTGTCCGCCGCTCATTGGCCACGGTCAGCTGAGCCCGATAACCCTCACCGCAAATAAAAATCAAGGGACAGAGAAGGGATCTGCACTCCAGCTACATTTCAACCCAATCACGCTCAATTAATTCAAAACAATGTCCTGCCTCCAGAGAGATCAGCCGGACATGCCTCTCTACCAATCTGCTTATCGACATTCTTCACGGGCACCTCCGAAATGTATAGTGACTATCTCAACCGGACAGATGCCGGGATGCAGCAATGCCGAGCATAAGACAACGTGGATAGCTTGGCCTGGACATTATTTAAACCCATTTTAATCCCCGGAGCAGAAGGAGAAAGGAATCATCATCATCAACAAAAATAAATCCTCCCAAACCAACCCTTGGAACCGCGCAGATCGCACCCGTTGATCAAGATGTTGTACAGCAAGGTACGTATGATCGCGATCGTCCAACCCAATACCCCATCTCCAACTCCACTTTTCCACCCGTCCCCCAGATCGCAGACAGATAAGGTCCTAACGAAAAACCACAGCTCCTGACCCTCACCACCCTCCTCCTCCCCACCGCCCTCGCCCTCCCGTCTCTCACCGAGCGCGCCTGCGACTACACCTGCGGCAGCAACTGCTACTCCTCCTCCGCCGTTTCCACCGCCCAGGACGCCGGTTACAAGCTGCAGCAGTCCGGCGAAACCGTCGGCAGCAACAACTACCCTCACAAGTACAACAACTACGAGGGCTTCGACTTCCCTGTGTCATCCCCGTACTATGAGTGGCCTATTCTGAGCTCCGGATCGACCTACAACGGCGGTTCTCCTGGTGCGGACCGCGTGGTGTTCAACGATGACAACCAGTTGGCTGGTTTGATTACCCACACTGGAGCTAGTGGCAATAACTTTGTCGCCTGTACTTAAATCGGAGTGAGTGTGGTATATATATTGTGACAAAATGGACTGTGCGTGTTGGTCCGGATTGGATGTATATATTTTCCAGTAGGAATCCGGAACTATCAAAAATTGAACAGTTTCTTTGTCCGACTGTGTTTGGGCGTATCCTTCGATTTAAGTAATATAGCTGGTAAAATAAAGCCGAAGGTGGTTGCATATGCCAGAATGCATTTACATACTCCGAAACATATATATATTTACGTGCACCTAGGGCCGTTCTATGCTTTCCATAGATAGAAGACGGTTATGACTATAATACGCCTACTCGCCCTTGTGCTGTCAACCCTGAATATTTAGATTCAACCGACTCTGTACAGTTCTAATCACAAACTTCTTTCGCTAAGCCGTCATCGGAAGAGAAAATAGAGGTATTACAACCATATCAGGGGTATAAAATGCCAACATCAATTACAGCAAGACACTACTACGTGAGGTGAAACTCACTAGATTTATATTCAATGATGGCAAAAGTCCATGTAGAATAGTCAACCACGTAGCTCATAACCACAGCACACCTCTGCTCGAGCCGTGGTAATATATAACGAACCAGCTCCTACGAGGTACGTGTATCTCGGGCAAGCACCAGTCCACATGATACAGCTATATACGTAGTGCCCATTACAATATCCCAATATCCGTTTCGCTCCAGTAGCAGTGATATTATTTGGAGATTAATCATCCATCAACTGTATGACAGCGGTGCAATCGAGGGCACAGCGCGTTGGTGCGGTAATTTGGGCTTGGGAGTGAAATGAGTACTCCAGGGTTAGCTTTTGCGGGAGACGTGGGACCTTCTAGATTATCCTCTAGGTTTTGTTAGTAGCGAAGATGAGGAGAAACACAAATGCCTGACTCCAAGACTGTTGTAAACATGGAGAGACATAGAGCATGCATATGGTCGAAAGACTTCAGGGACGATCAATTTCAACGGATTCCAGAACTCTCGACTCGAGACGTCGGCGATTTTGATCAAATCGTGCTGTTAAATATGAGGGCGTGACTTTTGCTCTAAAAAAAAATGACGGGATATGGAAGCAGGTTAGACACGTTTCGAGAGGACAGCAACGGGGAAGTGTCGGCAATATATCCACATATAGTTAAACCCTGGTGCAACCGGAAAGGTGCAGGGCGTCCAGCACAAGGCTGAGTGGCAATGATACCCAGAATATTGCCTTGCCAATTGGTGGGAAGGTCGAAGAGACACAAGGCCAAAACGCGAATAAAACGACCACGGAAGTGTGAGGGGGATGGTCCGTTCGAGGTTGCGATGGCTTCGTCGTCGAAGAAAGGCTCCACGGCGAAAGCAGCGCTCGTGAATCCTACATAACTCTGTATCAGGCGAAATCCTGTGTTGTAGTTACTCAAGATTCGTAAACCATGGTACCACCACTATATTTGAAATAAATCAAAGTTCAGGCCGACCCTCCAACGCATGGCCCAAAATCACCGAGCTGCAATTGGGTCTGTGAAACGAAAGACAACTCATAGGTATCCTTTACCCAGGCAATTCATTTCTCCTGCCGTGTTGTTTCGGTGAATCTAGGACAGCGTAGTGCAATCATAGATTCGTTCTTTCAATGGTGTGACAGTGATCGACTTATCAGCATGTAACCGGCAATGGTAGCGATGATCATCGCTCCACGTATAAGGAATCTAATGAGATCGACGTCACCGATCGTCGTCGCACTATGGGTACGCAGTATAGGGCTAGTTTCAGGTTCTCCGAAGTTCTAACGATCGATCCTAGTTTGCAAGGCTCAATGGGTGTAGCACTAGCTTTGTTTGATCCGTGGTCGTCCATATCGTGAAACGGTCAAGGGAAAACTCTAAAGCGTGCCTGGGAAAGCAGGACAACTAGAATTGGAGCCGGGTCTAGATCAGCAAAAGAACCCTTAGGTTTTCATGATAATCCAGTACAGTTGCATGGTACAACAAGTGCTGCGCATTGCGCGAGCGAAAGGTACGAGGTATGGTTGAGACCTCGGCGACTTCCAAAATTCAAGGGCAATGTCAACACAGTCACGCGAAAATCATCATTCCGTATTGGCTTCAAATAAAGTGCTGCCACAAAGTCAATCTTCGCGTGAGTGAAAGCATAGATAATCTAAAATTGGGATCGTTGGATTTTCCTCGAATTGGACGGATTTCAGTCACCGAGCGTCGTACGCCAATATTATGACCAGGGAACGGCACTAGTGATATAGGTATCTTTGACAGGATGTCTTAGCGATCGCAATGCTTTCCATATTAGACAAGAATATAGCGCTAACGCAAATATTGCCATCGGATTGCTCCAGACCAAACCACACAGCTTCAGGGCAGAGCTCCAGGCCTTCCGAAGTCCCGACCCTAACTGAATCGCCACCGATTTCGCGCTACAGTAGGTTCGGGGTCCATGTTAACTACTCATGGCCGTATAGCGACTAGTCTAGGATTCATGTGAGCCATTTATGCATGGGATCAGAGCACCATGTACTTACCTACTAAGGCAATGTAACCTCCGGCAAATAAGATCACGACGAGCAGTGGGATGCTGGCTCTTGCCGCCAAATCCCTTCCTACCAAGCGGGGCGCTTATTGGAGCAAAATGCCGCTATAATCGGATAATTTCGAACAGAAGTCCACTCCTGTTATTTCCGGAAACTTCCATTCATAACAAAAATCATAAACTCGAATTCGGCCCAGTTCGAGCCGGGCGAAATTGCCAAAATATTCAGCAACAGGGGGTTCCACACGAGGGGGGGATCGCCTCGTGTATGGGTCCGGCGGATGTGACCTCAAAAGTTGGAGTTACTACGACAAACTAGGACTTTTGTCAAGAATCGCAAGGACCACCTGGTATGCCAGGGACGGTATTGGCGCATGTCGCCATCTAACGCGATCGAGCAAGAAGGAGGCGCCACGGGGTCTCAACCTTTTTTCACCAAGAAAATTTCATGTAGTGTGGGTGAGAGAGACGTGGCCACGGTTCCAACACAAGGCACGAGCGTTAAGCAACAGATCCTGCCTGTTGAGACCGAGGTAGACAGCTGAATGTGCATGGAAACAAAGCGATCCAGCGAGTAAGTGGCTTGGAAAAATCACAATAAACGGGACAGAGGTAATCTCGCTTCCCTGCATATTTGCTTGCGATAGGCTGTGAGGTTGACTGTTCGCTATTAGCAATCAGCGGAGCAGTCGGAAGGGTTCTTGCCACATCCGTACCCAAAAGTGGGAATTTTTCCTCCGAGGGACGACGGAGGACCCCGTTTGGGGACGATATGATGCCAAGAATTCAGCCTTTGGATCCGCACGCCGGACGCCCGAACGAGAGAACCCAATGGCCTCGCCTGTACATTGAGCCAACTGTGCGGGGTAATCTGGGAATCAATGGTGCAATGTCTCAGTTCACAGGGGGTCGAAGCAGAGACTAAGACTCGGGCCAAGTGCCGTTTAGGCGAATCTCCCCCAGACCTGAGAAGAGGACAAATGAGAATCTGGGGGCGGCCCGGAGTTCTGACCCCAATGTTACAACGCTAATGCCATAGCGCCCCCGCCATTGAATCCTAATTGATTGGTTTACAGGGAAACAATTCGCTCTCCGGGGTTCCCATTACTCATGGTTTTGGGTCGGCTGCATGTTTGTACAACGAAAGGTGAGGGTGGTCGTGAGAAACATGCCCTAACATCCCCAAGCTTTTGCTGGAGGGGTGACCGTCACGTTGTAGTCCGTCCTTGCTTTGGGAGCCCTAAGAATGTCACAATGACATGCGATTATTCCAACAGCGACGATCCAAGCCGCCCCAAATCTCAGCGGCACCAGTCAGAGAAGTCCAGACCAACCGTCGCGGCGACGATCCCTACGACATACCCAAATATTAATTAAACTCATCCTGGTAGCTTCATACACCCCGAGACCAATCCCATGGGGCAAATGCTGGGTCTCTGCAACCTAAACCAAATCCTGCTAAGAATAACCCACTGGGTCCATTCCCCTGACCCATTCTGGCCGAGGCCGGACCTGATCACGCATGTGAGCTTCATTGTGGTCCGTCGTGTATATATAGAGACGGTTCGAAGCGCCTCGATGGGAGAAAGATCAGATCAGAGCTCTCCATTCTTTTGGCAACGTTCTTAGCTTCTCTGCACTCGGGCACTCGTTTGGTCTTCCCAATTATATAGATCACCTTCTAATCTTAATTCAACTTACCAGTCTTTCCCGTCAAGATGAGATTCTCCGCCATCTTCACCCTGGGTCTCGCCGGCGCCGCCCTGGCCACCCCTCTCGTTGAGCGTGCTTCTTCTCCCGCTGACATCATCGCCGAGATCAGCTCCAAGACCGATGCCCTCGACTCTGCCATCAAGGGCTACAGCGGCGGTGATCCCTCCAAGGTCGAGTCCGCCTCGGCTGACCTGGTCTCCACCATCACCAAGGGCACCGAGACCATCAAGGGCGGTGACGAGATCAGCACCAGCGATGCTCTTGGTCTGCCTGGCCCCGTCCAGGACTTGACCAAGAAGGTCGAGCAGGCCGTCGATGACATTATCGCCAAGAAGGACCAGTTCGTCAAGGCTGGTGCTGGCGGCAAGGTCAAGGAGTCCCTCAACCAGCAGAAGTCTGCTGCCGATGGTCTCGCCGATGCCATCACCTCCAAGGTCCCTGAGGCTCTCAAGGACATTGCCAAGAACCTCTCCGCTGGTATCAGCAAGGCCATCCAGAAGGGTATCGATGAGTACAAGGATGTTTCCGACTCCGCCCCCTCTTCCAGCGCTGCTCCCACCGAGACCGCCTCTGCCACCGACAGCGCCAGCGCTACTGAGACCGGCAGCTCCTCCGCTACTGGCTCTGCCTCTGCCACCTCCTCCGGCCCTGTGATCCCCACCTCCTCCAGCGGTGCCAGCTCCTCCGCTGTCCCCTCTGGCTCCAGCACCCCCACTGGCTCCGGCTCTGCCTCCGCCACCTCTCCTCCCTTGGCCACCGGTGCTGCCAACAAGGCCACCATCGGCTACTCCCTTGGTGCCGTCGCCATGGCCGCCATTGCCGTCGCTGTCTAAGTGATGAGTACCCATGGGATGATCCCATCGTCCTTCAACGACTCTTGACGATGGTGATGAAGACAAGCGCCATGACCGATTGGAACGATTAGGAAAGCAGTGTGGGCTTGTTCTGTATATTTTATTCTGTCTCACCGATTAATGTAACGGGCACTGCCTGTATATACCGCATTGGAAATTCGCGATAGTCTAGTAATGGATTATATTTGCTGATTGACATGTTTTGTAATCACTTTTACTCGCGCGCTTCCGACAAAACGGAGAGTTCGATTCTGTAGACCTCTGGGATAAGATGGCAAAATTAGACAGCGTATTTCAACACCAGCCGGGCTAGCTCAATCGGTAGAGCGTGAGACTCTTAGTCTTCACGGTATCTCAAGGTTGCGGGTTCGACCCCCGCGTTCGGCTTGTCTTTTTGCTTTTGAAATCTCATTTATCTTGCTCCGGGGGGGTTTTCCGAATCTAACAACGAACATAATTTTTTTTGGTACATATTGAACCAACTACGCTGTAGACGGTGAATATTTAATACTTTAGCGGTTTAATTATCTGCAAGTACCTTCTTTTTTTTTTTGTTTTTGAGATAGATATTTAATGTCTTATAGATCGGGCTTGAGTTGAGTTCCCGATGGGTGAATATATATATATGTTTCACGCCAGTTTCCATAACTGATTTCCTCCCTTATAGATCAAACAACGCTGATGGAAACCAATCTAATAGATTGCCGGATAATCACTAATCTTGTAAAATAATCTCTGACCTTTCGCATGTATTTCCATTCTCTATACCTACTCGGTCGCGGTCGCTAGATCGAAGCCTTTTGGCTAGAATTTCCTTTGTGAAGGTCATGATGTGGCAACCCAGATATTGCCAGGGAAAGAATAGCTATGTGTAAATACTAGTAAATTGACTACTGATCGTCATAGCGCACTGATCCGATAGAATTTGTATAAAAATGCCATGGTTTGTTGTTCCCCATGGAAGTTCGGATCGGAGCGGAGATGTCCGGACCCTTTACGGGTCCGAATCGTGTCCTGAGTCCGGGACTTGAACTGATCATTAGGGCATGTCAATTTGTTACCACAGGCTACACCTGTCTTGCGGCCAGGAACATAGAGGTTATGCTCCGCTTCGGGAGACCATACTTGCTGCTTCTTGAAGACCTTGTCGGACGATGAGGCTGAAGACAAGCAAGCTGAGTGGAGGGTCCATAGTGGGTCGTACACACAGTGAATGTACCGAGAGATGAGCACAGCCTACGGAATAGGCAACGTGATTTGATCGAGCTGCTCAGCGTCATTCATAAATCCTCCAGAGTAAGTTAGTGTGTTGCCTCTCAATCGGACGATGTGGGCTTTGGTGGGTCTCCATACCAACCACCTCACCAGTGGTCAGAAAGAAACATTCCAACTCCCCGATTAGAATTTACTGTGTACTGGTATTGGACAGGGGGCCATATGGGTGGATTACCTTGCCAGAGTTAAATTTTTGCGCGAACTTCTTTGTCTACCGAAACTCCTTGTCAGCTCCCCTGTACTCCCAATATCATAACCCACGGAGACTCCGAATCCATATTCCCCCCGGTAGCAAATTGCTCCGCAAATTCAGATCTCAACATTCGAGGGTTGAGCATCAAATCGCGCCCGCTATGGGCTCTCATGCATTTAAATTGGACTGGAAATTCGCTCAGCGCCATGTCTTACGCCTTGCCGTAGCCACGGCGGCCCTCCTTTCGTTGGCATTCCTCTACGTCAATTCTAATGTGGAATCATCAATAATGGTTGACGCCATCCGAGTAAATAATAAAACACAGTCCTGCATAGAGTTCGACCCCGCCATCGTATCCGAGAAGCTGCATTCAACCATAGGGCTGAAGGAACACACGTACAATAACGCTGAGATTTCGGACTTTGTGTGCAGTATCATAAAGCATAATATGAGTCTGACTGCCAAGCTTGACTGCGCCGTGTCCGTTGACTCCCGATATGAACATCTGCGGCCCTCACCATCCGGGCCCGCCCGGATTCAATACTACTTCGCATTGGATCTCTACCAAGCTGCCCACATCATTCTTCCGCTCATGGGCGCCATAATGGAGGCAATACGCTATCTGGGACCCGAGTACTGTGCGTTATCGATCGTGGAGGGCCGATCGACGGACGGTACATACGCTATCCTGGCTGGATTAAAGTCTGAGCTCGCTGCCATGGGCGTGCCCTACTTCCTCACCCGAAGCTACCTGGACCCCAAAGCGGGCGGGGAAAATCGCATCACGGCATTATCGCACCTCCGCAACCTCGCCCTCGAACCATTACTGGAAGAGAGCAAGAGTAAACATAGCCGGCTTGCCTCCAAGCCTACTATTATCTTCGTGAACGACATCGTGCTCTGCCCCGAAGATCTGCTTGAATTATTACATCAGCACACCCGACAGTCCGCGTCTATGACCTGCGCTTTTGACTGGAACACTCACGGACGCAAATTCTACGACTCCTGGGTGTCACGCTCGATGTCAGGCAATCTGTTCTTCGAAGTGACTCACGATGCCAAGCATTGGCTGCACGACGACATGTTCTTCGACCATCCCGACAGTGCAGCTCGATGGGATCAATCCCTTCCGATACAGGTTTATTCCTGCTGGGGCGGAATGGTCACGCTCGACGCGGATCCGTTTCTGCGGCGTAGCATTGCATTTCGCAGCTCCGAAAAGGACGAGTGCTACATGGGCGAGCCAATGACACTCGCCAAAGACCTCTGGAAGTTGGATCGGGCCAAGATTCTTGCCGTGCCTTCCGTGAATGTTGCATACGAATACAACGAAGCACAGGAGGCGAAGGAAATGCGCGGATACGTCCACAAGACTGTCAACCACACGCAATACAACACAGAGGCGGAGCTGGTGAAATGGCAGAGCACCCCTCCACCCATGGTGAAATGCATGCCGGTGTTCGAACGACAATGGTGGACGTCGCCAATTTAATGAACTTTTTGTATAATGTGTATCCTGGATTAGTCGATTGATAGCTCTATCATGCTAGTTTTGATTAGTTCCCTTCCCCGTATAGATTAATGGAAACTCCCTACCTTCCAGACCAATAGCGAGTCTGGCCGTTTCTCAGATGACTTGGACATCGGGCGTCAGATTAAGAATTTCAGGACTAATATGTATTCGGTGTGGATGGACACAGTGGATTGAAGATACATGACTCGAGAGCAGCCTCGTATAGTTTTGTTTGCCCGACACTAGTTTAGTCTGATGCTAAGTTGTCGCGTGCGCGTAGCTCGTATTTCTCTTGGAGACGAGGCTTACATTGGAGACCAACGTCTTGGCCTGCTTGACATCCTTGGGCCGCGACCAAATCACAATAAGAATGTCGGCAACTGATCCGCTTGGCTGCATAAACGGCATGGCACCGTTTTATGGGGTATAAGAATCAGGTTTTCCTTTTCGGAATGCACCTTTGGGAAGTTAAGCGATTACGACTTCATCGCCTTTGCTCTAGCCTAACACCCCTTCCCGCTGTTTTAATATCCACGCATCTCTCTACCTTTCTTCTAATCACTTATCTAGTCTTTTGCACTTTGTTCCCAGGCACTTCGCATTGAATAAATGTGAGCTCATATAAATTTAGATTCATTATGTACTGGTTTTCTACTCTACTATACTGGTGGACTCTCCCCAGTTGCATTGCTCATCGAATCCCACGCGATGACCACGCTTCATCCCCCCTAAACGAGGCCTTCGAAAAGAAAGTCAACTGGGCCCTAGACCATTTCAGCATCCCTGGGCTCGCAGTATCCGTAGTCCGCGGAGAAGACATCTTTGCCAAGGTTAGTATCCACATAACGACGCCAATATCAGTCACCGCCTCACACGGAAACGTAGGGCTACGGTGTATCTAACACAGAGACATCCAAACCGGTTACCGAACATACCCTGTTTGAAGGAGCCAGCACAACCAAAGCATTCACGGCAGCAGCAATGTCCCTTCTCGTAGACGACAACGAGAACCACCCCGATATTCAATGGGCGACGCCAGTGCATGATCTCCTACCGGAGTTTGTTCTTGAAGACCCGTGGACCACGACCCACGTCACGCTCGAGGATATCCTATCTCATCGCTCAGGCCTACCACGCCACGACTGGATCGCCAACGCAAACATCACCATCCAGGAAGTTATCTCCAAACTGCGCTACGCGCCCTTGACAGCACCCATTCGCACACAATGGCAATACACGAACCTCTTGTATATGACAGCTGGCTATCTCATTGAGACACAGACCGGCCAGCCACTGAAAGAGTTCCTGCGCAGTCGAATCTGGGAACCCCTCAACATGACCGAGACCTATCTCACTCCGACCGATGCCCAGGCGGCAAACGAAGACATCGCCAAGGGCTATTACGTCGATTCAGACCACCAATTCAAAGATGCAGGCTACCCATCCCCGAAGATTCTCCGCGGGGCGTCGGGGGTGCTCTCTTCCGCGACCGACTACGCCAAATGGCTCCGCGCCATGATCCATCGCAGGCCACCCCTATCTGCAGCCGGACATGCCGCGGTCACAAGCGCACATAGCATTATTCTCCCGACAGTGGTTCCGCCCTTTTCAGCACCCAGTTTGTACGGATTCGGCTGGATCCTGCAGTCGTACAAAGGCCACGCGGTGGTGCAACACACCGGCGCCATATATGGCTTCGGATCCATGGTAATCTTCCTACCGGACGTGCAGCTCGGGATCACGATCCTGGGAAATAACCTGATGTCCACGAACGCGGTTGCGAGCGTGTTGGCTTACCACATCATCGACGAAGTTCTGGGCATTCCAGAGGAAGATAGATTCGATTGGGCTAAAGAGTATCTACCCCCGATCCCCAGTCCAGTCATGCCTTGCAATCCCGCCCAGAACGTTACTGACACCAAAACCCCAGAGCCGAGAAAGTCCTCAACGTGACAATCACCCCCGATCCACGATCCCTCTACCCAACAATCCCCAATCCACCTCTCCCCCCGCCTCTACCTGTAGCCAGCATCACGGGCCTATACACCCACCCGGCCTACCCAACCCTCAACTTCACAGAAAGCTGCTCGCAGAAACCCATCATCCCGCCCTTGACCAACGCAACAACGGTCCCCAGGCTTTGCATGTTTTTCGTGAACCCTGCAGAACTCCCGGAGTCGCTCATCATGGAGATCGTGCATGTCTCTGGGGATGA